AATTATTAAATAGTAGGGATTATAATAGTTAATTAATTAATTCTGTTATATGTTATATATCTATAGTAAATTACTATAGAAATAGGGAAAACCCCCTATTTCTTAGTTAGGAAATCCCTAGCTAATCCTAGTAATATTATTAGTAGAGTTACTACTAAAAGTAGGGCTAATTTACTGCTTATTCCCTAACAATTCGCTATAGGGCAACTGTATATTCGCCAGCTAATTTATATATAATTCCGCTATATTTAACACATAACCACTAAGAAATACAACTATACAAAAGAGTACACAGGTCACCTGTTTTATTACTATAATTAAATAGTTACACACTTATAAGGGCAATTAATATCTAACTATTAGTAAGCTTATTTTCTATATAATAATAAGTAATACGCTATTTCTTTTTTACTTATAAGATATAGATTACTATAGTATAAAATTTAATAACCTTACTAACTAGCTTATTAAGGGCAAGATTATTATACTTATTACCTAAAAACAAGGCTATATATAGATGCTTTTAAAGCTACCTAAGAGCGCTATTATAAAGTAACACTTAACTAATAGTAAATTACGCTAGATTTACTATAGATTTAGCTACCTATTAGTAAATTACCTTTATAAGTTACTTAAATAAGTAAGTAAATCTACCTCCCTTACTACGCTTAAAGAGATTAATAAGTACTACTATTACTACTAACTTAACGTAAAGGCGCCTAGCTGCTTTAAATTTATACTATATAATAACTATAAATTTAACTATAAAATCTTTATTAATATAATATATATAGATAGTAATAAGCCTATACTTTATGTAGTTAACTTAGCTACTATATTTAATATAGTAAGATTCTTATATTTAGTTACTATAAAGTATATATAAGAGGCACTATAAATATACTAGATTAATATATATCTTAGGCTGCCTAATTAGATTACTACTAATACTAGCCTAGATTTTTATATAGCTAAATTTAAATATACTACCTATATATTATCTATTAAGGTTAATAAAGTGCCTATTAAGGCCTATTAATCTATTAGTAAAGTTAAGTAATACTATACTACTTTTTACTATATATATAAGATTATTTATATAGATAGTAATTATAAGCCTAAAGTTACCTTTTAATTAGCTGTTAAAGCTATTAATAATACTACTAGCCCTAATAGCCTTATACTAACTCTACTTATTTTCAAGGTATACCCTTATATTATAGATAATTTACTACTTACCCCTTCTACTACGTAGCGCGCTAAAGTAGTAAAAAAGGCTATAAACGTAGTATAGTAAATCTATATAAAGAGATAAGTACGTAATACGCTAGTAACACGTAATAGCCTAAATATAATAAATACTATAGCACTACTTTTTTAATTACTTATCTATATATAGTATAAAAAAGATAGCTAGTAGGGCCTATTTTACCTACTTACTAATAATAGTATTACTTATACTATTAAATTACCTTATAGCCTATATAATTTTTATATTACTATAGTAAAACTATACTATATAGTATAAGAAGAAGCTTAATTAGTGCTACTGCCTATAATAGCTAAAGAAGGTAATAATCCTATATAAGCATAAGAAGAAGAGCCTATAGTAGCTAGTAAATCTATAGAGGAAGTATATAATACTATTATTATTAATAATAAGTAACTACTATAATAAGGCTATAGACAATTATAAAAGAACCTAATTACTATATTTATTTATAAAATACACCTTACTATTAACGTTTCTAATATATACCTTACTATAAAGGAGGAAGCTAACTATATACTTACTATTAAACTATATAAAAAAGGTATTATTACTACGCCTAGTAAGCCCTTTAAAGAGTCTAATAAAGTAGAAGTAAAAGCCCTTATTAACTATAGTGTATTTTATATTATTACTTATAATAAGAAAACGTATAGTAATATATAGATCTTTAAGTTATATATAGTACATAAGGTTAAAAAAAAAATAAGTAACTATATAAGAAATTATAGTTAGTTATTTAAGGTTATACTAATAATAGTAAGAAGATAATTCTTATATAGTTACTTATAATCTAATAGATAGCCTAGTAACTAATCCTTACCCTTACCTTATTACTTTTATAATATAGATTTTACCTCTAGTTATATAATATTACTTAGGTATATACTTAATCTATAATACTACTTAACTATATTATTTTTATAAGACTTCTTATATAAATTTACTATCTTTACCTTAGTAACTTTATTATAAAGGTAATAAAGCTACTTTATAGTATTACTAAGGCAGGCACCTACTAGTAGGCTATATATAACTACTACTATAAAGAGAATCTCTAGATAGATTTATTAACCTTTAACCCTTACCTACTTATTTTATTAGCTAATAATAAGGATTTTAGCCTTATTAGTATATAAATAGATAATATAATTAGCCTTATAGATAATAGATTTTCTACTTATAAGGAGAAGGAGCTTAAGAAGGTAACTTTTACTATAAAGCCTAAGTAACTATTAACTATTAATAATTTTATTACCTTTAATAGTAGTATGCTTTCCCTTAGCTATAATAGTAAATAAATTTTTACTAAAAAGATTAAGGTAAGAAGCTTTAGCTTATTAATATAAATTTACTTACTACTAAGTAAGACTTTATTTAGTAAAGGGCCTATAGGGTGTATATTACGTTAATCTACTAACCTAAGGCTTACTTTAACTATTTAGTTACTATATAACACTAAGAACTTATAGAGGAGGAGATTAAGGCTCTTAACTACTAGATTAAGTAGTAAATAAGTTACCTTAACTATAGCCTGCTTTTTTAGCTAATTAACCTTATAACTATAAAGCTTTTTATCTTTATTAATAGCTTATTTATAAATAACTATAATTTTACCTTATAACTTAGCTTTATTATTATACTTACTAATAAAAGTAATATTATATAACTTACTACTAATAATAAGAAATTTATACTTACTAGTAATATTATCTACTTTAGCTTAATAAAGTATAAAAGAGTTATATATAGCGTGCTAGCCTCTAAAGTCTATAGTATAGTTACTAGTACTAATATTACTTATATAATTAGTACTACACTTATAATAATTACTAACTGCCTTAAGTTACTATAAATCCTAATAATCCTTTATACTAACTTATACTCCCTCTATAAATACTTTATAAAGCTTAGTACTACTAAGGAGAAGTAACTTATAATTAATATTATAGCGCTTTACTAGTTATATAAGTAATATAAGATCTATAAGATTTAATAAATATAAGGGGAAGATAACCTAGTAGATAGATTTATAAAGGTATTACCTAATAAAGCGCTAAAGTAGTTAATTAATAGTAGTTAATTAGAGATATAAATAAATAAATAGGTTTTATATATATAATAGATTATATATATAAAAAGTATTAAATACTTTTTAGCCTTTTGTTTTTATTACGTTTTTAGGCCTTTTATAGATAACTAGAAAATAGGGATAATTTATAGCACTTTAGAAGGTTACTAGTGTTATAATATTAACTATTGCCTAGATATTAGTAATATAGATTAACGCTAATTAGTTAGAATAACTACAGCTAATTTGCTATAGATCTACTAGATCTACAGGGATATTACGCAGTGAATTCGCCGCGTAATCCCACAATAGTTTTCCTTCTTTACGTATAATTCAGAACCAGTATTTACCCCTATTATTCGTCACTTGCCTATTGATACGTACGGTTAACCGTATCACCACCCTGGTGAAACCAACATTTTTGGTCATTCTTTGACATAATCGGAATCTCTCAGCCTGTGGACCAGCTACAAATAGCATACATGGTTTCCCCGAACGAAAACCCCGCTAAGATTGTTAGCAAGGCTGTCGAGGAAGGTATTGCGTCCCAACAGCACGCTTTGCCAGCTTACAGATGATATCGGCCTCGAGGACGCGACAAGCAGGAGGGTATGTTTCTCGCCATACGCATGAACTGAAAACAGTGCCGAGTGCCCATCTTGAACAAACTCGCCATAATTCCGGGGGTCTTTTACAAATTCACCGTTGACTTTGTAAACCAAGTCGTGTATGTCGGTAGAATAAAATGAGATCTCTTTTGGTCCAATACGTACCGGGGGCCCTGCTGTATATCAGCCAAGAACACGGAATGTAGATAGACAAAGCGTCAATGGCTACCTAAATGCTCATGGATCTTTGGCAGTATTAGAGTAACATTACCGCAGTATTCTTAGCGAAAGGCCCAAGCCAGCCGGGAATACCCGGCTCCCCAACCGGCATTGGGTATCTGGTTCAATGGAGATGCATGAGATTGGATGACGGTCTTTGGGGTGTTACTCAGCGCCCATGTGTTTGCATTGCAGCTATTGGTGAGAGATGCGTTGAAAATTGCTATGCCTACCGCACACAGCAGAGATAAACATCAGAGTAAGGATCGCCATTATTAGAACGGCGAGTAAAAAGCAATCAGACAAAAACACTGAGATTAAAAGCAGGACTGTTGTAATTTAACAAAACCCGATTTCCTGGGGTTTCTCACCTATATGGATATATTATGGTTTGCATTGCATTTTTCCGATGATGATTGCGTGATGATCATTGTCCGCTTGAGCCATGCCGCAAGTATCGTTAATCCCGCAATGCCTACGCTGGTCAGTTCGAGGTAGAGGTAGGGGTCGTCTAAGAAGACTGAATATTTGGTTCGTTTGCTTTTTACCCGCTCCGCTGAAGTCATCTACTTACATAAGTATCGATGTCACCATGCAGTCCCACCTCACGCGACTAACACAAAAATCAGTCGTTGGGGAATCCGCTCTTCTCCAAGCATAAAAGCCGGCCATATCCGACACCACTAAAAGAAGGGTTTGCAGCGGCACCCGATTGTCCCGATAAACATCCGTCCCATCAGACGTCGCCCCCTCCATTTCTGCATTCGCTCGCCGCGACGTTGCTCATTCGCTCAGCTTGGACCACCACCTAGAGTCAAAGACATCATCAAAGATGGCTACCGATCGCCAAGGAGCAGACGACGGCAAGGATGTAACGCATCTCGCGAGCGACGAGGGGCAGGAGTCGACCAGAGATACGCGCCTCTTGGTAAGTGGTGCAACGCCGCGACGCAGCACTGCAGCGCTTGACTGACGGCCCATGGCGGCGTAGGAAACCCTCGGCTACAAGCCGGTAAGCGCACAACGCTGGCCATGGAGATGCGGCCGGGAAACTCACTTCGCTAGGTCTTGCACAGGACGTTCAACGTTTTCCACAACTTTGCGACAACCTTTGGTGGGTGTATTGCTGTGGGCTTTGGTCCCCGATTGAAATAAGAGCTGACTTCTTCCAGCTGCACTCTATTTCATCGGCGGTGTCCGCGTGACTTTCTCTATAGGCATCGCCGCGGGAGGCAATCTTGCATACTGGTATCTTCAGACCTCCGTATTTGCCATCAGCGAAAGAAGTCTGTTGCTGATAGCTTCGTAGGACGAGTTTTCTCGTGACCTGCGTCTTCACCTTCATCACTGCTGCTGTGATTGCAGAGATCTGCTCTTCACTCCCTCTCGCAGGATCCATCTACTTGTGGGCAGCTGAAGCTGGGGGCCCTCGTTATGGCAGATTTTTTGGCTTCATTGTAGCGTGGTGGAGCACCACTGCCTGGACAACATTCTGTGCGAGTGTGTTACGAGATCCTTTCTACTCGTCCTACGTATCCCGGTCTTCCTGACTAAGAATGCTATAGGCAACACCCAATCCGCTGTTAACTACATGCTTTCCGTAAGCCACCTCATTGCGCAGTTTGTTCTCCCCGTCTCTCTAACATTTTCGTCAGGAAATCGTTGTTTTCAAACTTGATTTCCCATCAGACCCCTCGAGTATCAAGTTTCGGGCCGTTCAATGGATAGCTACGGAAGTGATGCTGGCTCTGGCAGCCATCTGGAATCTCCTACCCCGTGAGTGGTAATCTGAGTGCCGCACAACAGACTCATTAACGCTGATTGCACTTGTAGCACGTTACTTCAAGTGGATATTCTACTTGTCTACCACTTTCGTCTTGCTCGATTTCATTCTGAACATGATCTGGTTGCCTGTCGCCGCCAGCAAGAGCACCTATGGCTTCAGGTCTGCGCACGATGCCTTTCTGACTACGTATAACGGGACAGGCGCACCGGCGGCTTGGAACTGGTGTCTCTCCTATCTTGCGACGGCTGGTATTCTCATCGGATTCGACGCCTCGGGCCACGTCGCCGAGGAAACTAAGAACGCCAGCGTTGCTGCTGCCCAGGGTATCTTCTGGAGCACAGTCACTAGCGGCATTGGGGGGTTTATCGTTGTTATTCTGTTTCTATTCTGCGTTGTAAGTTGGTACTCGAAGCAGGCGTGTTTTGCAATGTTGGTACTAACGAGTATACTGCTTTAGCCTGACGCAGACACATTATTCTCTTTTGGTAGTGCTCAACCGTTCGTCCCATTATATGCGGCCATTCTTGGAGAAAGAGCACACATCGTCATGAACATCATTTGCATTGTTGCGCTCTGGTTTGTGGGTGTTCACTATTTGAGCTAAAAGATGATCCGCGAATGCTGACAGACAACTCAGAATACCGCCATTGCCGTCCTAGCCGCATCGCGCCTAGTCTTTGCAGTGGCGCGTGATGGCGTTTTGCCATGGTCCTCTTGGGTCTCCAAGGTCGTCGACGGCCAGCCACGTAACGCCGTTTTAGTCGTTTGGGGAGTGGCTTCCATCATCACCTGCACCATTCTTCCGTCATCTGCGGCATTTACCTCCTTGGTATCAGCAGCCGGGGTTCCTTCGGCCGCCGCTTATGGTCTCATCTGCATCTGCCGCCTCTTCTTGACACCAAATCACTTTCCGAAGCCTGCGTGGAGCCTGGGGCGTTGGAGCAAGCCCTTCCAAGCTATCTCTGTGCTCTGGAACGGATGGGTTGTTGCTGTGCTATTCTCACCCTATGTTTTCCCTGTTGAGGCAGCAACGTTCAACTACGCCCCAGTGATCATGGGAATTGTGACCATATTTGCCGTTCTTTCCTGGTGGTCCATCCCAGCGGAACAATGGCTTCCATCGCAGCGCATTCAAGAAACATTGCTTGCTGGAGAAAGGCATACTGAAGAGTAGGACACACGATTACTTGATAAGCGCATAAACTGCAAAACCTACAGAGCAAACTTTGCCGTCAGAATCTGTAATCTATTTGTCTATTAAGAACAACCCAGTCAACGATGCCTTATAATCAGTATCTAGATAATGCCAATCTTCGAAGCTACTGTATGCTGTTTCAGGACAAAACGGAACTTAGTTTCTAAGAGCCTGGGTTGCCACCTTTTCTTCTCCCTTCTTTTCTTGCGGAACGGCGGCCTCTATGTCAGGCCTGTCAGAGTCGGATCCCAGAACCGAAGAGCCTTCTTGCGCAATGGGCTCGTTCTCCAGCCTCGTTTCCAGGTCCGGATGCTTTAGCTTCCACCTCTTCATATACCACGTGCCAAACATCAAGAATGCCCACATGGCAACCTCAAACACGGTAGCTGCAGGGTACCCGTGGGGATACCGCGGTGCTTCAACCGTCGGGAACGTGAACAGAGGAACCCAGATCTGGCCACAGAAGCCCAATGTCATCATTGAGGAAATAATAAGACCTCGTTCACCATAGTTCTCCTTGAGAGTGGAGTTGAGCCAGGAATACTGTTTGAAGTTGTGAGCGTGAGCACCTTCTCTTATAAGGAAAGTCGAAACCGCTTACCAAGATTGGGGAAGCCATTCCAGAAAACCCTCCAAAGTAGAAGGCGCAGAACTTTAGGACGTCAGGGACATTCCATACCGAGAGAACGATGCATGCAAACAGCACGAAGGACTGTAATATGTCAGCGCCGCATCCTCGAAGCGTGTTCCAAAACTCGTTACTTACCGCTTGGAAGGACCAGATTCCACGAAGACTCAAGCAGCCAGCCAATGTGGTCCCAAGCCACGAGGACAAAGCGCGCAGAAGATCGATAAAGGTCGGCAGAATGTTGACCAACTCGATTGAATAATCAGAAGCACGGAGCCACAGGGCCATGTAGCCCGTCCAGTAAGTCGCCTGGCATAAAAAGCTGCGAAGCATCAGCATAGGTACAGGAAGTCACGTAGTTGACGAAATTGTTGACTGACATGTAACAGGGGACACAAATCCACCACATCGGGCGAGAGAGCGTGTACTTGAAGGTCTTCCAGGTGATGCCTTCTTGTTCGACGGTCGGAATTCTCTTGACAGCAAGGGCATGGTCTTCTGGGGTGAAGTACCACCTCCTTGGTGAGGTGGGTAGTCCGGGCCAGAACGCGAAGCCCATGAAGGAAATGGGCAACGTGATTATTCCTTGAACGATAAACAACCAGCGCCACCCAGCACGCCCAAAAACGCCATTCATGTTGCGGTAGATCGCCGCCTGCAGGTAACCGCTAAACATGGACCCGAGGGAGTTGCCCATGAACCAGACGCCGGCACGCTTGAAGAGCTCCTCGTTCTTGAACCAACTGCCAACTATGGCCTGGTTAGCTGATCAAACCAAACAGAGAACCGATTCATGGGAGGGACTCACGAATGAGATGAGTGCCTCCAAAGGATGAAGCCTCAAGAAAGCCAGTGATGGCCCGCAAGATGTAGAGGTGCCAGCTATGCTTGATCTCCGACTGACAGAAAGCAATGACTGCCCAGATGATTTGCAGGGAAGGAAGAAGGAACGGTGCACTGTGACTCATTAGCATGGCGTTGTCTTTGCTATGGCGCATTGTTGGTTGCGGGTCTACATCTTGGCTTTGGTCTGAAGAGTCATGAGTGGGATTTGCCCGATCACATAAGCCGTGTTGTCTGGCCGCCAGTCAGCGTTGCTCACGACAAGGTCGCTACCGCGGAGCCAACTTACAAGCCACAACATAGTAATTGAGCTCATTACCCCAAGCGCCAAGGTCTTCTCTCATCCCCGAGACGTATGCATTTGTGACATTTTGCTGCCCGAGGAACTGTTGGAAGTGTTAGCCTTTTGCTGGCAGTGAGCCAACGTCGATGATGGTTGAATACTGACTCTACAAAAGACTGTGTGTTCCAGCCAAGTTAGCTACTTTCTTTCTATAAGCATAGTTGGCTTGTAATTAGGTTACTCACAACTCAAACATCCGAAGACGAGAATCGCCAAGTCCAGTTTTCTGAGCAGTTTTCTCTCCGCCGCTGGATAGTGGGAGGCTGTTGACGTCAGTTGTGTTTCTTGGCATGACCTACAAAGATGTCAAAACACTTACGATACCAATCAAACACAGAGACCACCACTGCCCCCACCTTATTCTTCTTCAGTGCTGGAATAATGCCACCCATTATTGACACAATTTGCTACGGAGCACGGGTATCCAAGATGAAGCCGCGTCCAGTACTCCAGCTCAAGAGGCGTTATATATATCTGCCTATGAAAGGAAACACGTTCAAAATCCCCGCTTCTCTCCGGTTTTCGCCCGTCATGCCAACAGACTTATAACGGCTTGCCACTCTTGACCCTCGCCCCCCCCGTCTTAGCCTTCAAGCGGAGTCTTGTGTGCGGCATGCTTTTCTTCGGGCTTCACCCGTCCAGGCGGCCCAAATCCGACCTCGCGCATACACCCAAGAGCCTCACCCACTATTCGCCATCGAGCCAGAAATGGCGACAATCCAGTCGCGCGGGGGCAGATGCGAGATAGCGGATATCGACCATGTTGGTAATTTCCCGACGCGGCAATGGTATCGCGAGCCCAGGCGCACGCAAAGTCCGAGTCCTGCCGAGCTCGGTGGCTTTCCGGCCGCCAGCGTTACACCGCGTGCCAGTATGATTGACTGGTGATTGGAGACGGCTGGAGTTGTTTTATCCCTTGGCGTAGATGCCCCGGCGCCGCGGTCGTGCGAGAGCCGAAGGCGTGCGGCGGGGGTAGGGATTGCGCCATCCGATATCAGATGATGACATATGGCGATCTCGCTTCTCCAGGCGAATTCAGCCAAACAGAGCTCTCCCGTTGTGTATCGATCCCGCGGGGTAATCTGAAGCTGTGTAATCAAGAGGCATGGAGCAAAACCCGCTCGCTGTTATTGGTCTTTCCATGGTCGAGGTTTCAATGGAGGTGTGTGCGGGAACGGGTGCCGCATCGGCTCAACTTGTGTTCGTCCGCGCAATCCAGAAATCCCACAACTGGCTTCGCAGTCAGCTTGACAGTTAAATGGCGAGCTTGGAACCCCAGGGGTTGGACAAATTGAGTTCTTGACAGAGATCTGCTACCTCAGAAAACATACCTCGCCTCACCCACCCAAAATGCCTTCCGCCGTGTCCCAGTTGTACCAATACACCCACGTCCCCGAAACAGAGGAGAACCTTGATTGGGCTGACCGTACGTATTTGCCTGAGAGCCCCTGTCTCGAGGGTCTTGGGAGCTGCTGAACTAACTACTCTCTGCAGTTCCGACCATTGACCTCGCCAAATATGGCACACCAGAGGGCAACAAAGAGCTCGCCCAGACACTGATTGAGGCCATTCGCACAAAGGGGTTCTTTTACGTCATCAACTATGGCATCTCGCAAGAGGCCGTTGACACACAATTTGCTCTCGGTCAGAAATTCTACGAGCTTCCCCTGGAAGAGAAACTCAAGTACGAACCGGACCTGGACTCGGGAGACTACAACGGGTATCGTCCCGCGGGTAGACGGTTCCTGAGCGGCGGTCTCAAGGACAAGACGGAAGTCTGGAACATGGCCAGTAAGTCTTGTCAATACCCAACAATATTTATCACGTATGGGGAGACGGCCCACGACTGACGTTATGCGCTTATGCAGCCAAGGCTGGACACATCACACAGCCCCTCCCCAAGCTGTTGGAGGACCGCAAGGAAGAGATTGAGGGTTTTGCCAAGGTACCTTGAACAAGCGCTGCCATCACCGGCACACTCGCGAGCTCCGGCGCTGACAAACTGTCCCAGAACCTGCACGACAAGGTGCTGGATCCTCTGAACCACCTTATCGCTCTGGCACTGGAGCTGCCTGAGGACTTCTTCACAAAGATACACAAGTGGGAGACGCACGACGAGTCCCACCTGCGGTACATGAAGTACTCAAAGTTCACCCCCGAGGAGATTGAGAAGCTCGAGGACGGCCTGTGGTCCCGCGGACACACGGACCTAGGCACCATCACCCTCCTGTTCCGGCAGCCGGTGGCGGCGCTGCAGATCAGGGACCACAAGACCGGCGAGTGGAAATGGGCGAAGCCGCTGGATGGCAGTCTGACCGTCAACACCTGCGACGCCCTCAGCTTCCTGACCGGGGGTTACGTCAAGTCGACCGTCCACAGGGTGAGTCCCCCCCCCCCCGTTGTTTTCGTCCAAAGCCTATTCGTAGATACCGCGTGTCATGCTGACTTGGAATGACAGGTTGCGGTGCCGCCCAAGGACCAGCGTCACGTTGACCGCCTTGGACTGCTGTACTTTGCTCGTCCGCAGAACGACGTCGTGCTCAAGACCATCGACTCGCCGGTGCTAAAGCGCGAGGGCTTCACCCAGAACGAGTTCGAGGCCGGCGGCCACCGCGTCCCGACGATGGGAGAGTTCACCACCCTCAAGCAGTCGTGGCAGCAGCGGAAGGGCGTCAGCTATCAGTCGTCCGAGGGGCAGGAGATCCTCCCGGGCTTCAAGGGGCAATACTTTCAGTAAGATACGAATCAAGTCGGGAAAAGGTCGGACAGAACACCGAGCGGACCGGGTGCTTGTTTGCTAATCCCCGCATAGCGATAAATGAACAAAAGACCGAAGCCAGAACAGCGGACATGGGTATAATAGAAGTGGGGATGTGCCGTAGTTACGTGAGAGGTTTCTTGCAGCTTTTGTTAGTTGTATCAGTAAAACATAAATACAAGATTCCGTTCAAATTCAAGATTTTGCGATATTACTCCGCTTTCTGCTGCATCATTGCCACTCCCGCGCTGGAATCGTGTCTCTTGCAGCAACGCATCGTATACTGAGCAACACACGTTGTCACTTGCTACGCTGCAACGGTAACTGACCTCAAATGTAAGCGAATCTGGTAATATTTGCATGGAACCTCGACTCAGTCACGTCTTCAGTTCCTTCGCGTTTAGCCTTGGCTGTAGAAAGAACACCGCATGGCCCGGGGTGCGCCGACGGCGGCCGTGTGGGCGGCGACGGGGAACTCTCGATGCCGATGGGAACCCCGATCAGATCACTACCCCACGGTCTCGGGCTCGTTCTACATGCCTCTGGAAAGGATGGTTTCCAGCTCAAAGTATCTTGTTGTAGCGCTTTCGTTAGACATGGCTCTTTTATAGGTCGGATCCGAGCTTGGTAGCATGTGTTTGTTGTAGTAGCGAAAGTAAAGAGTAGCATCAATGATCAAGTATATCTATGTCCTCCAAAATCTACCGAGGGCTTTATCTTTCTCGTCTTCTCTCTCTTTCTTCCCTTTTTTTTTTTCTTTCTTTTTTTTTTCTATCTTTTTTTTTTTGGCTGCCTTTAATGTAAAGGATGGGCAGTGAAATAGGCGTACCCTTCTTCCGCAATTGGTACGTTGATCAGCGACAATGGCGAGTATGAACTACAAGTGACTATCAGACGCCATGTGTATGTGTCTGAAAATGGGACTACCCCAAACGCTAGTAGAACTATTTTTTCTCATTCAAGCGTTTTCTTCAAGGCCATTTGAACATCACGTCACTAACGCGTTTAATTGCAACAACTATGGGAAGAATCTTACGGGTGTAATGATAGTTATTCTAGAGGTATATTGCATGTAAATCAAGCCAAAAGGGAAACTGATCAGAACAAGGGAGGAAGTCTATAAAGCCAAAGTACAAGAACAGCAGTATTAGACTTCGCGAGTCGTATCAACGAGAAGCGGAGCCTCCAAGACCACTCTTGCAGACGACCGAGCCAGTGTTCGGCTGCTTGATCTTGCTGCCCGTATATTTCCAGAGACCCTTACAAGTGGAAATCATGCTCAGGTTGTTAGTGATGTGATACCGTCCTTGTTGGCGTAGCCGATCTTCACCAAAACAGCGTTGTCGTCGGCGCTGCTGCACTGGCAGTCGACGGCGAGGGTGCCGCTCTAAGACGTGACCCAGCTTCAAGCCGTCATGGTCACGACGTCCTTCTCCTTGGTTGGGGGCGCATATCCAGTGCCAGTGCCAGTGCCAGTGGCGGGTGCGCACTTGGAGTTGTCGGAGAGAGTCGCGCCAGTCAGAGAAAGGGCAGAGGGGACCCCAGAGCTGGCCGTTGGAGTCGCGTCCGGGTCCCTTGGTCAGGAGCGAGTAACTGCGGAAATCATGGGGGCTGCCAGGCTGGATCCACTCGGACACGGGCATGACGTACTTGTCGGCGACGATGCGGTTCTCGGTCGCAGAACCAACAAATGCACGAAGGGTCCAAGTCGTGGCTTGGTGGAGGAACACTCCTCGACACACGGCTCCTGAGGAGTCTGGGAAGACAAGTAGGAAGGCATCGGCGATAAAGAGGTTGGACGGTGTAGATCTAGCAAGGGAAAAAGACGGTTCGAGAACACGGACTAACGATTTTTACTTGCGCAGCTGATATGCAAGTAAAAGAATGCAGGATTTAGCGAAGCCAGGATCACTCGGCTAGGCCAAAAGGCTTGCAGTACCGACAATCTAGCTCGATTTATGCCAAAGGCAACATCATGCGCGCTTTATGCGCCTAACACCTGGAGTCAAGCGAGGAGCATTGGAGGAGCAGAGACACAACGCCCTTCAGCGGTTCGGACTCGAAGTTGGGCCGTTTTGACACAAGGCGCCGTTCGTGTGGTAGGTATCGTACAATGACCTCCCATGTTGCGACAGCTGGGGTCTGACTCGGTGTGTGTCGTTTGTTTGGTTCAACGATGCAGTGACGGCATCAGTAGTATTAGAAAGACAGCACAATCCAGACAAGATTAGGTAATCCCCCCCGCTAAAGATTTAAGCTTCCCGTCAGCGGGGAGTGGGGGTCCTCTCTTGGGCAGGGGCGCTAAGAGACATTAAGCGAGACTAACGCCTTTACCTAGGTACCTAGGTACCTAGGAATGGCACTGATCAGGAAACAGCGTGACAGCGTGCGTGCACATTCCCCAGTTTCCTCCTTCCGCTTCGCGTCTCACGCATTGATTGATTGTTCTTGTCCCAGCCACATCTTCTCTTTTCCAATTCCGGCGACTCTCTCTGCATTCCAACGCCCGCCTCCTCCACCGTTTCTCGTCTTTGACCTACTACCTATGGCTTTACCCTGCTGCTTCCGCTGGGTTGCCGTCTCGAGTCCCAATTCGAGTTTCATGCCGGAACCTGACGATGTTCGTCCGATGTTGAGACGCCCTGCTTCACAAACTTCGGCCGGAGAGTTACGTTATCCTCTCGTGTCCACGATATGTAGCGACATCAACACCCATTCCCTGTCAAAGTGGCGCACGGTAGTCTGCCGAACTTGTGCCCTTGTTCGTTAACACGGCCGGCTTGCTGCCTGGCTACCGCATTGCGGCCGAGGGGTCTTGTCTGGCCCTTCTGACCGGCCTTCGCCCAGTTGCTTCTGCGACTAGACGCCAGCCATCTCGTCACCTCTGAAAAGTCAGAGGCAAAGTGCGCTTGTCGTGATTCGCACAAGGCCGGTGCGGAAGCAACATCCCTGTCGCCCGGCCCGGCCCTCTGAAATTCGCATTCATCGGCGATCCCTTATTTATGCCGGCCGGCCATCCCCATGCTACAAGAGCAGACCGCACACTGATTTGCAAAATTGTAGGTCGGAACGACTGGCAGAGCCGTACGCTAGTCAATTTTCCGCGTCTTTCACCCACGAGGTCTGCATTCAATGGCCTTCCCGTACTGCCCACCAGCACGCCCATCCAGCTGAGCCAGTTTAGTGGGGCTGTTGAACCGGGGTCCTGAAGGCTGATGGTCATTCAATGTTCCAGACTCCACCCCTGCTCTGCATCCTCTCGTTCACCGACTACAGACTTGCATCTACCGCGTCCTTTGTATCTGGTTTTGATTACTCAGGGCTGAGACGAATGCCTCCTGGACACCAATAAGGACAGCGACTTAGCGCTACCGCCGTTGAACGTCGAGGTCCAAACGGGAGTACTATTAGCCCGGCATGGCGCTCGCGATATCTGCCTCGATGCCTCGTTACATCTCAAAGCTTTGCCGAGGATGAGCGGGTCATGGCCACGAGTTTCTGGCTTGAGCGGTCTAGGCATCTGCCTAGTCTTGGTCCAAACCACTCCAGTACTATTGCTGTCGTTGTGGCTTTTTCTATCTAGTGCCCGACGTGGACCCAGCCGAGTTGGCCTGGATCGTGGCGTCTCGCACCATGGGTCAACGGGAACGATGGCTCGGATTGGTCAAGGGTAAACTTGTCACAATTTCAATTGAACAGTCTTCCTCGTTCTTGGCATCTGGGAAGGAAGGTTGCTCATCAGTCTCATCGCACTCTATCCACTTCCAAATCTCCTAGTCGCGAAGGCGTCGCCACCCGTCTTGGCCACCACCCGTCACCTCGGAGCTTTCTCTGGCATCACCAGTCCTTGCGTTTACCATTCCTCCTCTCCCAAAAAGGTTTTCCTTACCCTTCGCCAGTCCTTCGCTGTCGTCCTCGCTCTTGTCTCGGGCACTCTTGCCAAAGATTGGGAGAGCCCCGAGTATAAGTGGCTTTACGAGTTCCCTCTTCCCATCCCCCCTCCAAAGACGGAGAAATTGTACGTCAGACACCTTTGATTACCTACCCCAACCTGTCTGAATGTGCTCAATAGCTAACACGTTACCGCAGCCCCAGCCAACCGATCATCGACCCCGTGACTGGAAAGAAGATTAGATACTACGAGATTGAAATCAAGGAGTTCACCGCTCAGGTTTATCCTAACCTCGGACCCGCCAAATTGGTCGGCTACCATGGTATCTCGCCAGGTCCAACGTTCCTAATGGAGCGTGGCGAGGAGGCAGTTGTCCGCTTCACTAACCATGCCAAGTTGGCAAACTCCGTTCATTCTCACTGCTCGCCTTCCGTGAGCATTTCCCCATCGGCCCGACTTGGTATCATCCGCTGACAGTATCACGACCACGCAATCGACCACACCGCCTAGAACGCCTATTTCGGCCATACTGGTGCTTACATACTTCACGACTCTAATGAGGATATACTCGGCCTCCCATCAGGGTATGGAGTCTATGACATCCCCCTTATCTTGGCTGCAAAGCAATTTAACCAGGACGGCTCTTTGTACTCCCCGGCCAAAGAAGAAGCCAGTCTCTACGGAGATGTTATCCACGTCAACGGACAGCTAAGGCCCTACCTTAGGGTCGAGCCGCGCAAGTACCGCTTCCGTCTCCTCGATGCCTCAATTTCCCGCACTTTCTTCCTTTACCTGGAGGATATTCAGCATAACAGAGTTCGTTTTGATGTCATCTCCTCTGACGCCGGCCTCCTCACTGGTCCCCAGAGTGTGACGGAGCTCTACATATCCATGGCTGAACGTTACGAGATCGTCCTCGACTTCTCTTTTTCCAAGGGCCAGAACATTACCATGCACAACACCAGAAGCTTCGCCGCAGACATTGATTACCTCCACACCGACAAGGTCATGCACTTCGTTGCTGGCGACAACACAGTCAGCGATACGACGTCAGTCCCCTCGGCCCTCCGCACGGTGCCCTTCCCTAAGGACAAGGCAGGAATCGACCAGCACTTTCGCTTCGAGCGCCAAGGCGGCTCCTGGCGCATCAACGGTGTCACCTTTGCCGATGTCAACAACCGCGTGCTCGCCAGGCCGAAGCGTGGCACCATTGAGGTCTGGGAGCTCGAGAACAGCTCCGGCGGCTGGAGCCACCCAATCCACATCCACCTCGTCGACTGCCGCGTCGTCAAGCGCGTCAACGGCCGCAGCAACGTCGTGTTCCCGTACGAGTCACAGGGCCTCAAGGACGTTGTCTGCCTCGGCCCGGGCGAGACCGTCACCGTTGAGGTGCGCTACGCTCCCTGGCCCGGCGTGTACATGTTCCACTTCCACAACCTGATCCACGAAGACCATGAGATGATGGCCGCATTCAACGTGTCTGTCCTCGCGGACCTGGGATACTACGAGACGCAGCTCGCGGATCCCGAGTGGCGAGCCAAGACGGAGGATCCCGCTGCCTACGTCTTCAACGCGGTCAAGTCGCGCATCGAGTACATGGCCAAGTTCCAGCCTTACAACAATGTCGAAGAGGTTGAGAGCAGGCTGGACGCCTACTGGGCCACCAAGACTAACGCCCCGTCTACAAGCTCGACGGCCTCAACGCTGATTGTCAGCACCACGCCTACATCCACTCCTGTCAGCCCGACCATCACTGCCAAGCCTACCACGACGAGCATGTCGGACGACGACAAGAAGAAGGACGACGACAAGAAAAATGTATCCACCACCACTACGATGAAAAAGAAGCGCGGCATGCGCGCTCGCCGGGTTGACATGGAGATGCCCAAGCGCACCACGGCGGCTTTTCGGTGCGACGCCTCGCATCAATTTGTAGTTTGCTGCACACATTATTTTATACATGCTAGATTGATTCATATTTGACTGAGCCTTCTCATGAGGTGAGCGTAAATAGTCCAAGGCCTTGCGTCGCTTTGCATGAATGGTTATGTCGCTTTCGCCTTCTTTCCGACTGCCTAGCTTGAAATATGCTGATGGTGGTCCAATCCACGTCAAACATGTACTCTGCTGCGAGCTGGTAGGGATATGTCCCATGCCGCATGACCCGTATCCAAGCTCAAGGGGGTCAAAGTTCACTTCTCGCAAATGCACATGTCTAACAGACCCTGCTCCCATCCCTTGATGACCTGACCATTGCCAATCTTGAAGTTGGAAGGGGATTTCCCGGTCGCAGCTGGCGACGAATTGCGATGCGTCAGTCTGCAAGGGTGCCGCATTAGTGCTGACAGCGCTGGAGGCCAGACTGCCAAAGGCGCATCAGATCACATCCATACTGACTGTTGCGGCTCTGCTCCACACACCTTTATCCTCGATGGGGTTCCGTCCCTTCCCCCGGAGCTCTTTGCTCCTGGAGACCCCAGCCAAACTCTCTGGCGCACTCCAGTATCGCCAGTCTCCCAGTTTTACCTATTGGAGTTATATACAGCAAGGATCGAATAGGCTGCAGTGTCACTGAGTGGATAACAGGAGTAAGTGGACAGACAGTTCTCGGAGAGCTGGATGATCAGATGATAAGAAATGGGGGGGGGGGGGGCATGCTCGAAACAGGTTGGCGACTGCTACAAGCGCCACGTCAGGCAGATACAAGAGTCAACTCGCATGAATGCGTCCGTTCTGCGCTAAACACCCCTGTGGTAGTAGATAGATCGGCTGTCTTTTTCGTGGTTGTGGCTGTGGGGGTGCACGCGGATGCGCCGCCCTTCATTCAGGAATTCCTCACAGCCCTATCAACCTCCTGAGAAAATCCACGACGTATAAGAAGTCTGGTACATTCCCTTTCAGAGGTCTCTCATTCCTCTCAGTTCAATCCAAGGGTGTTTCGGCCCCTAATTCCCCAACCTGTCATATTCACATGACACTGAACCCCGACGGAATTGAAACGCTGGACTTTGGCCGAACCGCAGCGTCGGCGAGTGTATAAGTATATCCTACCCTAACTTCTTTTCATGCCTTCTCACTGCACCACCAAGACCATTCGATATTTCAACCAAGACTTCAACCCAAAGTTCTGCTTCATGCTTCCTTTCTCCCCTCACAGGTGCTGACGGTCGTCGACGAGACGGCTTGACTTCCCAGCTGGCAACAACCGGTGAAGCACGTGCTGCCATGGACTCCTCGGGTCCAGGCGGACCAGCGTGCGAACCATTGAGGCAACTCAGATGCCTCGTCAGGCTCTGGACTCTGGCGAACCATTGATGATGCCTAAACACCAGGCAGAATGAGGCGTCACGAGGCAGATCCCGAGGCGAAAAGTGAAGCGGGAAAGTGAGGCGGGATGGCCTCATACCGCGTCACCTTGCATGGGGCAGGAGCGTCACGCATTCTCACCGACATTGCCTTGATTGGACCCACGTCAACAACGCCAACGTCTGTAATCATTGCGAAACCGACACAAGAATCCTGACGCCACACGCACATGCTGCCTTGAGCTTTATCGACTTTCATTTCATTGGAAGAACAGCCTGGGGACTTGGCCAATCTCCTTTTGTCGTCCGTCTCTGCTTCGCCCGGCCACAGTTGGTCGAAGAGCGCCGAGTAGCTTCACACCGTAGCTGCATATCGCCGAATCCTTGCTCTCGCCATCGCGCTTCATTGACTGAATGATCTGGGCAGGGTGTCGGCGTCCCCATCCTTCACGCCAGGGGTGTGAGGGGCTGGACTTGAAGTCAAGTCAGGCTCAGCTTCAGTGACGCGGTTTAGCATGATTTGCCGCGCTAATCTCCTACACGGCTTAGAGAACTATGAAGGATTCACGACGACAGTTTCCGCCGGGACCGATGGGAGCTTCGATTTGTGCGGCGCTCTGGCTTTTCCCTCCAGCCGAATCGTGATTCATCGAATTCCGGCGCCCGGGCGAGTGCCGGCTCTGGATCCCGTTATCTCGGCAATATGCCGCTCGACTTCGAGATTGTCTCAAGATACGAAGATGTCAAAGTCGTCATCTTTTCGAGAGTTTCACGGAGATGAAAGTCCAAAGACGAACGATTTTTACAGACTCAACACGGTTCTTGACCGACAACTACATGGGCCATGTCCGGGCATGAGCCTTACAAGTTTTAGTGCTGATTTGGTCCGAATTCACATCTGGATTACATCCTCGATGGGCCAGCTCTTCTACTCCAAACTTTCACATATTCAGCTAACAGCTGTCATGGATAAATGCATCCGCCCTGATGAGCCGGCGGCTAGTGTAGAGCGTGAAGTACACCCTCCGTGATGCTAACCGGAACCCCTGTGGGAATTGTATCAACAGCTCGCAACTAATTGGCGACGCAGCAGATTCCCCACACAGACAACATCTCGGATCACAGATACACTAGCTCTGGCGCCTCTCGACTTGCATGCGTTGCGGGCGTTGGATTGAGAGGAAGGCGTCGAGTTATCTTGGCTATTCAACAACTGCCCGCCAGGTTCATTGGCCAGTGCATCGCTTCAATATCTCATGATTTCTGCTCCGCACTCTCTTGACAGGGGTTGGATTTCGCACTTTGTTCAAGCCTAGACTCGGGTCTGGTGTGCGAGGAAATGGTTCGCATTCCCGCCATGAGGGACTGTGTAAAATCAAAAAGGAACGGAAAGACCTGGCATCCTGAGGAAGCCGGCGTCTGCATCACGGGCTATCACCACTTTCCCACCATTTTACGAGAATCTACTCGTGAGCGAGATCCAGCTTCCGGCCTTGCCAAAACACCAATCCAAGGCATCTGACCGTTTCTGCCTAGAACATCCTTGTGATCATGGGCGGGTGTTCCGAGGAATCTGTTTACAAGGGGTACATGATCCGCCTCCCGTTGTCAAACGCACGGAGCAGATGATGCTGTGGTGTGCTGACTAGACCGGACACAGCCATACGGGGCCGAATCCGCCGCACAAGTACTCTTCTCATGCGTCGGAGGAACTCGCGAAGAGCAGAAGCTCCAAATACAGCAGCGAGCTCCCATCCGATGAACCGAGCGCGTATCGAGCCTCTTTCAACAACGCCGACATTGCCACGAGCGAAGAACAAGGCAAAGCGAGAGTCGAGGCGGAGATGAAGAGAGCACTGCGCCAGTTTTATGGCAACTAGCCTCGACGACGCATCGACGGCAGCGTGCAGAGAAGCCCCCCGGGGCTATCGGACACCTCTCAAAAGGCACTTGGGGGTATTCTGGCCTCGACCGTCAGTGAGCTGGCTGTGATGGCGATGGGGTTCTTCCGCTCTCTGCAGCCGTCTGGTTAGTTGCCACCTCTGGGTTAATTATTTGGAGGTTCTTGTTTGTGACTCTGCGCAAGGAGTCGGTGCTTGGTATGGGAACGGCGTTCGAAAGGAAGGGGAAAAGGACATGAACCACGTTTGCATTCGGGATTTTTGTTTCGAAGCAGGCTTTGTAACGACAAGAGGCATCAGCTCTCATCTTTGGATAACAGTAACTCGCATAAACTAATACCCAGATGTATCTTCCTGTTGGGATTGTTCGCTCGTGAGCTATCATTCTCGGGATGACATTTGCGGGTACTTTACCCAGACTCACGTCGCATCCCAAAGCCATAGGTAGTTGGTGTTTCTTCCAGCAGCGCAAGCTTCTTACTATGGACGGGAATGTCCAGCCAATGAGATTCCTACTTGGCTGTCTGTGACTACCAACCTGCCCAGGTACTGAATGAAGGAATGTGGCGGACGACTGCCGGCTGCCTCCAGAGTCGCCACCCAGACTTGGGTCTAGATTGAGCAAGGAGCATCGTGCTGGGGTCTTGCCCAGAAAAGGTTGCTTAGTGCGGCACTTTCCCCGGTCCGGTTGGGTATGTACCACCCACCCCCGACTCCTTCCACTTATCATGATCTACTGCCTGCCTGCCTGTCTACCTAGGTACCTACTCAGGCAAGCACATGTCATAACTCGAAGAAGGCGCGGTGAGGCAAGACTGCTCCTACCGGCGCTTTCCTCTCGCCTTTCAGAGCGTCCCTCATGTTCCAACAACAGCAAGACGACAACGCTGACGTCCTTTCCTAGATACCTGATCACGTATCTCCTTGGCACTAGTTACGTACCATCCGTCTTTGGACCACAACCACTCGCCTAAACGGAAGTTGCCCATGTGGAAAGTCTGCAGCGACACAGCAGCACCTCTGACGGCAATCACGGCTGAACGACCGGACTCCGCCTCTCGGCATCACAACTCGACCACCGACGTGAAGAAAAACCAGCACTGTTTCTACATCAAAACCCTATTGCCCCCAGGGCATCACCCATAAGCACGCCGGCTTAGGCTGATTACAAAGCTTGGCCTCGTATTGCGGCCGTCTAGCCTCTCCGCCTTATACTTGCACCGCCTTCAGGAACGCCCGGCTCTCGTTGCCCTGCGTCACCTTGGCCAGCGGCGTGAGATGGGCCTCCTTGGCCTCCGAACTTCCCTGCAGCTGCCGAATATACGCCTGCGCAACTCTGAGCCAGTTCGCCTTCTCTCCCCTGCTGGCGCCCTGTCCTTCCCACACCCAGACGGCCCGTCCCCCATCATCCAGCAAGAACACGTCCTGTCCGTCAAAGTCCGAAAGCGCCGCCCGACTGCCATCCTTGACTATGTCGAACTTGAGCTCGCCCGAAGCATCGCTGAGCCGGAAGAGCTTCTGGGGCCTTTCGCCAGCGTGCGCCTTGGACGCTGACCGGACCGGCCTGGGGCACTGGAACCCGGACTGCGGCGTATCGTCGTCGCCTCCGAGGAGCTTGACGATGACACGGGATCGCGACTCTTCCTGAGCCAGAACCTCGACGTCGATGTGCTTAGCCAGGGTCATGTCGTTGACCACCTGCGCCGCCTTGGCCTTCTCCATCGGGCTGCAGCTCTTGCCCTGCCACTGCCAGATCTTATTGCCCGTATCCAGCACAAAGACGTCGCTCTCGTCCAGACTCTGCCACGTCGGCTCCACCTCGTGCACCACCACTCCGTTGGCGCCCACGGACGGATTCTTGAAAATGCGCAAAAGGGTAAGGATCTCCTCCTTGGGCCCCCCGTCCTCGACATGCCGGAATCCGGATCTGACGCCACCCGAGCGAATTGAGATGCGAGGAAACAGTCCCAAAAACTCGTCGGATGGCGCCGACTGCAGCTCACGATGCTGTGTCGCAGCCCCGTGCAGGAACTCGTCGAGCTCTACTGTCTTGTACGCAGCCGTGCCGGCCTCGTCCTGCGAAGTGTGGGCCCCGAGCCAGAAGAAGATGTCGTGGCCTAGCTTCTCAGTTCCATCCTTGCTGCCGACCTTGTACGAGTGGAGAACGATATAGCTGTCACCGTCCATGAACTGGCCGTACTTCTCCTTCGGCCACGGCTTGACCTCAAAGTCCTCGATGCGCCAGACATGTAGCCCTGTCGACTGGCCGACCTCCCCATCATTCCAAGCCGGCTCGGTAGCCGCAGACTTGTATTTCACCTGGTGGTCGATGTCCGTGCCAATGAGTTCGACATTACTATCCTTGATATCGTACTCCTTGAGATGCACAAGACCTTGGTTTGGCGCCATGATTTCGTTCAAAAGATTTGTAGGAAAGAAGCTGACAAAATTTGTCCAGGTCGAATACACGAGTCGACACGTCCGTCAGTGTTGCAAGCATAAATAAGGCGGAAGTTGATCAAGGGTGACCAAGAATAGCGTTTTAACGTCATCGGACACGGACATTCTGAAAGGTGGCTCAGTCATTCACAGTGGAGCGCCGCTCCTCAGCTTGTGCGGGGATCAACGAATTCAATTGGGCCGTCGTCGCGGCTTCCTTGCAGCAGTATCGCGAAGCCACACGAGATCCCTCAATCAGGTACATACAGGTACAATGCCCCACGAACGCCTCGGCAAGATTCCAGTAAGATGCAAGACGCCCTGGCGCCAGCCTTGCTCTCGATATGCTTTTGCGTCTAAAATCGGAAACAGATGGCCCGTGAGGGGGAAACAATGGAAAACACACTCTCCACACCCCCACGCCATAGCCGTCTCAGTTGAAGGGAGTGTTGAAGCCAAGCCAGTCCGACTCTGGATCTGGTAGCCCTGTAGTCCTCATGGAATCACCGCCCAGTCCGCTCATGACCTGCGGCTGCAGCAGATTCGTATGGCCGTTCGCTACTCTTGTCGGCTCCGAGATTTTGGGGTAGTTGAAAAAGTCGAAGACGTCAATATTGTCCAATTCGCTCAATGATGTTACCTGAGTCGACGTCGGCTCCAATCCGGACCGTCGAGTGGCGGATGTCAATGTTACCAAATCGTGGGCGCTCCTAGGAGACACACTATTAGCGAAGAGCGGGGACCGAGTGAGGGACTCGGGATACTCACTTTCTCATGGCGGCGAAGCTCATGTCGCCTTGACGGCCCCGTTGTACCACCCGAGCGAGGATCTTGGCATAGTTGTTCGCTACCTCCCAATACTGCCCGACGTGACGCAGCGTTTCGATGAAGAAATCAATCTTTGGGTCAACAGGGCAACCGACGGTTGCGGCGTGGATGAGCAGCAATCTCGCGGCCACCCACAGGGAAAATGCAAACGGGGGCCCCAAAAGATCAAGACCGTTCGCCTCGAAGACGTCTTGCGCAATATCGCCCAGACTTTGCACGGCAGACAAGCACCTTTGCATCGCATAGTGCGATGGGACAAAGATGTGCGACCTCACGGTGGGGTACGCAGCAGATGAATGCAGACGCACGACCGACGTGACATAGGCGCTATGCAGCATAAACCAGTTGGCGACGCGGCTTGCTGGATCGGAGTGGCACAGGGCCGATATTCTGCTATACTCGCTCGGCAAGCTCTGCAGCCAGCTGTCGAGCGCACTGTCCAGCGATCTGTATGTGTTGCGCCAGACAGCCATGTCGGCCGATGACGTTACGTTGATGGGTGTCTTGAGAAAGTCGTGGACTTTGCTGAGGATTCGCAATATCTCGCAATGATACGAGAAACTGCCAAGGTTTTCGGGTTTGTTTATTTCTGGACTACCCATCTGGTCGGACGACGGGCTCCATGACCTCGTTTCGACGGGAACGTTTCGAGAAAACAGGTCGTACGAACACGGCAGGCCGCGCTTCATCTTTTTGTCCTCGAGCATGAAGTCAAATGTGGTTGTTGCAATCGTTGCATATCGATCGAGGAGGTAAACCATCCAGCAAAGCCGACGACGGCCCTCGTCTTCGATCCACGATTCAGGTCGGCCCATAACAACACGGCGGATCGAGCCGGTGTTTGGTGTATCCTCAACTTCGGCTGTGAGGTACACGCTGCTCTCCTCGCAGAGGTCCAGCTGCCTCACGTTTTGGGCGAGGAGTGCGAGCATGTTCCAGCCGCGGGGTCCGTTTGAAGTTCCCAGCTCATCCAGGCAGAGGATAACCAAAGCCCTCAGCGCCGCAATGCTGACGTTCTCCATGGCGTATATCTGCACCCGGTGTTTCGATAGTGCATGGTGGTGGGAGCACATCTCGGGCGACAATCGCGGGTCTTTCAGGAACCTCAGGGTAGTTGCAACTATGGCGTGCAAGAGAACCCTATCGGCCTCGTTGAGGGATGTCGAACCGAAGAAGGCGCCGAAGGTTGTCTTGCGGTCCAGGATGGGACACCACGTGTTGCAATGCTTGAAGTACAGGTCGACAAGCGTGTACAACAAGTCGTGTGATGGGAATTCGGACACGGTCGGAACAGACGATGCATCTTTTCGAGGCGCGGCCGCGCTGAGTGATGCCCCCGTTTGATTGAAAGATTCGCTTGCTGAGAGATTCAGGAGGGCCTGTACCGAGGTTCGATCACCACTCTGGAGGGCTCCCTGCGCATCACCACCCTGCCAGAAAGGGCCCGAAAAGGCTGACGTTCTGTCATTCGACGTGGGCGTTGGTCTGGGAAGACCGGGGCCTGGGCTGACGCCATTGGTATCCTGATGTGATGCCTCGACTTGCGAGGGCGCCTGACTGCTGATGGCTGGCGAGAGACCAGGAGGAGCGGCGACGTGGTCGTTGGATATGTGCTCTTCCACCCGACGGCCAAGGGCCTGTAGAAGAGCATCGAGCCTGTTGACCTTGGCCTCAAGTTCAAGACTGAAGCCAATGCGACTCCCGGGTTTCTGTCTTTCCAGGTAGACACAGGTCCGATTGTGTCGGGCACACCATGAGCATGCAGGCTCTGCACGATCACACTTCACCTTCCTTGCTTTGCACAGCTCGCATCTGGAAATCAGTCAGCTGACGTCGGTTCATTACATCCGGGGTGTCACAATATCGGCGGCAAGCAACGTACGACGTCTTTTGGTGCTTTTCCCGTTTGCGCTTCCTCGGGGGGCCACCCGAGCCGTTGTTGGTCGTGTCATCACCGCTTGAGCCCTCGTCGTGACTGAACACCGAGTTCGCTTCCTCCTCGGCCATTTGTTGCGAACGTGCATTCGTGTCTGACATGTTTGTCCCATTGTCGTGGGAACTCCACATTTCCCCTTTTTACTTGACAGACTGCGATGGCGTTGCTCTTATCAGAACACTTTTGGATGTAGCCTTGAAGAGTTTGGCCGAGTTTGATGTCAGGGAGTGGTCATTTCACGAGTAGGCGGGCATGCAGCAGCAGCAGCAGCAGCAGCAGTAGCTGACGGCAGACGAGCAGACAAGTAAGTCGCCTCAGCTAGTTAGAGCTAGGATGCTGCTGCAGAGAAGGGTTACGCCACAGCACCTGGAGACGGCGCATGGGTTATATCCGGCCTTGTCCGCGTTGGTTGGCCGCGGCAGAAGGGGAATCTACCGTGAGCGGCCGACTGTCAGTCTGCCCTGCTGATCCGTCGCCGGGCTTATATCAGTCAAGATCGTCTTGTGTGGGTGTGTGCGCAAACCTGCAGAGCTGCAGCCTGCAAGTCGAGCAGTGGAGAGAGTGGGAAATGAGCGCCGAGTCTTCAGCGAGAGGCAAAATTGCTGGTGGACCATGGTAGGGGTAGGGGAAAGTTCGGCGACTCAAGCCCGCGATAAGCGACTTTGTCAGCAAAACGAGCCGCGGGGCTCGTCGGGGTTCTCGCCCGACACACAAAAGCCCGGCAGAAGGATGCGAACAATGATGAAAAAGATCCAATTATTGACCCACTATCATCCACAGTAAAAGAGTCGCATCTTCTCTGGACAGCGACATAACTACTCAACCACTGCCAACTCATGTCAGGCTGAGCTACATGCACTATCATGCTACCGAAGACGACGGAAAGGCACGGTCAAAAGACTTCTCTCACAGCGCACCAACCACCCGAGCCCAGAGCTCTCGTCCACCGGAAACCCCGGGTACAAGCACAGCCATGGGACAGACTAAAAGGATAGAGTAAGACTGTTACGTCCGATGATGGACTATCGGGGCGCATTAGGGGCAGTTACGAGAGTGAAAGCCATTTCCGACGAATAGACACCACAGAGGACCGACGATGCTGTTATTACATGGCTATAACAGGACATGCAGGAACCGCGCCGCCTCTCTTCCCCTCACCTCATCTTCAAATATATTACTGGTCGGTAAAGCCTCTATTTGGCAAAGAACGCCGTACCCCGCTCCTTGCCGTCCTCCTGTCGCGCCTGTCACGTTTTATACCTAACTCCTACCAGCATCATCCTTTCGGCGATGAACCTGTCAAAAGGTGCGGGGGAGCACGGAAGGGGGCACGGCAGTCGCTTCGACGATACCTTCTCCGCAGGTTCCAAGTCCATCCAACCACTTGGCTGGTGTTCCGACGAAGTAAGTTATTTACAGTTCATCGTCGTCCTGTTTACGACTTACTTAGTGGTCGTACGAGCGGGACGGATGGAGATGCGGACACAAGTCCGATCGCATACACTCGTGGAGGGGGGGTATCAAGACAGAGATGCAACATACTGCGGATTTCCCTGTAACCGCCGACTTGGTTGACAGGCAAAGGCAAAGCAGCACCTTGCACACACGCGCGCGCAAAGTCTGGCCGAGGTAAAAAATTCGTCATACCGTCGTCATCCTACTTATGATACAGAACGGGTTCTTTTCCACAAGACGCCGAAAAGCGCATGCGCATATGCCATCGTGATTGGAGATCTCTCAGACAACAGAATGTGGTATATCGAAAGAGAAAACAAAATCGGAAAGGAACAAGAAAATGTCACAACGTGAAAAGTAGACCCTCTGAAGAGATGTTTTAGCTTGACCAGCCCTTGCTCATCTGGACGGCTTTTTCCCAGCGGCCAAACCGCTCGGAAGCCTCCTCGTCAGAGATGGCGGGCTTGAAGATGGTGCGGCCCTCAAGATTGATGTCCTTCAGCTCGTCAAAGTTCTTCCACACCCCCACAGCAAAGCCTGCTGCAATGGCCGCGCCAAGGGCCGTGGTCTCGCGCATGCCTGGGCGGTTAACAGGGATGCCAATGATGTCGGACTGGGTCTGTTACATGGGTCAGCCTGTTTTCTCCCGAGGTTCGGATAAGGTCCGGCTGTAGGGGGGGGGGGTTCTTCTTCTGTAAGCACTTACCTGCATGACGAGATCGGAGTTGCACATGCCACCGTCGACGGCGAGCTCGGTCAGAGCTGCGCCGCTGTCCTTCTCCATGGAATCCAGGATGGCCTTGGTCTGGAAGCAAGTGGCTTCGAGAGTGGCACGAGCAATGTGACCACGTTGAGTGTAGGCAGTGATGCCGAAAATGGTACCGCGGGCATCATCGATCCAGTACGGGGCGAATAGGCCGCTAAATGCAGTGACGAAGGTGCATCCGCCGTTGTCCTCGACAGTCTCGGCGAGCGCGCTGAGCTTGGAGGACGACTCCATGAAACCCAAGTTGTCAACAAGAAACTTGACACTGGAGCCCGCAACAGCAATGCTGCCCTCGAGGGCATACATGGTCTTGCCAGGGCCAAAGTCGAAAGCGACGGTGGTCAAGAGGCCGTGAGAAGAGATGACGGGCTTGGGACCAATGTTATAGAGTAAGAAGCAACCGGTGCCGTAAGTGTTCTTGGCAAGGCCAGCAGTGAAGCCTTTCTGCCCGACCAGGGCAGCGGACTGGTCACCCAAGCAGCCCGTGATCTTGGTGCCGCTCAGCAAGGTGTTGTGCAAGGAACCGTAGGCCTCGGGGTCCGAAGAGCGGACAATCTTGGCGAGCTTGACCTTCTTGGGGTCGATCCTGAACCAATCGATGAGGTCCTCGTCGTACTGGAGAGTATGGATATTCATGAACATGGTACGGGCAGCATTGGAGGGGTCGGAAACGTAGACATCGCGGGCGGTGCCGCCATTGAGCTTGTACACCAACCAGGTATCAATGGTGCCGAAGGCCAGAACACCACGCTCATAGGCGTCCTTGACCTCGGGGACGTTGTCAATCAGCCAGAGAAGCTTGCCGACGGAGGGGTATGTGGAAAGAGGAAGACCGCATCGCTGGGTGAGCTCGCTGGCGCCGAGGCGTTGCTTCAGTCGGCGGACGAGGTCCTTGGTACGGGTATCGGTCCAGACGATGGCGTTGTACAGGGCCTTGCCGGTGGTTGTGTCCCAGAGGACAGTGGTCTCTCTCTGATTGGTGATGCCGACAGCCTTGATCTGGTCGCGGGAGTGGCCTTGGGTCTCAAAAGCCTTGACGGCGCCGTCAATGCACTTCTCGACCGAGGAAACAAGCTCCTCGGGATCGTGCTCGTGCCAGCTGTCGCAACTCTCATTAGCCTCCGAAACTACAGCACGGCTCCGATAAGCCGGTTGAAGTAGCGCGCGCGCGCGCGAGCACAGGCGCAACTTACCCCGGATTGGGGTAGATCTGCTTGAACTCAATCTGGTGAGTCGCAATGACCTCGCCGCGGGGGTTGAAGATGAGGAAACGGGTACTCGTGGTGCCCTGATCAATGGCGCCCACGAAGGAGATGTTGGAGCCAGAGCCCCCGTTCACGGAAGCGGGAGACATGGTGGGGGAGTCTTGTTTGAAACGGCGGGGAAGAAGAGACGAGAGCATCCAAAGATGGCGTCGGCGACAAGGAAGGGGGGGGGGGGGGGGGGGGGAGCGCAACGCGGAAGACAAGAAGAGACGGGCTTGGGTATATTTTGCGAAACGGGATGGAGAGGGAGAAGAGTAAGAAGAGGGCACACGATGAAGAGCCAAGTTTCACGGGCTGACAAAATATTTGTAGGTGCCCGCGCAGGGAGGAAACTCAGCTCCAGTCTCCAAGCTCAGCGCTCCAACTCCAACAAGCAGACGGTGCACGCGGCTAGCTCCCTCCACGGGGAACGGCAACTTTTCTCAAAAAGCCACAACCCCTCATTCTCATGCATCATATCCCCTCTACCCCATCCCAGATCGTGTGGAGATATCACGAGATGAGCCCAAGGAGCTGGGCCTGGGTGAGAAATCCGCTGGTCTGTCAAAGGGGGCCGTCCCCCCAGATGCAGGATCCACTGCGACTGGGGAAACGCGAACGGGTCAAGCGGGGTGGGTTACCTTGACATGTGCTCACGAGGATGTTGAAGAACTCGGAAGGGCGAGCGCATCCTTCCACGCGAGAAGCCGGGAGGGATACATGTAGGACAAGATTCGGGGCGAAGGCACCGAGTTGGGTCGGTAATGGTTCGATACTGGCGAGCAATGTCGGCCGTGGTCAGCGAGCACAAGTGGGGGGAGACCGGGGGGGGGGAGGTAGCACCCTCTCTAGTAATGGGCTTTGATGTCATTCCCAAGTCGCACTCTACGACTGCACCAGCTTCGGTCTGCATCGGCGAGCTCCACGGAAGGCCATGGTGGGCCCGGCCGTACGCCGGTCTTTACCTACATATCCTGCGAGCAGGTCAAGAGGGGGGAGGGGCACCGGTTGCCCGAGGCTCCTTCGAAGAAAGCGGGGTCGAGAGAGACAGAGAGAGAGAGTACAAGTACGGACAAGGAGATGATGGGCTGGCTAGCGTAGCCTTTGCCCACCCGGGTTAGGCCCGTGTTCCGAGAACAGATGGATGCGCCGGTCGCCCCCGCGTGCATGCGTGCGTGGGATGCCTGTCTTCTGGTCTGCTGCGTCTTTTTCTAGCCCTGCTGCTGCAGCTGGTGCTGCGGCTACAATCTTCTTGGTGCATTCGAGGGGCGCATCGCAAATGGAACGAGGACGAGTAGATTTCTGCCCCCCCCCCTCTCTGTCTACATACAGCAAGTAGTTTGTTGTAAGTGGACGGAGCTATACATTTGGACTGAATTGCGCAAGTATGATATTGCGCCCTACACACACACGTTACAACCAACCAACTAACCAACCAGAAGCAGCGATTCGGAAACCGACACACCTTGGTTGGGGCATACTGGGAGATAGAGACTCACACGCATACACGCACCAACGCTAGAAGCAGTGGACGAACGTATGAATAACGTTTTGTTTGACCTGACGAGCCGGAACATGTATGCGACAGCGTCACAACCCTACCAATTGCCACCCTGCCTGCCAGCCGGTATATGCATGCCTTTCGAGCGCAGATCCTTTCCACCCCCTCGTCTCTTTTTTTTTCTTCTCATTTTTTTGAATTCGGGCAATAACGGCGAAACCAGTTCTCATGCCGCTGACATGCCGCCCCCCTACGTTACGTTGCAACCGCCCGCTCGACTGCCATCTCATTTGTCCGGGTTCGAGCGGCCAACTGCGGGGAAAGAGGCGAATGTTCCATCGTGGGATCAGCAACGGCTGCGAACTCGACTGACCAGGGGTTGCCCTTACCTGCACTGCGTTATACCGATGCGTGACTGCGGACTGCATCCTCTCCAAGAAGAACCTTGTTGCTGACGGGCACCCCGAGACTCGGGTTGCATCTCTTCTGTTTTGTTTTCTGACCGAGGGCTTGTCTCGTTTGCCCATCCGAAAGTCTGTTGAGGACACACTGACACCAACGGGAGGACCAGTCAGCCAAACCTTGACCTAAAAGAATGCAAAGGTTTCCGGGCACGGTTTCAACTTTACGTGCAGATAATCCGTTTCTCTCCCACTCTCACACGTCGACCAATGATGGACGTACCGTCTCGTGTGTATGACGTTTGCCTGGGAGTGAATCCGCTCGCCCCGTCACTGTCAGATTTGCCATCTCCACCTCGATGGACCCCTTGGCGCCATGGGCCATGGCCCGGCCCCCCCCCCCCCCCTCCCCAGACGGTCGATTGTGCAGGGATGAATCATACAAGAGGCAACCTTCCGATCTGATCAGTCAAGGTTCAGAGTTACATCTCGACATTGAATGGGGAAAGGCGCGGACACTATCCGGACTACCTACAGAGGTTCGCGTCGCTGCCTCCTGCTAGGTACTGCGGCTCGGCTGCAGGCTCTCTCTCTCCCACTCACCCTGCAACCAAAGGGTCATGAGACTTGCACGCGCGTCATGTTCGGTTTGTCCAGGCAATTCATTATTCCTCGCCTTCACGATAGACAAGAGTGGCGTCGAGTGGACAACAAAATCGCTGACTGAACGGTTTGGCCCGCAAAAGGAAGTTGAGTTGCATAACGAAAGCTCCTGTGTCGTAGGTATCAGCATCCATCCCTCCCCCCCTTCGCCTCTTGTATCCGTTCCTCTCACTCCCGCGGAAGGCAGACGCACCGGAAACTTACCTCACGTCCGCCACCCCAGCCTCTTTTTTGACGCAAATGTATTCATCCGTTTCATCCGACCACCCCATCTTCTGTTGTGGGAACTGCCCTAGAAGCTTACCTTGAAGAAACCATCCCTCCATGCGCATGGTATAAAAAGTGAATCTGCAAGAGAGTTGCAGTCGCACCCACCCCGCCCACATGCACACACACACACACACACACACACACACACACACATCCACAGCCAAGCATCCTGCATTCGTGTTTGGAGTAAAGCCTACTGCTTATTAGTGGTGCGGGTGGAGGTTACCTCATCGTTTCGTACCTCTACATACCTCCTCTGACAACCTTAGACATTCTCTGGGCCGTTCGCGGTGCCCACGCCCGTTTTATCTTGGCGAACCCCGGTCCAAAGGTTAGAAAGGGGGTTCGAGTAAGCCAACGGATCGAAGGAACAAAAGCTACAGACAGAGTTGCTTCAGATCCTCGGCCGCCGTCCGGCAGCAGTATCACCCGCAGGGTACCGGGGCGTCGTACTTCTCGTTCCGTCTCGGCCGTCGTCCAACCTCATCTTCGGTGCGAGCCACCGAACTGCATCATATCCATCCCCTTGTCCCACCTTCGCGTCCTTTCTTTCTTCGTCTCTCTTCTCACTCGACCACAATCACCCTGAGCGAGTTTCCATCGTCGCCCGGCCCACCTGCATCGTTCGACCCTTTTTCTTCTTTCTTCCATCACCCCACCACATCTTGACCTCGTGAGCGCCATCTGCATCCCCATCTCCATCGCTCTCCGCAAGACCCGGACACGAATCCCCGTTTGGGAACACTCGCGATAGTCACATCACAGAGACGCTTGCCTCTTCTCACCAATCCCACACCCTCGTCTCTATCCCGAGTCGTCGGTCGGCCATACCAGGAATCCGATATTGGAAAGATAGCCAAATCTCGCCCCCTCCCCCGCCATCTCGGTTGTTGAGGTTCCCAAGGACAGACCACCAATCCCGGGGAAATATCGTACTGAATAGGTTAAAGAGAGGAGGATCCACCTACCCAAGCCACGGGGTTACAAACAAGACACATCCAAAGTGATCGAAAATGGGTAAGCGTCAAGAAGAAGGCATTTCACTTGCATTTGCGATGCGTCGGTGCCCCCGTCACATCACACCCCCATGTCCCTTCTTCTCCAAGTTGCGTGAACCTAGTGGCCCTCAATCTTGGTCCATGCCTCCTCATGCCTCCCCCCTCATCTTTCCCCAAGAAGCAGATCCAGACCCGGCGGATTGGTTGCAACGGCTGTCCAGCCCCGTGGGAACACCATGAGCCCGTGGGTGCCATAAGAAGATCTTTCTTCCCCACGGTCTGCGATGTGAGATGTTATTTCTCGTTGCATATTTCCATCTTCACCCCGCGTTCTGCTCCCTTCACCCCCACCCATCTCTGTCTCTCTTCATCCGCAATCTCTGCCTTTGACCCTCTGGGTCCCTGCCATTTCAAATCTGTCTCGGTTCGGTTCTAATGGTCATCACTGTCCACACAGCGGATTCGGTGTCAGAGTCGTCGTACATCGGCAAGCACCATATCCCGACTTTCAAGAACGAAATGGGAGGCGAGGACACCCACGAGGAGCACGCCGTCGGCAGCATGCTCCCAACTCATCATGAGGAGGAGCAGCTGGTCTGGGCGCGCATCCGCGATCATCTCCAAGACGGGTTCTCCGAGTTCTTCGGGACCATGGTCCTCGTCCTCTTTGGTGACGGTGTCGTCGCCCAGGTTGTCCTGAGTAAAAGCACCAAGGGTGACTACCAGAGCATCTCCTGGGGCTGGGGGTAAGTGAAGTGAATCCCTTGAAGATGCGCACGCAGGCAGCACCGCCTCCATACTTGACTTCATCGCATGGTATAGTATGGCAACGGGGAAGAAACTGATGGGCTGACTCTGGACTTAGACTGGGTGTTATGCTCGGCGTCTACTGCAGCAAAAAGTCTGGCGGACACCTCAACCCGGCAGTGACGCTGGCCAACTGCGTGTTCCGCGGTCACCCGTGGCGCAAGTTCCCCGTCTACTTCATTGGCCAGCTCCTGGGCGCCATGGTGGCAGCCCTCATCGTGTACGGCAACTACATCAAGGCCTTCGACGCGTTCGAGGGCGGCGCTGGCATCCGCACCGTCGGGGGCCCCAACTCGACGGCCGGCGTCTTCTGCACATACCCCGCCGCGTTCATGACCCGGACGGGCATGTTCTTCTCCGAACTTATCGCGTCCTGCATCCTCCAGTTCGTCATCTTCGCGCTCGCTGACCCCGCCAACGGAGCAGCCGGGCCCTTGATGCCCTTGGCCCTCTTCTTCCTCATTTTCGGCATCGGTGCCTGCTGGGGCTGGGAGACCGGTTACGCCATTAACCTGGCTCGTGACTTTGGCCCCCGCCTGGTTTCGTACATGCTCGGATACGGGAGTGAGGTGTGGTCCGCCGGTGGATACTATTTCTGGGTAAGCAGAATCCTTCGTCATCCTGCCTCGGCCCCTCTTCTTTCTGTCTTTCTCTCTCTTTCTCGCAAGGGGGCTGTTGCGTGTCGGCCGCCATGTGTGGGCGAAACATGTGCCAAGTTCCGGGACTAACAAATCGGTCAATAGATCCCCATGGTTGCCCCCTTCTTCGGAACCCTCCTCGGTGGCTTTCTATACGATGTCTTCATGTACACGGGCGAGAGCCCGATCAACAGTCCCTACTTTGGTCTCACTCGTCTCTTCCAGCCCCGCCGAAATGTGTGGTCCAACACCTACAAGAACCACCACTTGGGAAAGGTGTAAAGAGATGATGACTTATCGTGTGTCGACGTGTGTGTGATTGAGCGTCGTATACGTGAGAATGAGACAGAACAGAAGGAAACCAGAACCAGATCCGAGGGATGATACCAAAAATCTTTGGAGAGGGAATGAACGGGCGGCCGACTCGAATCTGGGACACTAGTCCCTGTGTAGTCGCGGAGAAAAGACGCGGATGAAATGATCAAAGATTTGCTGCCCCTTATGGCGAATAAGAATGTCGGGGCAAAAGTACTCAAGGCGCAATTCGGTTCGGTTCTTTGTTTTTAGTTCTTTGGCTGCGCCGCCGTTCGTAGTTCGCCAAGTTGCGTCGAGTGCGTTTGCTCGTCTGTCCGGGTTATTTGCCGCTGGTGTTAGGTGTAACCGATACGGCGGTACTAGTGTATATTTTTGTTGAACTTTTTTTTACGTGCGTTTGCATCGTAATTTGTGTCTTGGGGAGGGCAATAGAGTTGCCTTCCTCATAGCTGTCGTTAAAACAAATGAGAAAAGTAATCATCACAAAGCATCAAGTTCACCGGGTTGTTGTTCGTGCATGTCTATGTGTGACGACACGGACGAGAGCTCTCGGACTCATTCTACGTGCATTATGAACTTACCAAGAAGAGAGGGGGGAAGACGCGCTCAGTCGGCAATTAGTATGTTCGTGAGGACGGTCTCTTCGAGACCTTCGAGACTGAATCTCTTGCCAGGTGGAAAGAAAGAAGAAAGAACGAAAAAAGCCACTTCGCTGGAAGATTGGTACGACGCCCGAGGTGTGGGTGAGGCCCCGAAACCTTGAGAATTGTTCCGTCGAGTCGGCGGTTTTCCTGCGGGGGAAAGAGCAGAATGATTTTGGGGGTAGCGGCATGGCGCGCCCACGGCGTCGGAATGCTTCCCTAAGAACTTCAGAACGGCCAAGACACTGCAGGGTGCAACCTGCACACTGGGTTCCGAGAGGCCAGGACACACCTAGTGGGAGGCGCAAGAGAGATAGACTAGCGGTTTACGCGTCCGTTTTGGGAGGCGCTGGAGTCCGATGGCTTGGTGAATTCACCGACATTGCAGCAATGAGTCTGAAAGCCACCCCTGTTCATATTGACGCCATCTTGGCCTTGGAAGCGGATAATGAAGATCACTTGTGCTGGCTTCGGCTGCTTAGCCATACCACGCACCTGAATACGCGTCCAGCCGCGCCGCTCACTCACCAATGCCCCCCTCCTGCTCCTTCCTGCGCAATAAATCTGTGCATTGATGTTGGCAAATGATTGCATCGCAACCCTGTGCAGGGAGAAAAGGAGTCGAGGGGCATATTTGCAGTGGTTCCATTGGAGTGCGCGACCTCATCTTGATTCCTCGCGCTGAGGAGAATGCCTAGAGGGGGGGGGGGGGCGGTAATGGCTGAAGGACGAAGGAAGAGTCGCTGGATGGATAGTTCGTGCACTGGCTGGTCTCGTCGTACCTGGGTGGTGCGTTTACCGTTTGCAGGTAGGCGCATGCCGTATACACTCTCGAGAGTTTGTCGAAGGAAAGTGTGGCGTCTGGTCACCCGCCTGTTGCGGAAGCTCAAACAATGGTCTGCGACATTGGAGAGAGAGGATGGCATCCGGTTCTTAAGATGAACCTGCGGCCTCGGCCCCTTGAGGACCTTTCAAGCCTCTTCGGGCAAGCCTCACTTCGAGCCTCGAGATGAAAAAGTGAGGCGAGCCCCAGAATAACCAAACCCCGGTGAAAGAGGAGTCCATGAGAAGATTTCAAACGCTGGCGAGTGACCGGGCCGATTGTACTCGCCAGTCTGTCTCTATTGTGTATGCGGTGCTGATTATGTTGCTGGGTGGGTGCGCTGCATGAGCATGCAGGACGCGCGATCCAGCGGGCAGCGGTGGTTTGGTGGTGATTCTGCAGGGCGGTGGTGCGGTAAGAAAGGAAAAGGAAAGGACATGACCATGCAGGCCCATAAACTGTGCCGTGCGGAGCCAAGGTGTGGTCGCGGAGATGGAGAAGATGTAACACCGAGGCGGAGGGGAGGAGGGGAAGCAAAAGGGACAGGGGGAAGGAGGGTTCAACGGCAATGAGGGGAACTCTGCACTTGCCTCCAAATGTCTCATTCTCGCCCAGAGGCGGCCAGCTCTTCCCCCAATTCTTTTTTTGGTAAGTGCATCTCCCCTCCCGACCCCCCCCTTCCCCAATTATTTCTTCATCATTCGGTGATGAGAGCCGAAGCCACCGAGCCAGGGGTATTCGCCTCTCAAACACCGACACGAACCCGAAAGCACCGTTGCCTCGGCGTTTCAATACCGACATGCATGTAGGACAAGCGCACTTGAGGCTCTGACTGGAAACATGCACCACACGGATGGGATGACACTAGGCAATATGGATAACTAACGACTCTCTTTCCCCGGGGCCCCCCAATCATTTCTCCATATCGATCGAATGTTGCGCTGTTACCGACATGGCGAATGATGAGCGGGTCTCCTCTTCCCTGACCTGACTCTGTCTGTCTCTCGTTCGTCCACCAGGTCCATGATGTCAGACCCCGACCTGACATGACAGTGATGCTTGTCTGTACGTGTACGTCCAGAGACGGCTAGCTTGGGCCGCCCGGACAATCCGGCGTCTGGTAACGCAACGTGCCAGACAAAGGAATGCAGAGCAAAGCAAGACACCGTATGTTTTGGTACCGCAGATGGCAGAAACGATCAGGGCGAGAATCAACACTGCAAAGGTTGGCTGGCGTACCACGGGTGCGCCTGCGGCCACGTGGGGGGTCGAGGTCCAATGCGAGCGATGGCGGCGTTGCTGACATACATACCTAAAGTCGCACCAAAGTTTGCGCTTTTAGCTCCCAAGCCCGATGAACGATGAACTGTACAGATATGGTTTCGTCTCCCATCTCCACGACCCTACTACGTCCGTGGCTACACTACCTGGGTAGGGTAGGTACTGGTAGGTATCTCCGTACCACCACCCACGCACACCCCCCCCTTTCCGATCTACTTTTAGCCTCTTTTGATCTCTGCTGGCTTCTTCTTTTCCCTTCTTCTCTCTCCATCTCTCTCTCCATCACACAGTACCTATTTCGTACCCTCGCCCGATTCTCTCTACCTCCCTGTCACATTATACCACCTCCAGTAGTCTACGTTCGCCTTGCCAAGCTCACTGCCCAACGGCAAGATACACTCTCGCGTGAGCTCGGGGTGTCATTCCACGAATCGAAACGCACAGTTGCGGGTGAGGCGGCCCAGCCCGGGGTAGCTTCCCTCTTCCAAACGGTACCTAGGTTGTATACCTACCAGTACCTTTCTTGCTCTCTCTCTCTCCCATTTTTTTTTATTGTCGTTCCCAGCCAGCCGGAAATCCATCATTTTGCCGATCATCTCGGACCCTTTTAAGCATTGAGCTTCTTCTTTTCCATTTTATCCCCCCCCCGTCCCCCTTCCTCTTCTTCTACTTCTCCAGGATTATCACCTGCGACCTCTCCAACCAGACCAACGCCGAGGAAAGAGTAGTAGCTACAGATACCCCACTCTACGTCAGGGACTGTCGACTACCTCACCACCACACACGCGCCCAACCCGTATTACTCGTCCTCTTCGGACTCGGCCTCAATCTTCCCATTGTGTGAGAAGGCCAGTCTACAGCATGCCGCCCCGCTTCGCAAGCCTGAGAAGGCCCGTCGTCATCGCCGCCGCCGCCGCAACTGGTGGTGTCGTCGCCTACTCGACCTTTCTCAGCGGCCGCGGAGCTCACAGCTTCGATAAGCCGCTGGTTGAGCTCAAGCGTGACAACCAAGGCAAGATCATACCCCCCTCATTCCCCATCGCCAAGGATCGCGCTTCTCAGCTGGCCGATCTGCGCGCTCATAGCTCCGACACCCACGAGTACGACCTGCTCGTCATCGGCGGCGGCGCCACCGGCACCGGCATCGCTCTTGATGCCGTCACCCGCGGCCTGAAGGTCGCTCTCGTCGAGCGCGACGACTTCTCGGCCGGAACTTCGTCCAAGAGCACCAAGCTCGTCCACGGCGGTGTCCGTTACCTCGAAAAGGCCGTCTGGAACCTCGATTACTCCCAGCTCGAGCTCGTCATGGAGGCTCTCCACGAGCGCAAGACCTTCCTCAACGTCGCCCCCCACCTGTCCTCGTCTCTGCCCATTCTCCTGCCCATCCAGAAATGGTGGCAGACCCCCTACTTCTGGGCCGGCACCAAGGCCTACGATCTCCTCGCTGGTTCCCAGGGTCTCGAGAGCTCCTACTACGTCTCCACGAAGAAAGCCCTAGAGGCCTTCCCCAAGCTTCGCCGTGATAACATGGTCGGTGCTCTGGTCTACTACGACGGCCAGCACAATGACTCTCGCATGAACGTCTCTCTCGCCTTGACTGCTGCCCTCTATGGCGCAACCGTCGTCAACCACGTCGAAGTCACCTCTCTGGAAAAGAACTCCCACGGCAAGATCACCGGTGCCAAGGTCCGCGATGTCATGACTCCCGGCAGCGACTCCTTCACTGTCCGCGCCAAGGGTGTCATCAACGCGACTGGCCCCTTCGCGGACGCCATTGAGCGTATGGACAACCCCGACCGCAAACCCATCGTCGCCCCTGCTTCTGGCGCCCACATCATGCTGCCTGGTGACATCTGCCCCAACGGAATTGGTCTTCTCGACGCTGCTACCTCGGACGGTCGTGTTATTTTCGTGCTGCCCTGGCAAGGATACACTCTGGCTGGAACTACGGATAACGCTGCTCCCGTCGAGCGTGAACCCGTCGCCCGCGAGGACGACATCAAGTTCATTCTGAAGGAGGTCAACAAGCTGATGACCCCCGATGCTGCCCTTACCCGCTCTGATGTTCTCGCTGCCTGGTCTGGTAAGTCGACTCGTTTCATATTCCGACCGATGCCATATCCGTTGCACACAAAAGCTAACAGCCTCTCCAGGAATCCGTCCCTTGGTCAAGGATCCCAACGCGAAGAATACCGAATCCCTCGTCCGCTCCCACCTTGTTACCGTCTCCGACTCTGGCCTTCTTACATGCGCCGGCGGCAAGTGGACCACCTACCGCCAGATGGCCGAGGACGCCGTCGACGAGGCCATCGCGACCTTCAAGCTCCAGCCCAAGCCCGTTACCCTGCCTGATATCTCCGGTGCTGGGCTCCCTGCCTTCACCACCACCGGCAAGTGCATCACCACCAATGTGCCTCTTGTCGGTGCCCACGGTTTCTCCAAGCACCTGCCTAGCCACCTTGCCTCACACTTCTCTCTCGACGCTGATGTTGCCAACCATTTGGCCCATAACTACGGCGACCGCGCCTGGTCCGTCGCTGCTGCCTCTTCTGAGCGCATCATCCCTAACTTCCCCTTTGTCGTCGGCGAGATCCGCCACGGTGTCCGCGCCGAGGCTGCTATGACCGCCACCGACCTGATCTCCCGCCGCACCCGTCTCGCCTTCCTGGATGCCGAGTCCGCCCTCCGCGCCCTGCCCCATGTCATTGACGTCATGGCTGAGGAGCTCGGCTGGAACGAGGCCCGCAAGAAGAAGGAGTGGACCCAGACGGTCCACTTCCTCCAGTCGATGGGGTTGTCTGCCGACAAGCTCAACGTCACCCGCGAGGAGGTCCTGAGGAGCGGTGATGCTAAGTCAGGGTACGCCCCAAAAGCCCAGACCGCCGCCTCCGCCAGCGGTTTCAAGACCGGCCTGGGTGACATCCAGGCCGGCGGTGCTCTTGCAAGAAACATCACCGATGCATAAACTTGCATGGAGTTTTTTAGTGTTTTTATTTCTCCCCTTCCCTCTTTTCCTTCTTCTATCCTTTTTTTCAACGATATATCAGCGAGAGACTCGGGAAATTTTGGCCCGGAAAAAAGCAAACAGTTGGATACTGTAAGGAGTCAATTGCTCCCTGTGTGTGAATCATTTTGGGTTGATTATCGCGACGTGAGGATATCCCATATAGACGGGTATGGCGTACTAGGGGTGGAGCATTATGAGAGTAGTGTACGATTTTCTATTTGTTCTACCATATTTCTTACGTATCCGTTTACGCGTGCCATTGGCGCCGGCATTTCTCTCGTCCATAGGCGAGATGATGGCGTGCGCAAGTGCACATAGATGATGGCATCGACCATCGAAACCCCCATGATATTACTATTCCCTACAATCTCATGAGTGCCTTGTAAGCGGTGATTGCGAACCCTCAATCTTGTCGGTTGCTTGGCTGGAAGCCGTCGACTGGTTGTTTGTTACGATGTTTATACATGGATAGTTACACGCTGTCTTTTATAGTGTTGATAGGCAATACTGGCTTAAGAATGTAAGCGGTACTACACTCACTACCCAAATATAGCAAGAAAATTTATCAAAATCGAGTTGCTCTCTCCGTTTCGCATTACCGCATATGACATTAGTCCTTGCATCCACAAAACTTACATCCATGTCACTCGTCACGGTGATGACAGCGACGTGGCGGGACCACTGATATATGCGCGGAGTACTGCTGCTATCCCACGCATTAGAATGCAAACTTAAGCCCAACGGAGCTTTGGAGTGTTCACCAAGCTCCTCCGTTCGGCCGTCAGCCTCGCGTAAAGAGCCAGGACGTCTTTAACGCCTTGCTGAACCCCAACCCGGACACGACTGGGAACGACGGACTCAACTGAGGATGGGAGAACAAGGGCTTCACGATGGTCCCCTTGACCTGATGGAGGGAGCGTTGCTCCACTATTAGTTGACTGCACCCTCGTCCTAGGATTATGCCACTGTACTTTCTGGATCTTTTGGGATACCAAGGCCCTGCCTCGGGGTCGGTCAACCCGCGTGGGGTCGCTCCAAGTCTTTGCTCTCTAATATCTACAGCTTCTTTCCCACTTCTAACCCTCTTACTGCCTGGAGGCTGCATCATCATCCCACAGGGCAAACAACCAGTCCGTATCAAACCATGTTGTCAGCATGCAACGGCCAAAAAGTCGTGCAATGGGCGTCGGCCGGGTGGAGAGTGAGTGGTTATCGTGGTAGCAGCGAAAGCCTAGCTTCCACTATTAGCTATGTGTACATGAACTCGGAGAGAGAGAGAGAGAAGACACCCAGACGATGCGCACTGTGTATGTGCGGCGTGTGCATCGTGACTTGTACTTCCCGGTCCCACCTACCCCTCCCTCAGCCGTTGTTCTTGTCAGGTAGGACGCGCCACTGGTCTCCGGTCTTGAGGCCGTGACCCTCGGCGATGTCGCACCCCCCGCGGCCCCACTTGAGCTCAAAGACATTGCGGCCGGCGGCGACGAGGACGTCAAAGGCCTCGGCGAATCCTTCGGGATCGTAGTAATAGGGCTCGCCGGCGCCACCGCGCTGGCTCTTCTGCCACGAGTTGCGGGCGTGGTCGCTGTCGCCGTACTTGTAGTTTGTCATCTCAAGGCCGACGTTAACGAGGGAGCGGAAGTAGGTGGCGTTTGTTGACGGCGCGGCATCCGCCGTCTTGTCATCGGACCTCTTTCCAGACCCCTTCCCAGCAGGCGCTGGCGCCGGTGGGTTCGGGTCGACGAACTTGAGCTTGGACCCCGGGACGCGGTAGAGTGCGGCGAGATCCTCAAGATTGGACGAGACGTCGTTGATAATGCCGGCGCGGCGGTGCTTCATGGTCCAGCCGTTCATTGCCAAGCGGGCGTTCATGTCGCAGTCGGTGGCGTAGTAGGGGATGAGCGAGTCCGAGCCGCCGACGGCGTCCATGGCGTCGCGGTTGACGAGCGTCAGATGGTCGTACTGGTACCACCGGAACCCCCAGCGCTCGCCGCGGGCCAGCGTCGCGTTAAGGTCGCGCAGACAGTTCTCGTAGAGGGTGCGATAGCCCGGAGTCCCCGCTGCGGCGGGCCGCAGCGCGTCCTCGCGGTCGGCGTCGTCGTAAAAGTCCCAGGGGCGGTCACCGGGCCGGTGGCGGTCGTCCGGGCCGGCCTCGAAGGAGTAGACGAGGACATCCTGGTGGGAGTAGAAGTAGTAGGGCCGGCCGCGGGCGTGGGCCTCGTGGAGGAGCATATTTTGCATCTGGGAGAAGGAGAGGAGAGCAGGCGCGCGGAGGACGTTGACGCCTAGGCGGGTGAGGGTGTTGTGATTGAGGTAAAAGGGGTTCTGGAGAGTGAGTTGGCCGCGGACGTTGGCGAGCTGGACGCCCGTGTTCTCGACGACGTAGATGTCACCGGCGGGCCAGCCGGCGGTGATGTAGCTGACGACGCACTGCAGGAGGAGGGGCCACTGGCGGGTGAAGCCGATGAAGAGCGGGGATGGGGCAGCGAGGCCGTAGGTCTCGTGGATATCCGAGAGCGCGAGGTTGTGTGCAGGGACGGGGGGCGGCAGGACGTCGGCAGCGGTGTTGGCGAGGAGGGGGAAGGGGTCGACGACCGGGGGCGGGGTGTAGGTCGGCGCGGGCTTGTAGCGCGGGGTCTGCTCGGTGAGGGGTCTCGGTTCCGGGTTCTGCGGCGGCTCCGGCGGTCGGGGCTGGGATCCGCCATGAGCGGGATCTGCACGGTGGTGGGGGAGGCTGAAGAGGCCGTCGACGGTGGCGATGCTCTCGTTGAAGAGGACAAAGACGGCGGTCAGGGCGAGAAGCAGGATGCCGAGCACGACCTGTAGACGGTTATTGAGGGCCATGGTATGTATGTGTGGGCAGATGCCTTGTGTATGCGAGAGAGAAAGGGGGGGGAGGGGGGGAAGAGAGGGGAGGCTTCAGGGCGGAAGGCTTCATCCAGTCAGTATGTCGCGATGCGGTGTGCGGTGATCGAGGCCGGTGACCCTCTCTCCTTCCTCTTCTTCTTGCTTGTGGGGCGGCGAGAAATTTTGAGAAGAGGGAAGGAGGAACGGGGGAATGACGGATGGCGTTCGGCTCCCTCGTATCTTCCTTCCTTACCTTGGTAAGTGGTTGCTGGGGTAGGTACGGTACGGTACGGCACGGTACGCGTACCCAACTTAACTACCTTACGGCTGGCTGTCCAAATCTCTTACACAAACATGGCGATCCAAGGTTGTCGCTAACATTCTGGCGCCCAAAGGTCGTTCTTGCCATGGCTGAAGTGACTGACGTCTAATTTGATGGTTGCTCTACGTTATCGCGTATTTTGTACCGTAGGACGAGATTGAGGCGTGGTACAGGCCAGAGGTGCTGCGTATCTAGTTTCTACCTATTTGGATATCATGTACCGGGTGAGCTGCACTGGACTGCTTATGTGGGGGGATCTAGAGCGACTATGTTCATCAACAGGTAAGCATAGAGGTGGTCACATCATGCAGTTTCCTTGCTCCTGGTCGAATTGGGGGGTGCTCAGTAAGAGGTCTGTCTTACATCCTGGACATAAGCTCATGACGCTAGTGCGATTAAAGCTTTGTAGCTTACATGGGACAATTGATTGCACAGTCGCCCGGCTTCGGAGCGCTCCACTAGAGTGTGTCAAGGGGCACGCCAATGACAAGATGGGATCATTATCGTGGTTATACCGAGGAGGGAGCTTCATATCCATCCATCGCGTACATGCGGTCCGTTCTTCTGAAAGAGGTAAAAGGTAGCTAGTCATTATCCGGAAAACAATCATGTCGTATTCCGGACCCCTATTTTCCATATCTTTTACACCAATAAAAAACCATCTTTTTGCTGCTACTCACGTTGACTTCTCGTCGCTTGCTTTTCATCTATTGGATTTCAACCGTCCCTCTTAAGGATGGGGGTCATTCTTTCGCAGCTCTTAGAGCAGAGATCTCGGTTTCTACGGGACATTAGCGAGTTCGTCACGCAAATCTGTGCTACGTTCTCCTGGGACCACTTCCCTGTAGACCATCAAGCTGTAATTCGACTAGCCACCGTCATGCGGCGAAAACAGCATGCTGGCGAGCTGCTTCTTTGACCTTTGCACTTCCATCACTTGCTAGAGGGTGTTGATATCGGCGCTGCTTCTCTTCGACTTCTGTCGACAGCATCTGTCGTATCTCTTCGAAAGAATCCCGTATATGCAGACGCACGAGTCTGCCCGATGCGGTGCACACGCGCGAGAGCTTGCTCTTCGAGGTTTGAATTCCTATGTGCAAAATTGATGAGATTACTGTGCTTGAATTTTGATCGTGATCCTTACCAATGGGGCTCCATCAAATACACACGAGACGCGACAGTCGGCGTAAGCCTGCGAGCATCTTGTTAGTCGGATCCAGTGAGTTGTCGAAAAACGATTCGCACCCAACTGCGCCGCACGAGAGTTTTGACAGCATGGACGAGATTCCGGCACTGAGAGTATCGAGAACTAGCCTGTATGGACTTCTCAGAATGGTGCGCCAGAGTCTCGTCTATCTCAAGCATCGAAGAGCATCCTAAATAGACGATGGGGCCCTTCTGCCACTGCAAGTTGAAGAAGCTGCTGAGCTTGGAGGGTCCAGTCCTGATTGCTCTCGTTAGAGCACTGCGTGGCTTTCCGTGTCTTCTGTGGTAGCCAAGTTCCAAGTCACAGAAGAGGCATAGCGACTCGATTTGTTGCGGGAAGTTGTAGTACATAGAGACATTGGACGTCTTGAGCTTGTAATCTTGCAGCAGAGCTTCTTCGATCCTTGCAGTAGCCCGCTGTTATATCTTGTCGTACACAACCCTCTCCTCCCGTGCGAAGTCGATAGGGCAAAGCTTATCGTGCCGTAGATGTAAGTCGATGGTGCCCTTGGGCCTGTGTAGGATTAGACACGCAGACAGGTTCTTTAGCCCCTGAGCGGCCTTCTCGTTTTCCCAGACTTCCAGAGTTGCGACAAGTCGGTGTCAAATTGCCTGGTGTCCGTGTACGGGTGGACCCGGAAGAACTTGACTATCGTGGCGAGGTCACTCAGGCGGTCCTAGATAGTGGTGCCAGTGATGGCCTAGCGAGACAGGGCATCCAGGGCGCAAACCGCGCGAGCCATCCGAGAGCTCTCGTTGCGGATGTAGTGGGCTAGGTTCCGTCAGCAGGCTATCGAAACGAACCGCGCTTGGGCAAGAGATCTCTCACCCTCGTCCAGAATTATCGTTTTCCAACGAACTGCAAACAAGGGGGAGGTTTGCGTGCCGTACTCGGCTTTCCACTCGGTAGAAATAGTGTGGTAGGCAGTCAAAACCACGTTTACACCGTCGTGGACGATTTCATGTGTGGCCAGCCTGGATTGGGCGTGGTGTCTACAGTACCTCAACCCCCCTTCTGACAGATAGTTAAAAATAGTAAGTTGACAGCTGTGCAAGATGACCGATAGACTTATTCTGGAAGTTGCTACTCCCCGACCTTATGACTATTGCCAGTCAGCGGCATCTCACAGTAATTGTATGAGATAACTCGCGTTGCGGAGGCACGATGATTAAAGTCGACCCTGTGCATGCTCCTTCGCTGTGGTTTAGGATTTTTACCATCCCGAAAGTATGTTTCTCTCTATCCAAGTCGGTTGCTACGAGAGCAATCATCGTCAGGGTCTTATCCAGGCCCATTGGGTCTGCAATGATGCCTCCATAGAACTGCGGCTCTTCATACTGGTGACTCCCTGAAATCATGTTGACGAATCTAGCACGCTACCAGCAACTTTTTGTTGCTAAGAGAAGAAGACAGTCCTCAATATCGTCTTTGAACTGTGTCTATAACACTCCATATATATGATTGCCCATCTAGGAAGTCCCGTCCACGTTGAGACTGTCTTAATCAGGGAGCACAGTTTGCAAAGCCCTGATATCCTCTCAAGCTTCAGATCCATTAGTGAATCGCTTCAAGAAAGAGCACACTCTCTTTCTCGCAGACGAAAAGATCCACTTGGAGAGTACAGTACGTCAGTATGCATCTCATAGGCTCATATCGTTGTCCCAAAGATTTCCTCAACTCGGCTTCTCGAGAAAAGAAATTGGGGAAGTTGAGCTTGGGGTTCCCCCAAAGTCTGACGGTAGGCTCCGGTAGAATTGAAAATTGACTCCCTTGTCTAATTGAACAAGGAATGTTTCTATATGCTCAACTGATTCCCGACTTCTTGGCAGCCAATATATTCTATAGCGTCAAGGAAATCAAAATATCACTGGTCCAGCTCCCCGAAAGGCAGCCAGATCTGTAGGTTGTCATCATCATTCAACGTAGTGGACGTGCGCTGATGAAACCAAGCTACCAAACCATACTCACTCGGATCGTTGTCCACCTAGATCCCCAATCTATAGATCGCGTCAGGTACCTGTTTGACGGGATGGCTTTTCATAAACGACCACTCAAGAGACTAGAACCGTTGTCGGCTGTCATGTTTAGTCCAGGTAATAAGGATGTCACCAATCTTGCACCTGACTACATCTTGGAAATATGTGGACCTCTTCTTGACGTAAAGCAGGACACCACAGTGACTTTCATTCACTCCCCAGTCAAACTGTAAGACTACTTGCCGAATATTCTTCAAGGACTGATTTGAATGGCAAGGTGATCATAGATTCCTTGAAAAGTCTTCTAGAAATATGGTTATTCGCGAGGATACAACACTATCAGAGCACAGCTCAGAATCACTGGCCTGTCTTTCATCGGGGAGCTATATCTACAGCATCTCGTGTAGCGAACAAGAGCGGCAAGAGCGATTACTCAAAGGCATAAATGACTTTCATATTTATGCCACAGAGTATTGGAGAGATTATCTGCTTTACAGAATGGCAACTGCAAATGATTTTGATGAGAAATCTCATCCCATAAATCTTGCTCTCAGTCTTGTCGAAAGGCTAGATGATAACAGTGAGCATTCTCGGTTAGAGGAATGCGAGAGCCAGCCTGAGGACCTGGACAAGAGACTGGGTTGTTTAGTCAACTATCCTGCTCTGTTTATGCACGCCGATAGTCTATTGAGAGCTAGATCGCTCAAGACACTTGAGTCTCGGATTTGGGGATCAGGGGGTTAGTTCAGCTTTTGATCGCTTCGGCAACGCCTTTGGGCTAACGGCCGATGTAGATGGTGATGAAAATAGCCGTACATATCCAGAAAGTTCTAATCCAGATGTTATCTCATCCATACTGGCAGCATATCGACATACCGTTAAACAGCCTCTCACTCAACATGATTTTCTGAGGATGTCGGCCGAAGCACTAAAGTTCTTCAAGTCCCAGCTCGGCCACACAGCCTTTACATGCCGACTGAAAACTTGTCCCAGAGCCATACCTGACAGAGAGGGTAGAATTGATGCATTACTTGTACTCGTTGGATTGATGTTTTCGAGATGCTGTCAGTTATGAACAAACTTCGCTAGTGGATGTCATGACAAACCACTGAAAGCTAGAAAGTTCTTAAACGGCACATGAGTAGGTTCTGTGACACAAGAGCCGAACTTTAATCTTTCTCATGCCTGGTCATAACTTGGGTGATGAGCAAAGTTCCGTCCTCCGTTCCGATGATTTATTCAATCCAGCCGATAACCCTCTAACACGGGGACTATGTAAGACGATTCTCCCTCTCATGACTCTCACGATTAGGCCGGCTTGTTATTCTTGTACATCTTTTCTCAGTGCAGTAGGATTTGAGTGTGTGACTATACTGCTGTTGCTCTAGGATATCTTTTAAATATAGACTAGGAAAGCATCCCTCGAGGTGAACAATCTCCATATGTATAATTATCCCTTTTGGGCCATGACCAGTTGAAGGAAGGCATCATATCAAACATATTTATTAAAGTGAGGAAGTACCTTACGAGGGAGAAACTCCCAAGATCTCTTTTGTAGATACCCGATACAAATATCGACCCTCCATCGGTTATTCAGGATAGGGTCCACGATTGCAGGACAGGGTGCATCAAGTTTATAGGGCTCTTTTGTTCGAAAATGTCTCATCTATAAAACCTTGGTCGCATTTTCTGCTGAGCCTGATTGTTGGTCTGTTGTGAGAATGACAAGGAAGTGCCGCATGCCTTTGTTACGTCTTGTGGTCCCGATTCTTGGGTATTTGGCTGATATGCGCAAGTGTAATTACAGCAGCCTGCGTTTGAATCTGAATGTTCGTATCTCAACAGGGCCTTCATCTCTGAGGGCTTTTGTTCAATATCAAACCATCTAGTGACACTAGAGCCGATGTACCCCTTGAGCTTTGTACCAGTACCATTTCTTAAGCCAGCCCCCCTTTTACTTGTGGTTGCTCAACAGTTTACCCAGTTCTATGGTTATGGAGGCGGTAAATACTTGCTAATCAAGGTTAAAAGGCTTGGTCACTAGATATAATAGGGGGCATTATAGGTCTTCGACACCATACTAAAAAAATTTGAGTCGGCAAGGACATCGACGTTTACGTTGCTTCCGAAAAGCTCAGCCAAGGGGGGTTTTAGTGCGCAATTCCGTCCACGCTAGGTCGTCCATTATGTTGAGCAAATCGATGTTTGTTCTGCCTAAGCTTACTAGACTTTGGATGACGCACAGTCAAAGACAAAAGTAAAACGTGGTATTGAGTGCTTTGACTTTTCTTTAGTCTCATAAAGTCTCTTCCAACAGGGTTGTGCAAAACTATAGATTCAACCGCCTTAGTCAAGAAACACAGTACCTCATACAGTGACTCGGCATGGTACTTCAAAACGTCATAATTTCAATGCCTTGATGTCTTTGACATCTTGCTTTTGCGTGGACAAGGCGCAAATAAGCTGACAGCAGAGTTATAAATCATCTGTTGTGTCTTGCCGAAGCCATTCGATTCTCATCCCACCTCCTGGATCCGATCTTGACGAATCCACGACGCAATGGTGGTTCCTTCCTCCATGGACGCAAGACAAGGATATACTAGACATCTCAAGACTCAGAGCTGCTGCTCTATAACGAATCAGGCATATAGGCGAACCAAATTGCATGACGCAGCAGCTCGAGCTTCCGCTCAAGTCGGCCCGTAGTTCTTTTCTACTTATCACTCCAGCGAGAGGCTCTGAGCTCTTACAAAATCCAGCTACCTTTGATAAATCAACTTGGGGAGAGATGATAGAAGCCTTCGTATGGAAATGAAAAACAAAAGGAAGTCACACATTTCTGAAATCGGACCGGGGCTCGAGGCGCCTGCCGTCTCATCCGGCACTTGTACTGCCTACCCTGCATCCGAGGCGGTCGGGTACCACGTTAACCTTGTTGATGTCCTGAGAGGGGCTGATCGGACGCATGAAACTCCGGACGTGGATAGTTCGATTACGGGTCCTAGTCAGCGGACCAGGTTGGACTTTACACCTGTTTTTCTGTACCTGAATCACGACATCTTCATATTCTAGATTAAATGATATAATTGCAGCAGGATCGGAATATTCGACGCTCAACGGGCCCGGACGAAAGCAACAACATCCGAGGGTAGATATATGATAAGTGGGCCTGGTTAGCATGCTGCATATTCGATCTAAATAGTTACAAATATCTCTAAAAGAGAAACGGTGCAGCTTCCCATACAGATGTAACGCCTCTTTGATACTCTTCTCAAGCATTCATTGCATACAGTTAAGTTTGGTCGAGGCCGAGGTAAACATCCTTCTGCCAACCACGCCGTGTCGACATTCCGGACTCTCGATACTGTAACTCCAACAAAGTTAAGCTCGGTGCCAAACGCATAAAACTTCCCCTGAATCATAGAATTCTAGGTTTGAAGAAGTTTAAGAATCATTCCAAGAAGATTTCAATACCTATCCTGGTTCATTTAGGCCATTCTGCTGTTCATCGCATGTCAAGAATGCACTTAGCCAAGCCTGAGCATTAGCCGCCACACTCCACCCAGGCCCCCGTGAAAGCTTGTTTTCGGGGACTAGTTGTTCCTATAATGGTGCTGCACGGTGATCTTTGATAGGTTGTCGCATTTAGTCGGGGGTGACTTGCCGGTTTCAATCACGAAATGCGGCGCGTCTGGATTGGCAGCGCGGGAGCGATGTGGTTAAGGCCCCGGAAAAGCTTGGCACGATGATCTGTTTCTTAGTAGACAGACAGTTGTTTCACTATGATTGTCGATAGATTGACGAGGTTTGTAAACGGAACCAGCCGACTAAAACGTTGACACGAATCATCCCTGTGTTGTAGAGAGTGAACTCTACACGGGACATATTTCAAATGTGTATAAAGGCAAGATATTCTCGCCCGGCTTCAACATCTATATTGCTATATCTATGGATTCACAGTTGTTTCGTCGAGTCGCATACTTACTTCTTGCCCGCCTTTCTCAAGGATAGACTGATATCATGGTTTCACTCACTTTCACGTACTTGGCCTTCGCTGCCTCTCTCATTACCAGCGTTTTCGCTTCACCAGTTGCTAACCTCGACACGCCCGATTTTGAGCTGGGCCCCGCAAACCTGGCCCGGCGTCAAGATTACACCCAGAACTACAAGACGGGTGGCAAGGTCAACTTCACCCCCAATAAAAAAGGATTCTCCGTATCGTTCTCAGGCGCTCAAGACTTTGTGGTCGGCAAAGGCTGGAACACTGGTTCTAAGAACAGGTGAGATCCCCTTCCAAATTTTTCGTTCCATCTTGACTGATGGCTATGTACAGGACTGTAGAATTCTCCGGCCAGACAAAGGCCTCGGCTGGCACTGTTCTAGTCTCACTCTACGGATGGACCACCGACCCGCTGGTGGAGTACTACGTACAGGAATACAGTAATAATGGAAAGGGTGCTGCGCAGGGCCAGAAGGTTGGATCTCTCAAGAGCGACGGGTCCGAATACGACATCTTCAAGCACACGCAGGTCAATCAGCCCTCAATTGAGGGAACCGCTACATTCACCCAATTTATCTCCGCCCGTAAAGACACCCGCTCAGAAGGCGGCACTATCACCTTCGCCAACCACGTCGCTGCCTGGGATAAGGTCGGCTTGAAGCTCGGTAAGATGAACTACCAGACCATCGCCACCGAGGGCTGGGGCAACGCTGGCGGCAATTCCAAGTACACCATAAAAAGCAACTAGGGTGCTCTCGATGGCTCGCCCCTTTGAAGGTGTGAGAAAAAGCTGTTAGATGCCGACAACTATTGAAGGCCTGGCTAAGTAAAAGTTGAAGGATAAGGTTGTGTATATCTCTAATTCTCTTGTATCTTTTCTCACTCTTCTCCCTCGGTTCGCCTGTCTATGGTCGAGCTACTTCACTGTATCTACATATCACATACTTCTGGCAATGGCAAAACGAATGCACATACCTTCATGTTACATATCACAATCAAAGAAACACCTTTTTCTTTTCTTTTTTAGCTCATTGATCGCCCCTGAACTGTATAGTAAATGTATTCGATTTCAAAATCATCTGAAAAAAAGAATTCTGTCCCCAGTCAGCCATCGAATGAATAAACAAGTCTCTTTCATGCGCGCTGCCTCCCGTTACAGGTGTTTCCTCCACTCAATGGAACATGGTAGGCCTAGAGCTCTCCGCCTCGAACGGCAATAATGCAGCATTTTAGATTACAGTTGTGAAAGTTTATAGTGACACGGGACTCCCCCCCCCCTCGAAACCACATATGCGACAGTTTTCAATCTATCTGCTGCGCGGAAATAGGCTGCCGCGGGTTTCTTCTCATGTTTGGTATCATTGAGCACTGACAATCATTGTTCGGTGTTGGGACAATTCGATCTAAAGTTAGGGCGATGATGATTTCGCCTGAAAATGGGTTAATCGATAAATAGAAGACTCTTAGGGAGCTGTCAAGTGTCAGATATAAAGTCTAACTCCGAATAGGTTGCCAGTAGTACAACCGCTGTAAGTTTGTTGGCCCAACATTAAGCTGCACCAAATTCCTCTAGGAGATGAACTGGCCATGTTAAGGATATGATCTTTTCAATGCCAAGATTAGTTACGAGTAGGTGGAAAGACGCTTTGCTCAACTTGAGATAGCCCTAGGAGTTAACCTCGCTGGCATCTTGCTGCCTACTGTATTGGAAGGTGTACTATTCACTCCGTTTCAGATCAAAGTTAAACATTGCATTACCAGCCACATCTTACCTCAACCTCTTCCGGTCTACTGCAAGTGCTTATGAATTCCTTATAAATCATTTGTAACGAAGCCGAGACTTAGTCTTCCCCTTCGTATTGCCGAGTAATATCGGGTTTCTCAGCGACCTCACCTGGGAAGACTACCCAGGGGTTTTGGCTATTACTCTGCTGCGTTTAAACAACTTGGATAACGGATACTCTGGGAACATATTTGCGGTCACTGCATGCCATCCGGATTCTGTGCTGGCCAGTGGCTTACTCAATACTGATTCTGGTATTGAGAAGATCACGCCTCCAAGATGGTGAGAGATTGGGTTGAGCATCGTGGAGTCGAACTCGGGTTTGGCCGGATAAACCCCGGCTGGGCTCTCTATCTTTACGTAATCTTCTTTACATAATCTACGAGGGACGTGCTTTTTACCCCGCCAAAAAGCGCGTTGACTCGGCTCACCCCGCTGCAGAGCGAAGCACCGAACATCGGGATGACCGATTACGCCATTCTCACGCTCCAGACGGGAATGGGTCTTGACGTCCCGACAAGCAATCAGCGTCAGCCAATCCTCGGAGCTTCGCCTGGTCTTATTACGTCCCGATAGAGATTTGGCCGCGTTGACCTCTCGTGCCGCTCCGATTTCCCGTCAACCGACCTGCTACATCCATGAGCTCCCTCATCCTCCCTCTCTTCCGGTCGCGCATCACAAACAATAGCACCGCCAAAAGAGGCTTCAACTCGACCGCCATGACACTGAGCAGCAAGATCAAACCCGCGGCCCGAGTTGCCGGCCGGCGGCAGGATGTATGGTGTGTGCTGAGCACCCCGGATCACAACGGTTGTACGACAGTGCAATCGACCTGCGCGACGATAATGCATGAGCCTTTTTCTGACTAGGAGCATCAGGTCCATCATAAACGAGGCCGCTGCCGCTTCGCCCAAACAGCCCATCGTCAATATGGGCCAGGGCTTCTTCGGCTACAATCCGCCTGAGTTCATCCTCAACGCGGCGAAGCAGGCTCTGGACCGTGTCGAGTGCAACCAGTACAGCCCTACCAAGGGTCGCCCTAGGTTGAAAAAGGCGATTGCCGATGCCTACTCCCCTTACTGGGGTCGCAAGCTGGACCCTGAGACCGAGGTTACCATCACCACTGGCGCGAACGAGGGTGAGACTCAACTCGGTGGCAGCGGATATTCTTTAGAGATGACAAACTGATTGCCCGCCAGGTATGCTCAGTGCCTTTATGGCGTTCATTGAGCCTGGCGATGAGGTCATTGTCTTTGAACCCTTCTTCGATCAGTAAGGCCAGAACCTTAGGCGTCTTTGTGGGAGGAAGTAGACATGCTTACTTTTGACTAGGTATATCAGCAACATCGAGATGCCCGGCGGCAAGATTACATATGTTCCCTTGCATCCTCCTGCGGACGGTGCTTCGGCAACGTCGTCCGCCGCTAATTGGACCATCGACTTCGACGAGCTCGAGCGCGCCATCACACCCAAGACCAAGATGATTGTCCTCAACACACCACGTCCGTCGTATCCCTCTTACCTTGTGTTCCTTGCAGCCTGCTGACTCATGAATGTAGACAACCCTGTGGGCAAGGTCTTCTCCAGGGAGGAGCTCCAGAAGATCGGCGACCTCTGCGTCAAGCACGAGATTATCATCCTTTCCGATGAGGTCTACGACCGCTTGTACTACGTCCCCTTCACGAGAGTAGCCACGCTGTCTCCAGAGGTCGAGCGTCTTACTATCACCGTCGGTTCTGCAGGCAAAAACTTCTACGCCACAGGCTGGCGCGTCGGTTGGCTCATGGGCCCCGCCGAGCTCATCCAGCACGTCTCGGCTGCTCACACCCGCATCTGCTACTCTTCCGTATCGCCTCTGCAAGAGGCATGCGCCGTTGGTATGTATCACGGTCTCTCTGCAAGGACTATGGCACGTAAAGTATTAACACATATAAGGGTTCGAGGAAGCTGAGAAGCAGGGCTTCTGGGACGAGACCATCAAGGACATGAAGGGCAAGATGGACCGCTTCAACGAGGTCTGGAAGGAGCTCGGCATGCCGTACTCGGAGCCCGAAGGTGGTTACTTCGTCCTCGTCAACATGGCCAAGGTCAAGCTGCCTGAGGACTACCCCTTCCCGGCCCATGTCGCCAGCCGCCCTCGCGACTTCAAGCTCGCTTGGTTCCTTATCCAGGAAGTCGGCGTCGCTGCCATCCCACCCACCGAGTTCTACACCGACCCCAACGCCCACATCGCCCAAGACTACATCCGTTTCGCTGTTTGCAAGGAGGACGAGGTCCTTGAGACGGCCAAGGAGCGCCTCCGCGGGCTGAAAAAATACATTCAGGAATAGACGTGTATAATCTCATACCAGTGAGCGAGTTATAGATAAGAGTCAGACGGCATATACCACGCGATCTGGATACTCTCTTTTTATACACAGGGTGAATAGACAAAACTGGAAGCTATAAAAACCATACCCATTCCTTTTCACATTGCCGACCCGTTTATATCAGTCCCATCTCGTATTTGTTCTCGATGACTCGCGTCAAGCACTACATCAACCGCCAAACTCAATGGCCCCGTCCCCCACTGGTGGAGGGCACGCACGCGTCGCCGACGCCGCCCAGCGCACCGCCCTCGACGCAGGTGCTGACGGGGCCACAGTACGTCACGAATAGCAGTCCGGATTTGGCAGGCACCGGGACACCGGCCGGGGCGCACCAAAAGACGGACTGTTTGATGTGGGCTTCGTCGATGGGCTGCCTGCCAGAGATCAAGGCGTCCTCTACAGCCGCGCGGTTTCTCTTGTCTAGTTTTCCTCGTCACGTCAGCTTCGATAACTTGGTACTAAGAAGGAAGGAGGGGCGTAGCGAATCGCACTGGCTTTGATGAGGCGGGAGCCACAGTAGGTCTCGGCTGGGGTGCACGACACGGCGCTGGCCGCACCGGCGAAGGCGGCAATGACGATTAAGAAGGCCGTGAAATGAAACATCGCTCTTATTAACTGTTTTTGATGTTTGATTGAGGTGTAGTTGAAGGGTGCTGGTCTACTCTGAATCCTGATGTGCGGCCGCTGGACGATGGGTCAACCAAGGGAGAGAATCCTCCCTTTGGTATCCCTTCAACCAAGGGCGAGCTCTTGCAGACTCTTCACCCATTTTCATATCCCCAAGTTCCTTTCCCATTATTATCCGATTTGATAATTTTCAATGTGCTTGAACTCAACATGATTCGTTGAGCCCATTATGCTCAGCCCACTCTGCGATAATCGTAAAAGAAAAGGGCATCCTGATGCGAGGACTTGAATCCCGAAGCTTGAAAGACATTCCAAGAGGATGCGATGCGAATGCCAGATGATCCTTTGCAATAAATTGTTGTGCAAATGAAACGGACTCGAAGGCTGTGAGACGCGGCGGTCTAGGTTGCTTTGTATGGCGAAGATTGATTCGCTTCCAAAGCAGGATAGCCAACAGGAGACCCAGAAACCTTTAAGAGTTGAAAGCTTCGCATCAAGGGTGAAGTGTGTCGTCAATACAGATACGAACTCCTTCACTCACCAGAAACACTGTGTTTTCACGCATGGAGATATCACGACATGAATAAGGAAGCTGAGCAACGCAGAAACATATCACAAGCTACCATGTAATAGTAGCCAAGAAAACCCAAACTTATATAGCTTCATTCCATTTCATGGGTCCAATCTCAGGTCTACCAAATCATCTGTAAACCTATGAGCTCATCGAGAGAGCCGTGCATGACGATCATGCCCCAAAGCCATTGCCTTCAATTTGGATACCTCCGTGTATCACCCTGATCATCAGCCCAAGATAGACGAAGCCAAACTCTAGCAATTGCCTGGAAAACCAACGGTGCCATGAAATCCTGGAAGCAAAAAGTGACAAACCATGGTGACAGCCGAATTCAGAAAGGAAGGCAAAATGCTTAGATTTCATTCGGGTCCTCGCCCTTCTCCATGTCGACATCGCCTTTGACTTCATCCTTGACATCGAGCTTGGCGACGTCGGCAGCAGGAGCCTCATCGCCAGCATCCTCGGCGGGAGCTTCGCCCTCCTCCTCGTTATCGGCGGCAGCGGTGGCCTTCTTGCCCTTGGCGGGAGTCTTGCGCTTGGCGGGGCCGCGCTTCTTCTTGGCAGGGGTCTCAGGGGCCTCCTCCTCCTCGTCGGCGCCCTCTTCATCGGCGGCGGTGGCAGCAGCAGCGGCCTTCTTCTTGGCGGGCGTGGCACGCTTCTTCTTGGGAGTCTCGACAACGAGTTTCTCCTCGCCGTCCGAGCCGGCGAGCTCATCACCCTCATCGGCGGTAGGGGCAGGGGCGGCCTTCTTTTTGGCCGGGGTGGCGCGCTTGCGCTTGGAGGGGGTCGCGATGAGGTTGCCGTCCTCATCGACGGGGGCGGGCATGTTGATGAAGAGCTTCTTCTTGATGGCGCCCCAGGCGTTGCTGGCGGAGCGATGGTTGCTCATACCACAGGCGGTGGCCAGAGCGTGGCAGTCGATCTATGACGTGGAAGAAGATAAGTATGTCAGTTTGCGTGGATATGGAAGTTGAAGATTGATTAAGAACAGCAGTCTTACCTCGGGAGGGGCTTTCATGCAGTTCCAGGCGAGCTTGAGGATTTCAAGCTCACGGTCTGTGAGAGAAGGCTTAGGTGCAGCCTCAGAGGAATCTCCGTTGGAAGACATGATGAGTGAGCTTTGTGATGACTAGGGATGGCCGTATGAGTGAGTCTTGATGATGATTATGGTTGGTTTGGTGATGAGTGAAAAAGGTTGAGAATTTGCGGCAACCGATGGGGGTGATTGAGGAAAGAGCGTGCGAGGGAAGAGTGGTTTGGTAAATATGGCTCTCGTTGCGGCCGATGGAAGGAGGAGGTGTACGGTAGAATGTATGAGAGAAACTTTTAAAAGATCTGTTTAGAAGTCTGCAGACAACCAGAGCTGTGGAAACAGCCAGGGAAGGAGCGAGGGTGAATGTTGTGGTTGCCTCGAGTCTTGTGGCGCGTTTGTTTTGAATGGGCGAATAAGACGACTTGAAGCTGAGATGAGAGAAAAGGCTGAACCATATGCCATGTAGTCTGGTGGAAGATAGAAGTCGGACCGAGAAGGAAAGCAGCTATCCTACCATTGGTCCACACTCATTACAATGAAAGAAGGCTCATAACAAAAAGAACTAGTAGCATTGTAACAGAAGCAGTTTTGAAGTATCAATGAATTCTGTCAGGGGAACAAAGTAAAGCTCATTGTTTCCCTGACATGCTGTCTCTTGTATCGACTACAGGCAACGGACAATCAAAGTCTGCACAGTCGCAGAAGGTGCCGGAAGTATCCAGTATCAAATTTTCTGGATTCATCAAGGATATTCAGATCTCAGAATGTAGATAGAATCTCTTCACTCTTAAACAGATAGAAATTTGCATCATAATGCGTCTTTGTTTTTGATATCGAGTCGATGATGAGCAATGACTCCTTCTGTCGACTATCTTACAGTCTTGAGTTTTCAGCTTACTGCTATTGATAAAGATATGATGGCTTTGTGCTCAAATATCAAATGTTATTTTCGTAACTGGAGCCAGCAGAATGCTGTTTAATCTCTATATCTAGACGGCAGGCGGATCACCAAGAGTACTGTCTCGCTCCAGTCATTGAGACTTGGAACCGGCCTTGATAGAAACAACTGGCGTAATAAATGGCTGATTGGCCGTTCTGCAGTGTTCTAAAGGCTATGAAATCCTAAGTTAAAAAGCTGACGAAGCTAAAGATCTCGCTCGTGAACCTTTCTTTGGTACAGGATTCTTGGTACCAGTCGCTTACGAACTTTGGCCTGGGCTCCAGCAGTTTGACTTGTGCTCAACACCCGTCACCGTACAGCAACGCCTATTATTCGACTCGTATCCAAAGCTGATTATACATGGGCTACCGCCCGCCTTCACCTGCCCGTTACAGCATTTACTCGGTAGGAGAATCTTTCTTTCGTGCTACCGCCCACATAAACTCAGCGTCAAAATCTGGATCCTCCTCCTCAAGCTTCCCATCTCCTGCTTGCAATATTTCCACCTGTAATAAGTCAAATCCGACTTCTCTAAGCAGTGTGTGCAGTGCGCCATTCTCATCAGCATGGGGAAGGTTGTCGTTTTCACCAAGTGCTGCAACATCGGCAGCGTCAACCCCCATCCGCGACATAGGCCACCCGCGGAATCCGCTCTGTTGGGCAACTTGACGGTTAACTGGGTTATCCACCCTGAAGAAGAACCTCAAGGCTGCCTGAGAGTTTCAAAGTGTTTCAACAGCATCCGCAACAACCTGCATCGTGCCGATATCTACACCCTTTCTTGTTATGCGGGTGCGCCCAGCTAGGTTACTCGGTTTGCCGGCGTGTTGTTAGGACAAGCGGCGCTCATTGTTATGATGGTCTCATCCTAGCAGATGGCTGGCCCCTTGTAGCCAAGCAGAGTCACTGTCGGCTGTGGGTTTTGGATGTTGGAACAGAAATCCGGGCATATGGACATCTAAAACATCATCACTAGTTACAATCGTGTTTGAGAGTGGTGCTACTCTATGATGGATATAAGCCATAATTGCAGCATTGCAATTGTGGTTCCACTTTTGTGCCTCATTCTTTTTGTCACAGCTTACCACTCTGTTGATTGAGACTTCGAGTTGTTGGTGAGTTAACCATTGCTTGGGGTTCGCTGTGTCTAGCGTTGCTCGCACTAAAGTAAGTCTCCCAACCCTGACCATAAAAGTCGAGACTGAATGCAGATAAAACATAGTAACGAACAAAGTCAATTCGATTGGAGATCCAAGTGTACTCGGATTAAAGTAATCAAAGCCAAAAGTGGAACCCGAATTAACACCAGAGATGCAGTTTTTACAGATATCCACATACATTGATAATAGGCCTCAGTAATTCCACAGCCAGCCAGCAGAAGACTAACCCGGTGTGAGTGTGCATCGCCAGGATGATGTCACCGACGAGGAGGTCGCCCTATTTCAAGCAAGACAGAGTGGTGATTTTTATGCCTGACTTGCTTCCTCATATGTTGAGAAATACTTACGCTCCAGCTCAACGGCTAGATCTCGTGAGTCCCTGTCGACGAGACATGGCTCGGTTCGACGAGCTTCTCGAAGACAAAAGCACGCAAGGGAATGGGCAGAATTCGATCCGTGAGCATATGAGCCCGACCAAGTGAACTTTACTAAGGCAGAGTGGTTCAGCATTTCAACGGTCAGCACGAACCCAGAAAGAAACAGCACATTGCGAAGAAACGCGCACACGTGTGTCTAATCTAAAGTTTGCCGACGTCGTGCACGGTGAAGGAGCGCATTGGTGGAACCTTTGTTTCCACAAACGACCGAGTCCGCATCGCCTTGGCGGGCGACGCAGTCCATGTCTACTCGGTCAACAGCAGCAGGGCCTCGAAACCCGCATCGCCGACTCGTGCTTCCTCTGACACCCTCATGAGAGACAACCTCAGCCCGGGTGCGGCTGATGACCAAATTAGGAGCTACGATATTGAGCGGCGTACTGTTGCCCATGCTGTGATTGACGTCGCTACGGCACTGGTCAGCGACATATTAATTAAAACGGCAAAGGAGTCCGTCTTCATCATCGAGGGATACATCACAGGTAAGCTTAACTCTAAGTTGTCATGGGGGCTTGTACTCTGCTCCCCAACGTCCCCTCCCTTTCTTCCCACTGGGGCTGGCCGACTACCCGCACTTCTAACTTCCTGGAACTGCTAGGATATTTGCGCTCGCAAAGCTAGAATAGGTAAGGGGCATGAGGAGAGGGGAGTGGGAGGTGATGGAAACGAGATGAACCGTCGTTTCCGTATCCATGCGAAAATCCTTCTTCTCCACGTTCCCACGCTCCATAAATTCGGAACAACATATCGGCTAATCTCTATTTCTCCTTCCCCACCTTACCGAGTGATCTCCAGGGTCTCTTCCCACACGAGGCGACGGCGACTCGAGGGGCGGGGTTGGTAAGTCTTCGGGGACAGAGTCATCCTTCACGGCGGACTAGGCAGCCAGCGAGGACAGCTTCACCGTCCAAACCAGACATGATATTGGTTGCATTGGCAAGGTGAGGAGAGGTGGACTACCTGGCTCACTTAACTCGGTCGTAAAGGGGTGGTGTGTCCGCCCCGACATTGCAACGTTAGAGCTGCAATAAGAGGAACAGCACGGGACTACCGATGGAAGCTAATGAAGATAATTTCCAAGTCAAGCGCCACGAGTGAAGACCCCAATTTCAGAGGGGGAAAAAAGACGGATATCGCGCGCCGAGGATGGCTGGCCTGTCTATGTTTGCCAACAGCCAATTGTAACGCCCGCCTTGATCTATCCCCCTTGTTTCCTGTCACGATGATGCTACGATGCGTGTGATTATCATGCAACGGCCTTCTGCTATAAAAAACGTGACCGGCACTCATCCAACCCGACTGGTTTCCAGAGGCAATGGACACGGCAGCGGAGCAATCCAAGTATCATATCTTACCTCACGATGGCACGGCCAATCAGGAATCCTGCATCTTTACGGAGTATTAGCCTCTCAATCGGCCTGCACTTCTCGCTTCCCCGTATTTACTATACCCTTCGGCTCTCGCAAGACCGGTCCCCCAGCTTTATTATTAGGTCCGAGCGGCTCTCCAAAAACTCCTCCAGGGCCCATCCGCCAATATGTCGCTCGACAGGATGGAATAATGGGATGAAACCTGTAGCATGGCAGGTTATTGGGCGACGGTAATTGTCCAAAGGTTATGTCAATAAACTTTCCTCCTTCATACTAAAGATTTTCCTAAACTTTTGACCTGACCAGCTGCGGCAACGCGACAATTTGCGGAAAGTTATGACGTGCCACTTATTTTGTTCCTAGTCAAGAATTCGATCGGGAAATCATCGCAGGTCTCCAGTTTTCGATCTCCATACCAAGAGTCCAAGGTGGGATTTCGGTATCGTTATCAGAGCAACCTCGTTATCAGGGCAAAGCCTCCAAGCTTCCACGCAAATCTCGGTGTTAGATAACAAAAGGATGGAGCCAAAGACAAAGAATCCCCGCCGCCATGCAACGGACTGTGGCCGAGCCGTTCGAAACGGGCAGTCCTTCGCCCACCGCCCCATATAGTCTAACCGTAATGGCTTCCGACATACCAGTCGCCGAACCCACTACTCCGAGGTTTCGACGAGCCTTAAATACTCAAAGACCGGTAGCATCCCCAGATTCCAGACGAGGTCCGAGATGCGCCACGGTCATGGCTCTGCGCGCGGCGACCACTTGTACCCAAGGGCATCCCGCCCAAAATACCGTGTGTGAAGAAGATGTGATGAATGCTTCTCCTAGTCTGACTCTTTCGCGGAACTGCTGCTTGTTTTGTGCACTACGTACGGTCTAAACACCAGTTGATCCCCTCTAACCTCGTTGGTGACTGTCAGTTTCTTACCCCAACGAGCACATATCACAAATCCGTCCAGTTTGTGAGACATTGAAAAAGGCCAAACGATAGCGGCAACTTTTCTATTCGACCAACTGAGTCGATTGCCAGGATTGGTACGTCAGCCGAGATAATTTGATAGGTCACGCCAGTGTGTTTTACTCGTTGCACCGCAATGAATCCATGTTTTAAGGCCATCCGTACTTTGTAACATGGCCTGCGACAGTCGCAATGGCGACCACCTCAATAACCCGAGCGCCCGGCGAGGAGGCCCTGGCGCGTTCTTTTCCCCCAGAGCCCGTGGAGGAGTCTGTCTCGTTGGTATTTAACAAACCAGTGTGCTAATGTTTTTTAAGATTTTGTTCAGCTTGAGGGAAGAGAAAACATAAAATCAAAAAGAGAAAGCGGTCATATCTCACTTCCGCTTCTCCTGTGCTGCGCCCGTCACTAGGTGATCAACATTCGCACCTTTCACCCTTTTTGGGTTTTCCGTTTGTTGAATCAAGAGGATCGCACGTCAAAGCCCACGAATCTTCCAGAGAAAGACATTGAGACGAGGGTCGACACATAGCATCCCACGACTTGCGTGACCAAAACAAGAAGAACGCTAGGTAGTTGAAGAAGGGAAAGGTCGTCATCTATGTAACTCGTCCTATTGACACTCCTGCGCTGCGCTGAGCAATGCCGTCCTTGACGGAAATGGAAAAGTCCTCTGGGCACGAAAACGGCGGCGGGCAAGAATTCGACCGGAAGACCCCGAGTCTCTCGCCGGGGACCGATGAGGAGAGCGGCACCGACGATCTCGGACGGATGCACGTAACCTCTGGGAAGCCGACGTCACCCCCAAACGGTGGCTTACAGGCTTGGCTTCAAGTTCTGGCGTCCTTTTGTATTTACTTCAATACTTGGGGTGAGTTATACTTCTGTCATGATGGCTCATGTTCCAGTGCAACATCAACCTTATTGGTATTGTTTGTGTTTTTAACTTTCACTGGCTGTGCACGCACTGCAACTCTGGACACACTTGATGACTGCTTTGGTTCGGCATTAACACGTGGTTTCCAGGCATCGTCGCCAGTTTCGGCGTTTTCCAAGTTCACTATGAAGCCGACCTGCTCAAAGAGTACAGCCCGTTCGCCATTTCCACAATCGGCTCGTTGCAGAGTTTCCTGATGGTGTTCCTGGGTTGTTTCGCAGGCCCCATCTTTGATCTGGGCTATGCGCGTCAGCTGCTCTGGGCCGGATCCTTGTTGATCGTCGTCGGGACCGTTGCCCAGAGCTTCAGCAGCACCCTTTGGCAGCTGCTCCTATCGCAGGGGCTCTGCGTCGGAACCGGAATGGGCAGTTTAGCTGTGTTGGGGGTTGCGGTATTATCGCCGTGGTTTTCTACGAGACTGCCTGTGGCTTTTGGTCTCGCCGCGGCGGGAAGCGGTGTTGGTGGGTAAGTCTTACCGAATCAAGGATTCGCTTGAGAGAAATCCTCCACCTATGGCAGCCGATTTTAACTCTCTCTCTTTCTCTACAGTCTGGTTCTACCTATCGTGTTTCGATCACTTCAGCCCGAAATCGGCTTTGCTTGGACAATCCGCACCATAGCGCTAATCACATTGGCCATCCAGGGCGTGTCCATCGTCAGCATACACACACCCAAAGCTTCGCGCCAGAGGCGGGCTTGGATTGACCGCTCTGCCTTCGCCGATATTCCGTATCTCCTCTTCGTGGCCGCTTGCTGCCTGGTGTTCCTGGGCATGTACACTCCGTTTGTCTACGTCCAAGGCTTTGCGCTCCAGCGGGGTGCCGCGAGCTCTCAGGTAGACAAGTACCTGCTGGCTATGATGAACGGGGGTTCCATCATGGGCCGCGTAATACCCAACTTGTTTGCCCAACGGCTCGGAGGGATGAACCTGCTCATCGCCGCGGTGCTCATCATGTCGATTTCGGCGCTCTGCCTCGTGACAGTCGAGCATACCGCTGGTTTGGTTGTGACGCTCGTGTTTTATGGCTTCAGCAGCGGGAGCTTCTTCGCACTTCAACCGGCCACATTTACCAAGCTCACCGAGGACCGCAACTATATTGGCACTCGGCTTGGCATGGCTTACTCCGTCATGTCTATCGCCTTGTTATTCGGGTCGCCGGTTGGAGGTGCATTGGTGCGCTCAATTGGGTATTCTAGTGCCTGGATCTGGTCTGGCGTCTGTCTTGCATTGGGAAGTGCTATGATCGCCTTTTCAAGAGGCATGGCCAGTGGTTGGGACTGGAGAAAACGTACATAACGTCTAATTAGTATTATGGGTCGGTTCAAGTTGGTCACTGGACTGATAGGAGTAACAACCTAGGGCAACAACCCGTTGTTCACTCACACATGAACATGGGCGGGCTATAAGATGGCTGTTAAGCTCCCTTAGGGTCCTATAACTGTTGTGGGTGGCCTCACTTGAGCGTGTTGCTCCAGAGATGGCCTGCAGGTTGCCGTATAGCATGGATATAGACATGATACCCCATCGATATGATGATTCAACGCGTAATTCTGAACGAACATTCCTCAAACGCGGTTTCTTTTTTAAGTGACACCCAGCACTTTAGTTTGGCATAACACTGGGGGGGGGGGGGTTGTTGAGTGAGAGTCGATCAAGTTCCATACATCATGAACCCTCAAGACCCATCCATCACCGGCTTTTGTGATCTTTGTCTATCTTTTGCGTATTTTCAATCACTTAAGAGTTAAAAACTAGTCTCAAGTGTACACAAGCTGTAATAAGCCAACAGTGTCTCCACATGCTTGCAGAGGTTGCAAAAAAGGTAGGGCTCCGCCTCCAGAGGAAGAGTCAACGGGGTTGGGCCCTGGCCAGGGATCGAACCTGGGACCTCTTCCAAGTGGATATATCTCTCAATAACCCTAAGGAAGAATCATACCGCTAGACCACCAGGGCAATAAGAATCCTCCAAATGATGCGGATCAATGGTGTGGCGTTCGTCAGGATGGACTCATGACTATCGATCCGAGGCAAGGGATTCATGGGATGGAGCCGACGAATATTATCACGTTAGGAAATCGTTCGACAGTCTGTTCATGCTTTGCATATTATTTTGCTTCACATGTTTACAGTTCCTGTGGTAGAGCCATTTTTGAAGATAATCATGGTTCCCCTTGGCATCCTTTGACGGTGGGCCGGTGGCTAGTATTTCTCAGCGAACGACGACATACTTTTGGTAGCACTACCCTCAAAACCACCACTGGTTATGAACATGTAGCTGCGAAATTGAACCACGCCTTGCCCGTTGTTCCCATACAGTTAAAGTTGCGCTCTCGCCGTTGAATCGCTCTGGTACTTCTCAATCTCTCGACGACCTTGGTCCAGCTCTTGAGTCAAGTCATATTTCCAGACCCAGTCCATACGAGTTGATAAGCTGTCTGCGATCCACTCGGGGTCGTCCTTCAGCTCCAACTCGTATAGCTTCCCCTGTTCCCGGCTGTCCGCCACCAGCTTCTGGGACCTCTCCTTTCTCGTCTTGTTGTACGCTGCAAACGCCATCTCGATTTCCTCGGGGCCGTTGATTAGCGCCAGTAAATTGCCGAGAATGTAGGCGTCTTCAATCGCCATTCCAGCACCGGAGCCCTTGTGTGGCGTCGAGGCATGGGCGGCATCGCCCAGCAGGCATACTCGTCCTTGGTAGTAGGTCGGGCTCGGCGGGTGGTCGAAAAGCGCCCACACGTCAGGTTTCTGCACCATCTGGATAATCTTTTGGGATTTGTCACCCCAGCCTTTAAAGTCATTGACCATATCCTCCCTTTTTACCCCCATGACCCATTTATCTGACTTCCACTCTTCCGCACTGCGGAAAGCAACCACTGTTGCTTCGTTAGTATCTGATGTCGATCAAAATAGGACCCCTCATCTCACTTACCGTTCATCATCTTGCCCTTCGCGACAGAGAACGTTAGCATGTGGCCGTGTCTTCCGAAGTACATCTGGCTGTTCTTGGCAAGTTCGGCGCCTAAGAGCTCTTCCGCTTTCTCCATAGGGATGAGGCCACGGTATGCGTACTTTCCGGAAAAGACGGCCCTTGAGGCGGGATGGTCGTCGCCGAGCATCACGCGCCGCAATTTTGACTTGATGCCGTCGCATGCAATCACTGCGTCATGTGTAGAGGTAGTGCCATCTTCGAATTTGAGCAATACACGCGTGCCATCATCTTCATAACCGACCGCACATTTGCCAAATTTCGCAACCCCATCAGGTAGTAGCTTGACCAGTTCATCCAGAAAGTGTGCTCGAAGAATACCAGTCTGACCAGTCTCGCATATCAGACGGTAAATCAACTCACCCTCGCGGTGCTTGCCTTCGCAGGTCTCGCCGTATCTGAAATCAAACCATACGTTCTGGTGGTCCTCTGATTCATTATTCGTCGCTTGATTCTCGAAAGCTTGCCGTACGTGCGGTGAGATTAAAGACATGGCCCTGAGGGCGTTTGGACCGAACGATACGCCCGCGCCGATCTCACCAAACATCGGTGCTTGCTCATACAGCGTTGTCGGTATCCGATTCAGGAGTAGTTGAAGGGTGAGCGTCAGGCCGGCGATGCCGCCTCCAACTACTGCCACATTAAAAGACTTATCCGGGCGCTGACAGAATTCCAGCGGCGGCGTCATCTTGAGAGTTTTGGAGCGGAGAGAAAATGCGGTAATTCTTCACTTTGGAAAGTTGCCAGTGTCGGAATATTCAACCGGTGGAAAATGGAGCCGATCCGAGATCGCGTGACTCATCTCACGTGACTCACCTTGGCAGCTCACTTGCACCATCACGAATATCCACGGCAGGAACCTCTTCCCTTTTACTTTATCATCATACACATACAGCAACCAATATTCAATTGACACTATTGCTGCTCACGCGATCGCATCACCATCACCCTGCGATACCAACAGTACCAAAGTCAGTGGACACTTTAACGAGGCTTTTTGGCAGATTAGTAAAACGGCATAGACTACCTGTTGTCGATCCTGAAATTATCAGATTAACAGATGAATATGTAAATACCATGCCGGACAACCATATAAATAAGTAGTTGAGGGAAGTAGATCAGAGACGCGTCAATACGGCACAACCCTGCATCGTCTCTCAAACTACAATTCGGACGAGACCTATGACGTTCTGGATGACTACTTTTTACTATCCCGCTCAGTCCGAGATCTAGTTGTGCATAACTGTTTTCAGATAAGTAGTTACGTCACGGAAACATGATGTTGATGATTATTGGATAAAATAAATGTGTCTGGACGCCTCCGGGAGCACGGCGCAGCCTTTCGGGTAGCGGGTGGAACACTTCGGGATTGGGCAGCACACGGGCAGCCTATTTTGCCGAAACAGTACCGGGCCATTTAACCATGTACCGACTGCGGGGTATTAGGGAGGGTGAGGAGAACCGATAACAGATATACTTAGTTATTCACTTGGCTGCCATCTCCCTGAGCTTATCAATAGTTTTTGCCCCGGATTGTATCACATTATCAGAGTATTAAATATAACAGCGCTAACAGTGGATGAAACTATCCGCCAAAATCAAAAGAGGTTCGATGGAGTGATCCTTCTACTATCCTATGCTATGTCTAGCGCTAAAGAAGGTCCTGGACTTTACCCTGTTTATAGCAGTATAAAAGTCAAATGTTAATAAACTCTGTTTAGGGTTCAATCTTCCTAATAACACTTCTATAAAACCTGCCACCCATGTTCTACACAACTTCTCCTTTCATTTGTTTTCCTTAGCGCGCACTGTTAGTACAGGTTATCAACCCACAGCTATCCCCAAACCCTGCTGTTAGACGAAGAGGGAGAGAAGGAAGAGTCAGAGGGGGTCAAGGGCAGAGTCGCTAGGAGAGGTGGCAGAGACGGAACGGAGAAGAGTGCACAGCCAGAAGATGAGGGCACTTACCGGCAAACCAGTGTTGCCAAGTCTAAATCGAGGAGTGAATATGAAAAGGCCACTCACAGACATACGTATACCTCTGGAGGGTCCCTTACCTTTTGCAAGTCGGTGGTAGGTGGTCGCTAGGGAAAGAACCAGTGGGTGTCACTAGATGACCTCTCTAAGGATTCAAAGATAACTTGGCCGATGTGCCTTTCAATTTCACATCTGAATATGGGGTTTCTATGAGCACAGGCCCATATAGTCACTCAATAACTGGACTGGATCGCGCTGCGAGAGATACGATGTCTCTGTTACCACCAGTTTTGTCTGCATCGCCAAGAAGCATGGTTGCTTATCGTATATAGGCATGCGTCGATTGTTGGCTTGTTCAAGCAACTCGTATCGAGATACCGGTCGGCCTCTTTACCTCTTTACGTTGTACGAAGCTGAGGTCTGCTCAATGAAGCATCGTAGTCGTAGACAGCAACGCCTTTGAAGTCTCGCCCAGGCTTTGCGACAGATCCAGCCTGTCATCAGAGGCACAGAGGCAGCGTAAAGAGATATTGTGGTGTGACATTCGATCTAGTTGAAGTCGCGGATGTCCGTCTCCGTCGTAAGCTTATACTATTTGATAGCGGTTTGGGCTCGGTCAAAGAATCTGTAGTGGCGAAATGGAGTGAGATGTTGATCCGTCTCGCTTTCTTCTATGGGCTAGTAGCCGGTCTCGAGAGATGGTGTTTCGCGCCTTGAGGATAATGGTAGATGATTGTAATGAAACAGAAGGATATCAAGCTGTGTATCTCCCACTTTGACATGACATGAATATGTGAATATGGAAGAATATCTGAGCTGCAGTCAGCATTTACAGCTACGGTATCATAGTATCTTGTATCAAACTTCGAGGATGGTAGATCGTTTTTTTATAAGTAGTGTTTTTGGTGTAGAAAAGGAAATCGGGTGTGGAAGGGCATCATCCGCTGATAACGAAGAAAAGCCTATTGGACCTTCGTCTTTGTCTAGTCGGCAATCTCCTCAGCCTTCTTAGCCGTAGTTTAAAGCAACATCTTGACCTCATTCCTCATCCAGAGTCCTTTTAATAGCTTCTCGCTCTCGTCTATGTGCTTGACGGCAACCTCTATAGGCTTCCTTAGCTTGAGGAAAATGTAGTCGCCTTCGGTGATCATCTCGAAGTATTGGTAGTACAGACTGGCGAAGCCACCAATCTGGGGCCCCTTGGACTTAGCCTGGTCCACGGCGTCACTGAGAACTAGATAAAAAAATGATACATGAAGGTTTTGCGGCTTGGGTAATAGATTTTCCCAATCACTCGCTCATTTTTCAGGCTATGCATCTATCACCGTAGCTACTTATTTCTAGCATGGAGGTTCTAGCAAAGCGTCTGTGTCGGACAGCATCATATCATCCGTGCAACTTAGATACGCCATGCTAGCATCCATGGTGGGGAAGAATGGCATATCTTGTCCATATGAATCGAAGAGCAGGGTTCTGGGCGAAATCGGTAGCAAGATATCCGTTGACGGCGTGAGTGTCTGGACTACAGTTGATCCTCGACTAGCTTCAATGCCAGTAATGTGCGACTCAGTCGTACTTCCAGTCGATAACAAGCCACCTTGACTCATGCTGTTTGTCTCTCCCATCTCTGAATGGGTAGTTACTGTGTCTTTGGAATTCCCATTGACTCGAGGGAAAAGGCTTGGCTCAAACCTGGATGTTTCCGCTGACAAGACTCCTACGTGGACGCTGCCAAACAACTCGCCAACGAGCATTCTTTGAAACTCCATTTTCTTTCGGACTCTTTTCTCCTTGTAAAGAGCGCAAGCGCTCTGAAGATGCTCCACGATTGAGAGTTCCCTGTTTGCAACGGGGTCATGTCTGCTGAACTTGCGTAGAAGCGCCTGTGCGTCGTTCAACCCGTGATCCAAGGGAAAGGTGCTGTCTAAGTCACCGAAGACTGCTAGCCCAAGGACTAATGCTGATACAAATACGGAGTTAATCAGGAAGGGGTGTCGTTTAGCAACAGTCGTATCTGGAATAAGACCAGCCAGAAGCTCAACTGTGCGAATTGCCGAGTCCACGCAAGCATGCACAAGAAGCTGATCCGACGGCGATGAGCGGAGCGAGTTGTCATAAATCCACATTGATGGTGACTGAGATCGCGCAACGTTTCTCGAAACAAAGTCGATAAGAAACGGCCGTGATAAGAGCATTATGCTCCAGTAGTATGCCTCCTTCATGTAGTAAAGCCCCATGTTGGGATACGTTTCGTCTTCTACATCGACGGGTTCGTTCGTATTTACACCATCAGCAGCAAGACTATCGTTGAATTTCGCGGCCCAGCGGCGATGTTGCTCACTGATTCGCTCTAGAACATCGGTTGATACCATACGCTTAGCGTAGACGTCGTTGAGAATGGACTCAAGGATGGTGCAGAGGTCCAGAGAAGCCGAGTAATCTTCTGTGCCCGCCGTATCACGGGTCTCAGAAGTGACCAGTGGACGGCCCAGGGAGACGCTCAAGAATAAATCGAGGACACGGAGGGATCTCCATAACCGCTCCCGAGTGTCTTGCTCTTGCGCCGAGAATAGCGTGGGATTGTCTTTCCGGTGAATACCCAGCGTATACGCGGCGCGGACAGCGACGCCCAAGTGCATGAAAGCCGAGTTTCGCCGCGATGCACCGAGGAGGTAGATGGTGATGAGGATGTAGCTGCGCACAGTGTTGTATGTCGGATTCTCCATGACGTACGAGACGGCGAGAAACCGCCCGTAATGGAAATATTTCTCAGAATCAGCATCTCGATCTTCAGGGCAGCGTTGTGCTCCGATACCAAGTGCAAGAAAGAAGATGCAGCTCATCGCCTCCTCGTCCTGACTGGCGGGGTCTCCGCGCAACCAGCTCTCAATGTCCTTTCGAAGCATCGCTTCGTCAAAGATGTCAAGAATACAGTTGGTTGCTCGCAAATACCAACGCAACAGATATCTTGCCTGTTCTTCACTGGGCTTCGCCGGGATATCTGCCGGGTTTGTGATAATCCATTTCGGACGTCCTTCTGGAGTCGCCTCTACCATGATATGGCGCAGAGGATCGTCCGTAAAGGGACATGATCCTAGAAGTTCACGTACCAGGCGGCGGATGACTTTCAAAAAAGCCAAGTTGGCTGCATCGCCAATGAACATAAGGCGACCTTTTCCATCTGCTATGAGTCTGGACACTTGCGGTACCACAGCAGACCGAGAGAGATGGCTGATTTGTGGAGAAGTGTACGGGTTGAAGTGATCTCGGCAGGCTGGGCTTTCGTGAAGGCCGGAACAGTCGGGAGTTTTCGCAGACAGAGGGTCGGGAGGAGCAAGGTTCATGGGTAGACCGGCGAAGGCACAATCGCCTTCAACTCTACGGATCACGCACCGTCTGCAGGGTTGCTGACCATCGCAGCGCTCCTTGCGCCGCTTGCAATTCCCGCAGGCCTTAACACACCTACGCCGTTCGCTCTGACGGACCTTTTTCGTAGGCATTATGCGTTTGTTAACCTGTCGAAGAGGTATCCTTTGTGATACCCAGTATGACAGCTTAGCACAGCTCCTGGGCAGCCAGCAAAACAAACAAGTGACAGGATGGGTTGGGTCTTGGACCAAACACTGGCATAAGACAAGGCAATGGAAGATCCGGGGCAGGGTTTCTTAGCTTCTGGGCTTTGCGGCGGCACCTTTCCACGGGTCCTGTTTCACTGACATTGCCCCCAGACTTTGAGGTCGTTGGTACAAAAGAAAAGTGAAATTGAAAATATCAAAGCTGCCCGGGGTAGGTAGTCAAGAAGGCATTGGAACATTGTTTATGCAGCAATTTTCATTGGCTAGCTTGCTTGAAGAAACGGGTTGTTGAGAATGACGGACAGCCACTCGCTTGGCAAACATTCCCGCCCCGTATCGGCAGTCAACGGCACGGACCACTATTATGAGGGAGCAATAAACATTGGCTTGTAAAGCTGTCGTCTAGCATCCGCAAGCACCCCTATTATCGCGAGACCGTGGCCTTGCTATTCAAAGTTTGATTTCTAACATCTCGACCTATGATGCTCCGCCTCAGGCGGTGGCAGCGGCAAGCGACGTACGATAACCAAGATTTTGAGATCACGACTGAAAATAACTAACAACGACCCACGAGAGGCCATCATTTTGATCATATGACGACATCCGATATCATGTTCTCTGACCGATGAAACACTGGAACCCAGTGCCTTACCCGACATGACGTTAACTTGATGAAGCCCTTATCCGACAGTGTGACAATTCCCCTCAACCTGAATGGCTCATGCCCAATTTCAAGCGTCTGAGCTTGACCCCCTCATCCGCACCGCCAAAAGCCCCAACTTAGTTCGCAGTAGTGTCCAGGGACCCCGTTTCCGAAACGATAGGAAACCTGGTTTTTGAACGGAACCCCCCATCCGCTGCCATTGGGCACAGGTACTCCCGCCCGATTCCCGTTGCGGGTCCGACGTTTCGACACCCATTATTGTGACAAGCAGGGTAGCACGGCGCTTGAAGCTGAAAAATGGAAGAAATGGTCCTCCTTTTCGGAGATGTTATTGATCGCAGTTTGGATGGCAGAAGTGCAGGGGATGTTCTCCGACTGCTAGAAATTTGCGGGTGTATTGTTTACTTCTTAATTGTACCCGTCTTCGTGCATGTCCACCATCTCGAATGTCACCTCTCGCCACCAATATCATATCTCTACCACAATGTCGAACGGAGGCTACTCATCTATCACCGAGACGAAGGGTATCTTGGAGCTCGTTCTCAGTCATGTGCAGATCCCAGCCGAGGCCGAGCGAATCGCAAGGGATGCGCAATTCTCAGCATCTCGCGACTTGCCTTACTTCCCGATCCCGTTCAAGGAGACGGAATTGGCCTCAGCTTTAAAGGCCATCGAAGGTGGTGTAGCCGCCGCACTTGCGACTACAAAGGATGAGAGCATCAGGAATAACAAAATTTCCGTAAATTTGGAGAAGAGTACCGCGTTCTTGTTTCAAGCTTATTTAGCAACCGTTGGTGGTTATGGCAAGTTGGATCACGAGGTGAAGCAGTTTTTGAAGGGTGAGCTCAACATTCTGGATTGGATCTCCAACTGGAATAATCATAAGATGAATCAACTAAACATTATACAGATACGGATCTGCTTCAGGCCCAATCGGATCCTTATCGTCGCATGTCTGCCAACTTGTATGAAACGAAAAGACCAGGTGAATACTATCACATTCATGGGTCTCTGGAAGCATCCGTCACGCTCCGCATGATTGGACTTGAGTCTTTCCGGCCAGATTTGAAATCCCACGAGGCAATAGTAGAGACAATACAGTCTCATGTCAAGAACTTCACAGTCGATGAGCTGGAGCGTATGAATGCAGATAATCGCCAGGCGGGAGTCCCTGTTCTCAAGCATGATAATTTCATCAAGACGCATCATGTAAGTCACAACTCGTATTCACTTATTAATGGAATTAGCCGTTGCTGAGTTGTTGATAATTTATAGGGCTCGACGAATCTCAAACTGCCGCCGTGGAGTGTGGATGCTCTGGAGGACTCGACACCACCAGCACCTCTCCCGGTCACATCAGATCGCAGAATTCTGTCTGGAGTCAAGGTGCTTGAACTATGTCGCATCATCGCCGGGCCGGTGATAGGACGTATCCTGGCCGAGTACGGCGCCGATGTTTTGAAGATCACGAGCCCGAACCTCAGCGATGTCCCCTTCTTTCAGGTCGACGGTAACATGGGCAAGCACGCTGCGGATCTCGACCTTAAGACTGAGGAAGGAAGACGACAGTTTGAGGAGCTTTTGGCTGAAGCTGATGTCGTTCTTGACGGTTATAGACCTGGAGCGCTAGAGAAGCTTGGCTATGGTGCAACAGCGCTGACAAATCTGGCCAAAGAACGCGGCAAAGGCTTTGTTTACGTCAACGAGAATTGCTTTGGCTATCAGGGAGAGTGGTCGCATCGCCCCGGATGGCAGCAAATCGCCGATTGTGTAAGCATGGATTATTTGTTTTAGTTTGAATGGCGACTAATTTGGGGATAGGTTAGTGGAGTAGCATGGGAGCAAGGTCGTTTCATGGGTCTTGATGAGCCAGTTGTGCCCCCATTCCCAATTTCTGACTATGGGACGGGATGCATGGGCGCCATCGCTGCCCTGACTGGCCTCTATAACAGAGCGACCCAGGGCGGATCTTGGCACGGAAAAGCATCCCTCCTGCAATATGACCTATTCCTCATCAAGGCCGGGCAATACCCAGAGGATGTCAAGGATGAACTTCGGAAGCTAGCAGGCGATGACTTCCTTTCTCTGAGGCACAGCCACAGCGTCGACCAGATCTCGGGAACGACCCTGAAAGCTATGAAGCGTTACGCACCGGCGTTATTCAGCTCACCAGGTATTCGGGAGAAATGGTATTCGAAGGGATACAGGGCCGAGGTGGAGGTCGTCGGGCCCGTAGTAGATATAAAAGGTGTTGATATTGGGTTCAAACGGGCTAGTAGGCCCAATGGCACAGACGAAGCGAGCTGGGATTTCGGGCCAGAAGAGGATCGCCGTATCTCTTACTCAAACGGGGGTTCCAAAGCTTGATAAATGGCCTAGAAAAGAATTCCAAAATAGATTATACATCACTTTCTCTTTATATCACGGAATACAAAGCTTAGTTAACCACAATCGGCGCAGCAGGCGTGGGCTTTTTCATCCCAACTTTGGTCTCACGCGCTGCTGAGAAGGGAGATCCCTGGATACCACGACTGCTATTGAAGTACAAAAGTATTCAACATGATCCGAATTCGCTCCAAAATAGGGGTGAGAGCCTCCACTTTTGTAATTTTGACACCTGTGTCCTCAGAGTCACCCACAACAGTTGGGTCCTATGTGATCACAAATTTCAGCCAGTTGCCAAACTGACACTTTGCGCATGACGACGAAAAACAAGGCTTCCAAAGTGCGGGGTTCCCATAGAGCGAGCCATGATGTTTTGGCGGTCTGGCGCAGGCTGGGATGCTGTGTGCGTGCGTGTCAAAGTGTGCACGTCTGTGGCATCGGCAGATTGCTCTGCCCTGCATCGGATCACCTCCCCTGTATCCGAAATGAGAAACTCTAATCAGGCTGGCAACCCCCTCCCGGACCCGAGGATGCTTCCGGCACTGCAAGGGCCGGCAATAGCCGCTGGACACGTGTAATGACAAAGAACCAACGAGGAAGTAATGCGCCCGCTGAACACAATTGGAATAAGTACTTTCAGTTGTACTGCTTGATGACTGTTATAGTTGAGTGAAGATATCTTACCTCGAACATAATATCGACTCCACAACAAAGCTATCTAACCTCATTCTCAGACGGACCCCGACCTAAGGCTATCTGGACGGACGCAAAACGAACTTGACAGCATGGGCACGATGCAGAAGGAGGATGGCCAGGCCCAGGGCCTTGGGCAGGACTTCACAAAGCAAGTTATCGCGTCTATGGGGGAGGACACAAACCCGAGACTCCGTCAAGTTCTGTCCTCTTTCATCCAGCATATCCACGACTTTGCTCGTGAAGTCGACCTCACTACCGACGAATGGATGACTGGTGTCAACATGATCAACTGGGCCGGTCAAATGAGTAACGACCGACGAAACGAAGGCCAGCTTCTCTGTGATGTCATCGGCCTGGAATCGTGAGTAGTCAGACCATGTCGGGCGCCCCGTATCGGGTAATGGCTAACCGGAATCCTGAGACTCGTTGATGATATTACCAATCGGGTGGCCACGAAGAACGGCGTGCCTGGGACGGCGACAGCCATTTTGGGCCCTTTCTGGCGTGCAGACGCGCCTGTCCGTGCCAATGGCAGCACCATTGTTCTCAAATGCCCCGATGACGGAGAGCTTGCGTTCATGTATGGTCAAGTGACCTGCTCCAACACGGGAAAGCCTCTCGCTAACGCGTCTGTTGATGTTTGGCAAGCATCCACAAACGGCAAGTCTATGCACGGCCTTATTTATTGAATTCATGAGCTGACTGGGATTAGGACTGTACGAGCAGCAAGATGCGGATCAACCGGAACACAACTTGCGCGGAAAGTTCATTACGGATGAGGAGGGCCGTTACGCGTTCTACTGCCTTCGGCCCACTCCGTACCCAGTACTGTTCCTTTTCCCATGTAGCGATGTGCACCTACTGACAACGTCTCGAGGTTCCGGGAGACGGCCCAGCTGGAAAGCTTCTGGACCTACTTCACCGTAATCATTACAGACCAGCCCACATTCACCTCATCGTACGTTGATTTTCGGGACTCTTAGCTTCATTCTATGCTTATCCTAACAACGTTTACAGGTTCAATCAGAAGGATTCAAGTCGGTTACAACACAGATTTTTGACGAAGACTCAGACTACTTGGAGAACGACTCGGTCTTTGCTGTGAAAGATGGGTTGACGGTGAAATTCACTGAGAGGAAGGGCGACCCCAAAGCCGCAAAAGAGCTTGAGTATAACCTTCAGTTGGTTTCTGAGAAGTAAATGGCATGGATTGGACATTTGTCAAAGACATTGTGGCATTAACAAGCGGAATGAGATGATAGAAGAATGATTTGGGTTCTTAATGAAGAAGGAAACCGTTTGTGATGATTGATTGGAAGGAAACTTGGGAGCAATGCTGTTCATTCATTTGGTCTTAGTCAGCTGCTGAGCATGAATCTGAAAACGACGATAGCAAGCGTCTTACGGAGCTATAAGTACTCGGGCGACATCAGCAACATTTTCAATGCCGACCCTATGTCTTGTAGACTAAGTGAAGCGGTTTAATTGTCGTCTCACAAATTTCAAGAAAACATCTCAGGGCCGGGTATCTTGTATGGTTTCCCCCGATTGGTAGGCTGGCCGTTGTCATCGTAGATATCGACAAGTATGCTGGGGTCTGTCGCACTGTAGGCACCCGGGAACTTGACCAGTGACGAAGGCTTTCTCTTACCGTCCCCTTGAACTCGAATCCTACATATTTTGTTAGAATGACATCTACAGAGAACGTGGTTGGAGATTATTCGTCTCACTGTACACATTCCATATAAAACCGAGCTCCGCCAGGGGCATAAGCGCTGTGTAGGGCGAGGATCTCCACTCTCATGAGATACTGGCCGGGCGGCACGCAAGGTGGCATAGTAAAGTTGTACCACCCCCCGTCCGCAATCAGCTCATCAACAGCCCAGACGCCATAGTTCAGGCCCTTTTGCGAGATTTTGAACCAGTCCAGGGCGCCCTTGGGGTTTTGGTTGGCAGAAACAGCGTCGTTGACCTTGGCGAGGTACACCATGATGGGGCCTGGCGAGAGCTTATCAATATGAGCCCACCGGCACGCGAGGGGATCGCCATACCCTTGTGGCTCGCAGCAATTGGTTGATCGACGTTGTCCGCATATAAAGGCCGGTTGATACCACGAGCCCACCAAGCACCAACTCCGGCACCGGCTGGCACCGCGACCACGTATTCATCTTCGTGTCCGATGTTCTTATTGCACGCAAAGTCTGCATCGTTGACGTCCTCTATGGGATCGGTGCTTATGGGCGCGCGGATGCCCTTCAGCCAGCCTTGGTCGGCTCCATTGACGGCTAGCCGCTGAAGGATGGAGTGCGCATTGGCACAGATGATAAAGGGAGCGACTTGGGCGAGAAACTTCATCTTGCGGGAAAAGAATGAGCAGAAGGTGAACGGCGTGGTCGATGAGTGTTAGACACCATGATTGCTTGTATTGATTCCTGGGTATTTGTGTCTGTTGGTATACGGTAGGTATGCTTTAGGGGAGGTGGTCACGTGATATTTATGTGACACACCGCCTCTCTTGGCAGTATCTACCTTACTACTAGTATACTACCTAAAAGTCTGGATTTACTTTATAACTAACTAATATAATAAGTAACTATATTCTGTATTATAATTTATTATATAATCTATAGGATATCCCTCTTATATAATTTAACTAATACTAATTAGTGTATAATTAAATTATAAGATTACTACTATTAAATAAATTAGTAAGGTTTATTTTACTAGGAGTAAAGAGGATTAACTAGCCTATTAGTAAATAATTCTTTATAAATTTAACTATTATTATTATTATAACTTTTTTTAATTCCTTACTTTATCTTAACTAAATCTATATTAATAATAAGTAGAAAAAAAAAAGTAAAAAGCTACTACTAGTAATAGTAAGGCTATTAAGTTAACTAGTAATAAATACCTATAACTTATATTTATATATATACTTACTATCCTTATTATTATATCTCCTATAACCTCTCCTTCTTCTACTTACCTTTATCTACTATATTAATCTATTAATATAAGGTAACTATATTAACTTTAATCTTAATAAGTTAGACCTCTATAAGGTTAGATTATATATAATATATATAATTACTATATAGTTAGACACTAACCTCTATAGCTGCTACCTTCTTACTGCCTTTTAGTTAGATTTTATAGACTAGACTATTACTACCTTTAACGCTATAGGCACTAAGGTACTATTAATATTTTATAACTACCTTATTAATAATAGAGTTTTTATTAATTTAGTAAAAAAAAGGATTACACTTAAATTAGTAAACCTTCTTAACGCTAATTTCTATATATAGACTAGAGAGGATATTACTTTTACTTACTATAAGCAGCTTATCTTTAACTTATAAATAAAGAATCCTAAATTTATTAATAATATTACTAGTTAATATATCTTACTTAAGGAGAGATTAATAATTAATTAGGCCTTATTTACTGCTTTTTTTAATATTATTATAAATAGTAGCTAATATTACTTTATAAAAGTAACTAACTTTATTTACCTTAACTTATTTACTAGTAGTAGATTATTACTAGCTAAAATAGGAGTAAGATAGCCTATTTTTACTTTTATAATAAAATAGGATTAACTAAGTACTTACTAATTTAAACCTAGTACTTAGAGGTAATATAAGTACTTCTTTTATTAACACCTTATTATATAATCTAAGAACCCCTTACCTTACTTATTACCTTACTTATTAATCTTATTATAGCTAGTATAGTAAGTAATTAGGTAGTTAGCTTATTATAATAAATAGAATAAATCCTTAGTAGGATATACTATTTAACTTATTAAGTAACTATAAGCCTACTACTAACCTACTACTTTAAAGCACTATATAGAGATTTTAGTTATAGGGCTATAATAAATTATAATAACGTTAGCTACTATATAAGCCTAACTTTATTTTTATTTTTTCTTTATAACCTTACTTATATTAGCTAACTAACCTTATAAAGCTACTAACTAATAAAATAAAGTATAGTAGTAAGCTATATAATGTTCTTAATCTAAAGTTAAGTATTTTTTAGGATAATTATAATAAGGTTAGGATTAAGTAGTACTAGCTTAGCCTTACCTTCTTAATTATACTAAAAGGTAAGGTATCTTAGTTTTATATTAATTATATTTATAGTAATAGTATTTATAATTTTAATAAGATAGTTAACTAAATTTATAACTACTTTAAGATATAAGAATAAATACAGACTTACCTATTTAAATAGTAAGAAATAACACTTCCTTAAGTTATATATAATAATCCTATAATAACTAAGATCTAAGCCCTTAAGAAGCTTATCTTAAAGCTAGCCCTTATCTAATAGGCTTTCCCCTTATTATACTAAAATAATAAGGTGTTAAGAAGTTAGTTACTAAATACCTACTCTAGGGTTCCTAAGTGTAACCTTTACTTATACACTTTAGCTATAATATTAAAAGGAGTATATAGCTAATTATAGTTATTTATTAGTACTACTATAAGGCGCCTTTACTATAGCTAGTACCTTACTAAATCCTTACCTTTATTACCTAATAATTAATATTAAGTAGACTATACTTACTAAGGCTAAGGCTGTTATTAATAGTTTAGTAATAACTATAGTAGTAGTAATTTTTATAATAATAATAATAATAATAGTAGCTATAATACTAAAAAGTGCTATATTTACTATAAGCCTAGCTACTAGTTAATAAAGTATACTACTAATAAAAAATATAAAGTGTATTAGTAATTTAAAAGTAACTATTATATTAAAAATACTTTACTAACTATATATAACACCTTTCTTACTAGCTATAAAGGCACCTATCTATAAGAAAAAAAAGATAAAGATAGTAATAATAATAAGAATCTTTAGTAGTATCTCTAAGGGGCCTACTTTATTATTAGTAATAATAAAAAATAAGATAATAGTGTATTTTATACCTTAACTATATTCTTTAGAAGCACTAAAGTAAATAGTAAGGCACTTACTACTAGCCTTACTAACTAAGCTATTTATTACTAATTAATAAAAATTAACCCTAATAGTACCTTTACTAAGCTACCTAGTACCTTTCTACTAGATTATTACTTATTAGCTACTTTTTAAGGTATTTTACTAGATATAAGCGTAATAAGTTATTTAACTATAGGCTACTTATAAGCTATTACACTATAGTAAATTTAACTATTTATAACTATTAACACTATAGCTATAAGTAAAGTAAAGATTAGATTTAGTAATAGTAATACTATTACTTTATAAGGCACTATTATAGTAAAGACTCCCTTTAGGTATATTACTTTTTATATAATACCTACTAATATACCTTTTTTACTTTACTTAGCTAATATAGATTAGCTATTAATTTAATTTAATAACCTTATAAATACTCTTTAATAAGGTAAACTTATAGTACTAGTTATATAAAAATAAGGCTACTTATAGATACTACTTAGCCTGCTTAAGTAAAGCCTTATAAGTTATTACCTAACTAATATTAAGCTATACTACCTTTATTAATAGTTTAGCTATTTATTAATTTACTAGCTATATAAGATTCTTTATAAGGCTAGCTATAAGGTTAAAATAAAAGTAATTAAATACTTAATAAAGTACTATTATTATTACTAGATTTATAAGAAGGCTTTTTCTTAATTTTAATTTACTTTATATAATAACTATTTATTTAATTATAAAGTTATTATTAATATTATATACCTTAATAGTAACCTTATACTTTATGTTATTAATACTACTACTACCTTTAATATAGCCTACTTCTTTTATAATATTTTAGTAAAAACTATATAAAAGGCACTTTATTACTACTAAATTAATATTTACTAAGGGCCTCTAGATTAGATTATTACTAATATAAGATAGAACTTTATTTTAACTAAATTTTTATATAAAGCCTATATAATAGGCGTTAAGGTTAAGATTATACCTATTAAAGCCTATTATAGTATTAGAAAGGTTAAAAGATACTATACTATACTTTAATAGATATATAAAATAATTTATAAAAAGTGTCTATTTATTAACTATAAATCTACACTTTAGAGTATAACTAAAGTAATTAATAATACTACTAGCCTAAATAGCCTTATACCTACCTTACTAGTATTTAGCGCCTACCTTTATATAACTACTAACTTTACCCCTTTACTTAAGATAATTTAATATATAACTACTATCTAAAAAATAACTAAGAATCTTTATAAATATAATATAGTATAGTAAATTAATAAGGCTCTTACTACTTATAACAGTCTAAATACCTCTATAATAAAGGATCTGCCCCTAGGTAGTAATATCTACGTCTAGTATAAAAAAAGAGGTTAGTCTAGCCTATATAAATTACTTACTACTTAAGGTAAAGACTTTACTATTAATATTAATAGCCTTTACGTTTTTTAATTTATATTAGTTAAGCTATACTAAGCAGTAAGTAATAAAGAAGGAGGCTTAGCTAAGTAATATCCTTAATTTATCTTAAATAATAATAGTAGTTATAGTAATAAACCTACTAAAAATACTATTATTATTATAACTAACTTAGGGTAGTAGCTACATACTAATAATCTTATTATTATATAACCTTAATAAGCTAGAAAAATCCCTATAAGATACACTTTACTATAAGAGACTAACGTACTTTATACTACCTTCCTCTTAGTAAAGAAAGAAGCCTATTAAACCTTTATAATCTAACTATATAAAAAAGACGTTATTATAGTGCCTAGTAAGCTATTTAAGTAATTAGTAACTACTAAGATTAATAGCCTTATTATATAAGGTGTCTTTAAATTTACTATAATTAACTAACTTTAACCTTATAAGTAAATTCTTAAATTATAAATTATAAATAAGGTAAAAAGCACTAATAAGAAGCCTTATAAGAAATTATAACTAGTTATTTAAGGCTATACTAATAATAGTAAAAAGGCTATTTTTACTTAGTTACCTACTATTTAGTAGGCTAGCTAGTAGCTTATCTTTATACTAGCTTTTTTTTTCTTATTAATAGTAAAGTTATATAGCTATATAATATTATATAGGCCTATATCTAATTTACTTCCTACCTTAACTATACTATTTATACTAAACTTCTAGCCTAAATCTATTATAAGTACCTTAATAATACTATTATAAAGGTTATTAAGCCTTTATATAGAATTACTAAGGTAGGTATATACTAGTAAGCTACTTATAACTATTACTATAAAAAAAATCTCTAGATAGTTTTTACTATATATAACCTTTACTTTTTTTATTATCTAGTAAAAATCTATACTTTATACTTATTAATATATAAATAGATAATACTATTAGCTTAATAGACCTTTTATTTTCTAACTAAGAGAATAAAGAACTAACTAAAATAAAATTTACTATAAAAGATAAGTTATTTCTTACTATTAACTAACTACTTACTTTTAATAATAAGATTATTATATATATATTTACTATAAACACTTTTATTATATTTTACTAGAAAAAGTAAAAAGTAAAGCTATAATTAATTAATATAAAGTTACTTATAGCCTACTAAGATTTTATTTAGTAATAGGTATAAGAAGTATATATTACTTCTATTTACTAGTCTAAAGCGTACTATAATCTTTTTATTATAGCCTAATATAAGAAGCTAAATAATAAGGTAATTAAAAACCTTAACTATTAACTATAATAGTAAATAAGCTTACTTAACTATAGTCTATAATTTATCCCTTTAGATCTTATATTAGCTAAGCTATTTATATTTATAAATAGATTATTTACTAATATTTATAATATAACTTTATAGTTAGGATTTATTATCCTTTTTATAAATAAAAAAGTTAATAATAACTAAGCTAAGTTTTCTTTTTATAGTAACGCTTTTTATTTCTTATTTATAAAGTCTAAATAAGTTACTTAAAGCGTCCTTATATCTAAAGTATATAAGATAGTTATAGGCGTTAATATAGCTTATACCCTATTTATAACTATTATAATAATTATAAAGAAGCTTAATATCTTATTAATCCTAACTATTATATATATAGACTTATATTTACTTTATAAATACCTAGTTAAGCTAAGAACTATAAAAAAGAAGCGTCTTATAATTAATATTATATTACTAAGATAGTCTTATAAGTAATATAAGCTTTATAAAGTCTAATAAATTACTAAATCTAATAATCTAGCTAATAGATTTATAAAGGTATCCTTAAATTAAGCACTTAAGGGCCTAGTTATAAATAATAAAGATAAGATATATATAAAAAGTTAGGTTATATAAGTATAATAAATTATAATATATATATAGTAAAAAATAAATTATAAGTTATATAACTAACTAAACTATAATAGTAGTAATTAAATTTAACTAATATAAAATATATATCTCTAATAGCTATAGCTAAAAAGAAACGCCTTTAAATAAGTTAGTATAAGCTTATACTATTTATAAAAAAAAATAAAAGATATAAAAATATATAGTATATAACTATAAGAAGTATAATACTTTTAGAGTTTTAATTTTTATTACGTTTTTAGGCCTTTTAAAGGTAATCTAGATAGCTAGGGCACTAGTAACTTTTACTATAAAAGAAAAGTTACTAGTGTTAGTATATAGTAGGTATACTTTAGGGGAGGTAGTTATATAATATTTATATAACATACTGCCTCCCTTAGTAGTATCTACCTTACTACTAGTATACTACCTAAAAGTCTAGATTTACTTTATAACTAACTAATATAATAAGTAACTATATTCTATATTATAATTTGTTACGTGATCTACAGGATATCCCTCTTACGTGATTTAACTAACAGTGTCTGTATTTAGGTGCCTTGAGATCTCCTTTGTCCTAAGAACTCAAAATGCACAATATTGGGCAATAAGTTGATGGAGCAAACCACGCCGCAGCCCTCCCTAGTTGGTTCATGTGATGTTGGGCCTCTGGGGTTTACGGGGGCGAGTAGGGATGCGACCATTGACGGCGGAAAGGATTGCAGTTTCTGGAACCGCGGGGCCTTCTTGGAGCTTGGCAATGAGAAGATCAAATCAATACCTTGAAGTAGTTGAATCAGTTTTCACTGCCGCCAAGGGAGTGGGAATTCAGCAGTCACTTTACTAGTCTCAACCTCGCCGGACACTCCGCCATCTTGCTGTTAGTGCGGCCGAAATACGCCTCATGCATTTGCTTTCGGCACATGACAAATGTCTGCAGTGCTTGCTCCCTGTACGTTTTTCCCGCTCCACAACTCACCGCATCCGGTTTGTTTGGGACGCACAGAGCGATGTTTGTCATGGCGTTTGCAGGATTCGCAAAACAGTCAAGATAGCCGCTAAATACGGTCTGATTTAAGCAAGACAATAGTGGTGAAGAATCACATTCACAACTGCAAGGAAGAATTCGTATGATAAAAATAAGAGATATCTTGTAATTGTCATATTATCGTGCAGGTCTTATTCACAGCAAGCGCCAAAAGGCTCTGCCAACATTACCGTCAATTATGTATTATTCATCCAAACGTGCAGCCAACATGCTACATAAAACTAAAAATCTACCAGCTGGTAGGTCCGAGGAAAGATCCATCGTCGGGAAGGACCTTGGAGACGGCAGCGCCGTTAGCATCCAAGTTGTTGAAGGGCACACTGTTACCCCACCAGTCGGGGAAGTCGGTGTTGGACAGACCCAACGCGAGGCCTGAGACGACAACGCAGAGGGCAGTACCAATGTCGAGAGCACCGGAAAGGACGTAGTTGTAGCGAGCTGGTACCTTGTCAGTAACACGAACATTTCTTTCAAGAAGGAATATAGACTTACTCCACCAGCCCAAGAAGCGGCCACGGATCCACCAGTTGAAGATGAGACCGACAATAACCCACTGTCCCAACCACCAGATGGTCGCAGGAGGGATCATACCGGCAGCACCAAAGATGGCAGGGAAGAAGACGTAACGGAGCATGCTGCGAGGGTAGCGGCGGGCGAGGAAGAACTGAATGACGGGCAAGGCAGCACCAATGAGCCAGAAGTAGTTGACCCAAGAGTAGATTGCGCCGGCGCCGAACATCCTGCGGGGGCCAATGACACCCCAGATGACACTGGCGTTGTAGAAAGTACGGGCATTGGGGCAAGTAAGACCCTGGGCCTGGGTGGGAGTGCAAACGCCCTCAATGTTGCCACGGAGGAAGTTGTAGGTGGCGATTTGTACCAAGGACAGCCAGATGACAGCAAAGGTCTGGGCGGCGTACATGGTGCGGGGAGGAATCTTCATGTAGTGGCCAACCTTCATGTCAGACACGTACTGCAGGCCGTTGTAGCAGAGCATGTAGCCCCAAGACTTGAACAGCATCATGGCGACGGGGCGGCCAGGGGTCATGTAACCAACAATCATCTCGGTGACAACGTTCAGACCAGTTTGCTGGTTGGTGACGGCCTGGATGATACCAACAGGCAGGACGAAGAAGGCGCCGATGAAGATGCAGATGATGAACGCCCACCAGGTCAGATGGGTTTCCCAGACTTGGCAAGCAATCATGCCGAAGGCGAAGCTGATGACAAACATGATCGAGAACCACCACTCAGGGGCCTCCTTGTACTTGCGCATAAGCTTCAGGTGGATGTCGGCTTCCTCGGCGGTAGCCGAGCGAGTGCGGTCAATGATATCCCGTCCGTAAAAGAGACCAACATGGACCAGTGTGCTGATCAGACCAGCAAAGCCCATACCGTAGCTCAACGAGAAGGCGGGGCCCAGGATGAGAGGGGAGTACTCCTGGTAGGCAGTCTCATTGAAGGTGAATTCGGGAGTCAGGATACGGCTGACGTTGTACTTTTGAGCGAAGTGGTCAAAGTTCTGGTTCGCACTGATGGGCAGGTAACGGTAGAACTCGGGTCCGCCCCAGCTAAGACCAACACAGCCGATCAACATGATGAGGATTCCGGCACCGACATTGGCGATGGCGAACGCAGGAGTCTGAAGGGGGGAAAGCAGGTAACCGGAAATGGTGCTCCAGTCAAAGGAGATAGGAAGGAGACCGAGTCCAGTTTGGCCACCAAAGACCTGGTTGACGACGACGTTGTTGGGGGCGATCCAGCAGACAAAGGTGAAGATCTGGAGGAACTGGGCAAAAACCTCGGGGATCCACTCGTAGACGAAGGTAGCGCCAGCCACAATGAGGAAAAACTTGTAGCGGCCGATCCTCCAGCCGTTGGTAAGGGCTGGGTCCGAAGACGAGTGGTCGTGAAGTGAGTGCATGACAGTGGTGGTGATCAGGGTCGCAGGCCAGACCATGGCGGCGGGCCAGACGAGGTAACGGCGGAGCATACCCGCCATGCCGAGACCCATGGCCTGGGTCGAAACGATGAGCAGGATCTGGAAACCCCAGCCGAAGTACTGGTTGTAGAAGAGCTCCTGGGCGAGGAGGATGTCGATGGCGTAACTGGCGGCGGAACCGGCAGCGGTCATCATGGTGATGAGGGTGTGCTCCTTGACGTTGAAAGGCCCAGGGTTGGTGCTCATCTCATGTCCGAACAAGTTGAACTTGATATCGGGGATGGACTTGGCCCAGGCGCAACCCACAGGGTAGGAGATCAATTGGACGACGGTGGAAGTAATCATGATGGGCGAGCGGCGAAGACCGAGGAGGATGTTGCAGGCGGCGACGATTGTGCACATGAGGGCACCGAGTGTCCAGGCACGGATAGTGTTGACGGGCATATCTTCGTCATCAAACGGTTGCACCTGAGTATCATGTTAGGCATTGCCACACGACCGATATCCCAGGTTGCGAAGGGCACAACATACCGAAGCCCTGACCTCAGGGTAGGGGGAGTCCTCGTGGAGAGCGGCCTCGACGGCAGCCTCCTTCTCGTAGTCGCCAGAGGCGAGGGCACTGTCTGCGGTGTCGAGCGTATCGATGTCCAAGAAAGGATCCCACTTGTGGAGCTTCTTGAACTTCTTGAGCTCAGCCTCGGGGTTGACGGACTCGGTGCTGCCCTGGGCGTCGGTGCCGGTCGCGACGGCGTCGACCACGATGGGCCGCTCCGACACCTTGCCTCTCCACTTGCTGAAGGCCATTGCGTCCTTTTTTTTGCCGAGGTGGGTTCGGGTTGGTTGCTTTCTCCTCGAGTTCTCGGATGAAAGAGACTCAAAGAAGATGTTGGCCAGGACAACTGAAGAACTGAGAGCTGAGAACCACAAACGAGGAGAGCATCTTGGGGTATTTAGATGCGCAGCGCGCTGCCCATGAGTCTTGCCACGGTCGGGAGGCCATTTCGGCAACCAGTGGGGTCGAGATACTGACCTGCCCGATGCAGTCGTTCACGCGGCACAAAGCAGGCCTAATCCTGGCAGAGACCTCGGGCGATAAGAGATGAGCGGCCACTGTCCATACCTATGTCGATAGCAAGACGATGTACAACCAGTACAACCTGGAAGCTTGTTTGCTCGGATATGTTGTGTGGTTCTCTGTTGGCTCGAAAGAGCGCATTAGTGTAACCTAACGGCATCCCTCCCTGATTAGTTAATGGGTATGCACCCATGGCACGTTGCAAGCAACCGGGGTTCTCCTCGCCACCATCTATCTTGGAAAGGTGGGACGGATTGGCTCTGGCTGTCCACAAAAGAGGGGGTGATCGGATCTTTTGATAGGATATCTAGGTACCCATGGCGAGCGAGCTCGAAAGATGGATTCCGAGTTCCGGGGGGTAGGCAGTGTCTGCTCCACCGGCTGATAGGACGCTGACTAGAGCATATGACTGAACCATCAAAAGTGCCTGGAGACTCGGGTATGCCGTATCGACAAGGAGGGACCCGCCCACTCGTTGAAGAGGCGACGGCCACGGCAACTGACCCATCTCGCCATCCAGCCGCCGTTATCATCACGAGCTGTCCAGCCTCGGCTGAGGGAAGAAGTCGAGAGGTTGAAGAGGCGGTGTTCCGCTAGAAGTAGCCGCCTCCTGAATCGATCGCCAAGAGCTCTCGGCGCCAAGGACAAGAACGGCAAGCCGCACGGCACCATACAGTAGGCAACGGGATGGCGGCGGCCAAGGAACAGACAAGCAACGCCCAAGACGGGTGGCCAAGGTCGGGGAAACGTGGGTGCCGCCAATTGTCCCCAGGGGGAACTGATCGCTAACACCAGAAGCGAAGCTCTTGACCAGGAAGCTTAACTACCTAGCAGCCCACGCCGCCACACTCTTGACAATGGGTCATGCAGCGGCATCCTGACTGTGGGTTCTAATGATTGCAAAGGGACCTTGCGGGTCCGAGAATAGCCCCTGTCTAGCCTGGATGGCCGAGGCCTTTCGTAGTTAATCGTCCGAGATTAATCCCTGCCGAGGGCACGCGAGGCACGCGAGCCAGTTGGGAGAACAGAGCCGGCCATTCGGATTCGTCCAAGGAAGCTTTCAGCCGTTGACTGTTCAGGAAGGCAACCCGGCAAAGGCGGCAAACGGCGCCATCCGGCATCATGTCCACCGTCGAGAAGCCAATCAGAATCAAGTTGGTGACAGGAAGAGCACGGCCGGTTCAAAAAGTTCCTGCAATCCACCTCCAGCAGGTAGCTCGCCTCTTCCGCTAGAGACAAATGTCCCTATGCCCTCCGTCATTGCGTGCACTTTAGAGTATAGGCTGGATACCTGTTGGGTTGGTTCGTCCAACACCGACTCGACTCTGGCTTTCCTATTGGGTGCATGCGCCCCCGTCTCCTGTCAAAAGGTCCCTGGGCTATCTACGATGATGGCTCGATTTTTGTTTTTGGTATACCGAGGTGCTTGACGCGACGTGGAATCATACACTCACTCTATCCGCGCCTGGCGCAAGCGTTCAATGACTCAGTAACCTCGGCATCTATCCGGGGGGCACTTACGAATAGGGTCTCACCGTCCTAAAGTCCCATTCCGGTGGCCGAAGCAAGACGATAAGTTGAGCGACGATCTCCTTGCCCCCGAGGTCTTCGTATACCTATGCTAGGTATTCCATGTTGGAAATAAGGTTATCGGCAACTGTTCAGAATTACGGATTCTTGTACGTAAATTTCCTGTCATTTCTCCAGGTCCCCGCTACTTAGCCGGAACAGCTTAGTCCCAACGCGCAACAACAGATAGTGAAAATGGACGTACGACGACGAACTTCCTCGTCTGGCGATGCATAATTCCTGCGCAAATTGAAGTCGCATTGGATGAGACAGCATTGGGCTCCCTGGCTCTGCTATTCGATCCCATCATTTGATCCAATAAGGAAGCATGCACAGAATGCGGAAACTGTTCAGAAAGCCCCCCCCATCCTTCATATGTGGCTGTCCCCAGACATTGCCTCGCCCGCCAGATGTACCATGCACCTCGGTCCAGCCGTCGTGTGGTGTTCCGTCGATATTCAGGGAAGATAGTGACATCCCAAGGGGAGATGCGGGTTAGCCTTGTGGAACTACTGCAGCCTTCCGGTGAAGGTCGTGGACGTCGCCTGACATCGTAAGCGGAGCAATCTCCCAATTTGGCTTCCAGAAGGGAAGTGGGAACTGACTCTGAGATAGGCGACCTCGGCGTGGTAGCTTCTTCGACCCATACTCAGTAGCTCTTCCGCTATCTCGGGAATCCGGGCTGGGCATGCGCCCTGTCGGGTTCAATGCACCATGCAAGCAAGACCTTGTCTTGGTGTGTTCGTCGTAGTGACACTCCATATGGCTAAGCCTCCATCCAATGACCTCCGGTGGGGAGCTTCGCCGGCGCAAGCTAAGATAAGAAAATCAGCGCAATACCTAGCATGAAGCAGTTCGGACGAAATATTAACACCCTACGTTCCCATCTGTCACATCCTTCCGCTGCCGCCACCCGGTTAAGGCGAGCCGGCGGCCTCGATCTGTTGGTTATGTAACTGCAGATCTTGGTCAAGCCTTCGCCACACTTGCCTCGTTTACGCCTAGTTTGCCTTCTCTTTCTTGGTAAATATGCAACGTAGTATCTCTTGGCAAGGCCCGGTGTTGTTTGGCAACAAACAGATCATTCCGTCTGTGCCGGGCATTGTGTATGTATAGATACCGGTGTTTCGTCTCCCTAATCACCTTCCAGTACGATCAAGACGATCTGGTCACAATGACATGTTGTGTCTTGTTCATGCTTCATAACTAGGGAGAACGCTCTGTGGCAAAGGACTTGGTCAAGCCACGGAACTATATCGACACCTTGAGTTCAAGGCACTATCATGAGGACTGTATGATATCATACACATCTCTATTATCGTTCAATATTGGGCTCCACAGAGCATTCGTCGACGCGATAGTCCACTATCTGCATCTACTTCATTTGTGGAGTAATCAGGGAGCACACGGATCAATTCTTCCACTAGAGCCAATGGCCTTCAACGAAAAGGTCGAAAAGAGTTTTGCTTTTGACGCGAGAAATGCATGCACATTTGAAAGACAAATCTGGAATATATCTTTGTCCATTTGAGTAACTGTGAGTGTTTACTGTATTGAGGGACAGAGACGTGGCATCGCCAGTAGTGCTGCGTATTGGGTTATAAGTATCATGACTATTTATGTTATACTAGGTGAAATGAACTAGACCGTACATGGGGATTTAGAACGTTACCCAACCAACAGCCTTAGATAGGGATATACCAAACACGCGGCCAATAAATGTGTTGTGAAGCTGAAATTCTCACATTTTGTGGAATGTCTTGATGAATACAATACCGGTGGCGTCGGAAAGCACTCCACTTTTGGGCCCTTTAGAAAAAGCAGATTGACATCACAGACTATCCTTAATGAAGGGCCATAGAATAATCGTTGTATTGGTCTAACTGTGGCGTGAAGAAGAAGTGAGGCTATTGTGGGTTGCCGGCTGCTGCGAAGACCGGATAGGTGAAATGAAAAGAGTCACGTCATACGGAGGCGACATCACCTGTAGCTCTGATTCAGATTAGTCATACGCTTCAGTGGCCGACTGGGAAATTCAAACAATGAGCGGGGGATTTAGTTATGATTGTTTGGTTCTGTAGGCAATGATCTAACCCTCGTTGTCCTGCATTGGATAGACAATGGAAACCCTTCCCCAGGATCTCATTGACGAAATCGTCGCCTATTTATTACCGAGTCAATCTGAATCGAACACACCCTATGGAGTACGAGAGCGACCGTCCTTACCCTTGGCCCCACTCGCCACGGTTTCACGTCGCCTCCAAATTGCAGTAGAGCGACTGACATTCAAGTCTATCAAAATTTCCAGCAATGAGTTTGCCAAGTTCAATGGGATACTCACACCGTTGAGGCGATACTATATTGATAGCTTGATCGTTACCATCCTTCTTCCGCCTTATGATGCAGCAGCTGCGCGGCGCGCAGAATAGCCAGGGGAAAGAGTGGCCAACAATGAGAGCTATACTCAAGGCATAGGAGCACTGTTCAAAATCCTTCACAAATGGGAGGTGGAAGATCCTGCTACAATCGCATATCGCCTGTCAATATTCATAAATCATCCCGAATCACCCTCCGACAACCCGTGGCCGTCCAAGTACGCGCCTTGGGCTGAGCAGGACCTCAAGCAAGATAGCATATATGAGGGAAGATACTTGCATTCGTACATTGAACTCCTAGACTCGGAAACACTACCAAGTCTTCAAAGAGTCAAGAAGTTGGTGATGCTACGGCCGGAGGAAAGGTATGGGCATCGAAATACCTCTCCACGGGTTCCAATCGTGATCGCCTCCAAGATGCCGAGCCTCAAGTCAGTCAAGCTCAGTATGGATGATGATGAGAAGCGGTTTCCGGACATCCGCATGCGCCATCGGGATGAAGCCGCGCAAGCCATCAGGGCGCTGTCATTGCCAGCATTGACCAGTGTCGACTTGGACTTCTTTCTTCGAAGACAAAGGAATGAAAGAGCTCAGCCACCTGTCCTGCACAATACAGGAGTACCAGATCCGCTAAGCTCTTCAATTTTCGAGTTGTCGCTGAATCTCGTGGATCTCACGGTTGAGGGTGTCTTCGACGGGTCACTTCTTCGTCCCATTGAGCGCCTGAGCACAACCTCTTGGCCGAACATGAAGTTCCTCGAAATCAACCTGTGCATCACAACCCCATCAGGGGGTTGGTACTTCACCAAGCACGATGAGGTACCCTTTCAACCATTGTATATGCCCCAGTCACAAATCAAAACCACCCACTCTGACCTCCACTTGGAAAAGTTTAACTTCCTCAAGGAGGCAGGCTACGCATACTTGGACCCTGTTCACGTCTTCAGAAGCAAAGCCGACGATGCCGAACTGACGCCGTTCATCGAGGCCTACGCGGAAGCGCTCTCAATGATGCCCAAGCTCAAATCGGCTGCGCTTACCGTCCAGCTCGAAGACCACATCGAAGGTGAGCCCGGCTGGTTCTGCATAGCGTACTTCTCACCCTGCAAGAGCGCCCACGATCATCCCCCAAGGTTAATTTGTCCGAGGTGCAACCGTGGCGTAACGCGACAGCTGGTGACATCGTTGCTGGGCTGGGAGCCGAACGAGAAGCTGGCGGACAAGCTGCGAAGAACTGGGGCCAAATTTTGTACGGAGCCAATGGTGGAAAAGACCATGGACGAGTTCAGGAGTTACCATGGTGTAGAGGATGACCCGAACTGAGCAATTTAATCTGGCGACAATCTTGGATTGCCTACGAATGCAGTTCGATTGCTCTCGCTTTTACCTGTGAATTCACCTTCACGTTACTTGTTAGCTTTAGAACTAACAACCTGGCCATTCATGCTTAAAAGTAGTTCATTTAACTATTTTGCCTGGTGAAGCCCTGGTCTTCTAAGTTTTTTGGCACATGGTGGTATGTGTTGGATTTTCTTGATTCTCTACATAATTCTGTTTGTCATAGCATACTATTATGCATGGCAATCCACAATGGCATTAATTCCAAAGTCATAGAAAGGTGCTGGTTATCGTCTCAATTTCCGTGGTGCGGGCCCTTAAAGCTGTCAAGGCGCAATGAAACGATGTCGAACAGGGTCAATATTACCGAAACCAGACCACTTCAGTTGCATTGGATAATCATGCTTGCTAGATATTCCAATGGATCCAAGAGCAGCCATGGGATTGTTAGCAAGGATATGACCAGTTGATTTGATCCCGCACGCGCCAATAATTAATCTTTCCAGGTAGCCACATTGCTAATAGTCTGTATTCTCATAGTTGTGAAATAACCCGCAGGGTGCGTCAAGCTTGAAGGAGATATATGTGGCCTTACCAGTCTGAAAGCCATCCCCTTCTTTAGCTCTGTCTCTGGATTATAGAGTCAGGCAATGAGAAAGCAAAACAATCTCATTGGGCAGACAGGTCTTCCATATTCCTCTAGTAACTTCATGAGTAACCAGAAACTTCCATCCCTTTGCTCAATGTTGAGGAAGATGTCAGCACAAGGCCGACTGTTTGGGGCTTGAAAACTATATTTGCAAATGCAAACTTCTGCATGTCGCAGTTGATGACTCAGTAATGAGACTTCGGTGGTGAAAGGGTGTTTCAGCAAACGGCAAGAGGACATAACATATCGGTCTGGACACATCCCGCCTAACATATAAGAGATTAAGACTTTGAATTAGCAACGGAGCGCGAGCCTCTTCCGGGGGGTATGAGGACCGGATGGTCTAGATGAGAAGACGACGTTGACAAGACGGTTTAAACGGCAAAGATACAAGTACTCAGCGTCTCTTGCAGAATCCGAGATTTGGATCGTATCGCGGCTGGACATCACGAGATTCGGCAGCGGGCAAAGCCTTTGGGATTCGGAGTTGGTATTGACACACTGAAACTTGATATGAAAGGCGTTTGATGTGCTATCATTATTATTATATCCGACTGGATCAGCATGTTCAATGTTCGAACCTTTTATCACATTTCTCAACTTTTGCTTGCTATGAATGATTTTTACAAGGGGACTTATACATCTGTTCGGGGTGTGATGATCGATATCTGACTGACCATGAAACGAAACACAGTCTTTGAACTCAGGCATTTGAATCCGCCTGATGAGAGTAGCGAATTTGAATACCAGCAAATTACGTGAGAAAGGAGGGTAATCAACCGCTGCAATGAGACTAGAATGGACATCAGGTTTGAGGTAATGATGTCATGTGTCAAGCTGACTACTTACGTAATATTCCAGCCGGCGTTCTTATTATCGAATGAAACCACAAGCCCACTGACCACAAGGTTACAATCAACGCCAAGAACTGCGTTAACTCTCTTGGTTCACACGACTTGCTGTGATCAACACCAGCTCTTGTGTTGGTATCATCAAAGAGGCGATTGTTAGGGGATCTGGATTGCTGACTTTGACGGATTTCAGCAAAGTTCTGCTTCCCGTGCAACGTACTGTGAACGTTAACCCCCGTAGGTTCGCGCATGAATGGGTCATAACTGATGGCGACAACCGCGTCCTCATTGGCCTACCATGAGCCTGCCATCGCCACAATCATCGCTCTCTCTTGCTTCCTGCTACTGCTGAACAGCGTCAACTATGGCCTCGACAAGCTCGTTTACTGCGGCCTGGTCGGCCAGGTCTTCCTTGGCATCGCCTGGGGGACGCCTGGTGCCAAATGGTTGTCCGCAGAAATGGAGCACTCGGTCGTGCAGCTCGGCTATCTAGGCCTGATCTTGATCGTCTTTGAAGGTTGATGACAACCGCACTCCGCCATTCCTCATTGGTTTCCGGCTGACAGTATCCAGGCGGTCTCTCCACCTCGATCAAATCTTTTAAGGCGAATCTTCTCCTCTCCGCCGCCGTTGCCATCACAGGCATCGCCGTGCCCATCGGCCTTTCATTTATACTCGGCTCCATGGCCGGCGCGACCCCGCTGCAGGCCTTTGCCGCTGGCGCTGCGCTGTGTTCAACTAGCCTGGGCACAACCTTTACGGTGCTCCGAACCAGCGGCCTGACGACGACGCGCATGGGCGTTGTCTTGACTAGCGCTGCGATGATGGATGACGTCGTCGGTCTGATCATGGTTCAGGTAGTCTCGAACCTCGGCGGCGGCGGCGGCGAGTTCGGCGCCTTCGCCGTGGTCCGACCGGTTCTGGCCTCGCTGGGTTTGGCAACGCTGGTGCCGGCGGCGTGCGCGTTTGTGGTGGCACCGGCCACGTATCGACTGAATGCGATACGCGAGAAGAGTCCCAGCTCGAAACTGAACAAGCTCTTGCGGCTACGTCAGACTGCGCTTGTCATCCATACGTGTTGGCTCTTTGGGCTGGTAGTTGCAGGCACATTTGCTGGTACCTCGAGCTTGCTTGCCGCGTATATTGCTGGTGCAACCGTCAGTTGGTGGGACAGTGAAGTGCCTCATTTTGCAGTTCGCGCGGATAACGAGAATAAAGCTCCCACAGCGGAGGCTTCCTCGAAGACGACCGATGCGGAAGCGGTCAAGGATGATCCATCCGCGGAGGCAAGTGCTACAATTTCATCAACGGCTAATGCAGCCCCTGGTGTCAGGGAGCCGGACGTATACAACTCGGGAATGGAGATTTACGAGCACTATTATGGCAAAGCTGTTGAAAAGGTTCTCAAACCGTTCTTCTTCGTAAGTTACTTCGATTCTCGTTTATACATCGACATATGCTGAAAATGAAAGGCATCCATCGGCTTTTCCGTGCCCATCACAAGAATGTTTTCCGGCCATATCCTATGGCGTGGCGCTGTGTACGCCATCCTGATGACGATGGGTAAAATGATCTGCGGCTTGTGGCTGCTCTCTTTTGCGAGCCCCCTCCGAATGGTGCAGCGAGTTGCCAAGAATATATCCGGCGCAGGTAGAAAGGAGTCCAAGAAGCTTGCCCCTGGATCGCCGTGCAGAAGAGCTAGGATGGAAGCTCCTTTAAACAACGAGATACGGCGACAGCGAGACCAAGACCCGCTCGAGCAGGATGGCCAGGCCGGTGAAGTGGCCCCACAGCCTCCCAACGCCCGACAAGGCGAGATTGCTCCGAGTAACGCAATTACGGAGCCGGAAATGCCTGTATCGGTATATCCGGCCTGCATCCTCGGCTTTGCGATGATCGCACGCGGCGAGATTGGCTATCTGATCTCGGCATTGGCTGAGAGCACCGGCGTCTTCAGTGGCGGGTCGGGCGCTCAGGACCAGCCCTCCGAAGTGTTCTTGATTGTGACCTGGGCCGTCACCCTTTGCACCATTGTCGGCCCAGTCTGCGTTGGATTGCTGGTTAACCGAGTGAAACGGCTCGAGAAAGGGAGCGGAGAGGGGACCAAAGGAGGTGGACGGAATGTGCTAGGTGCATGGGGTGTAAATTAGACGCAACAAAGATTCGTGCCTTGGCTAAGAATCAACACGTTTGGGAGGCAAAGAGGCAATACCTGGAACCACTATCAAGACTCTTTTTTTGGCCCGCTTCAGACTCATACATGTAAGGATACGATTCGGTGTCTTTCCTCTGTGGCAAGTGTGACACTCCTGTGTCATGCATTCTTGACGACCGCCCCTTGTCGTTGCGATTGCTCCCACCACTGAACCAGGCCGTCGACGTCGCACCAATCGAATTGCCGTGGATTCTCAAACCACCAGCGGGCGCCCGGCTTGGGCTTGTCGCTGACGTACTTCTTCAGACAGCCGCCGTCGAAGCGGTGGTTCTTGACGCCGACAAGAAGCACGGCATTGCCAATCTTAGGATTGAACTCTTCCGCGTCGAGAAAGACAGTGAGGATGACGTGTTTGGTAGTGCTTGGATCGGCCAGTCTCGCCGTCCTCTGGGTGTGTGGGTGCATGTGAGAAGGCTCGACATCGGAAAGCGACGTCACGATGGCGAGGACGTTGACGGACCAGTTCTGTTTGTAAGGCAAGTTCGGGATGGATCGCAGGGGCGTCAGCTTCAAGGGGATGGTTGGGTCCGTCCAGTCGCGTGGCAGAGCGACGGTTACCGTCACGTTCCTTGCCTGGGCTCTTCGCTGTGTCGCCTTGGCTGCCGACACTTGCATAACCTCAAAACCCTCTCCTGCGTCGTCTTCCTCATCCTGATGTTCCTTGGCAGCTTCCACGCCGTCGATGTCGAGGTCGCTGTCTGAGACGAAAGCATCCTCTGCCGTGTGTTGGTGAGGTGGCTGGGGCATCGGGCCGGGAACTGTAAGAGACCTATGCCACCCAACAGTGACCAGATCATGAACAACCAAATAGACCAGCTGCCGCGTCCCACCAGAACGATGGGCGTCATCCGTGCTATTGTGGAAACGAAGGCTAAAGTCGCCCAAGCGCACGTAGCAGCCAACCCTGACGGCGCCCGAATCGAGGAAACGGTGCATCTCCCCGCGGAGCAAGGCCTGTATGCAGAGCTCACCGTCGCCGAGCATCAGCCTCAAGGCGCGCCATCGTCTCGAGCGCGGAACGGGGAGCGACTTAATGTCCTCGACGAGGAAGACGGATCCCGGGATGCAGTAGCGCGTGCGCAGGAGATCGTCAATCAAGGGCTTGGGGACGAAAGGTTCGGCGTCATCGGCGAATGCTATCTCTGCCGGGGTCGTCGATGTGTCGGGCGCGTTAGGGGACATGTGGACGCGCTCATCGTCTCGGGCGATGCGCGATCGCGTTGAAAAGTGGTGTTGTTGCGAGGTTTGCACACAAGTGGAAGGGGGAGGAGGCAGGGGGGAGAAGGTGACTGACAGGGCCTTAAATTGGCGGACATGCCCATTGAAGACTCGCTAATGCAGGTCATTCCACAGCAGCTCTGTGCGACCGCTAGCGGTACCCCACCCGGGCTGCAACGAACCATCTTAGCGTGAACGTCACTTTGGAAAAGTAAAGTTCATGGGAAAGTGAAATTCATCATTCTGGAAATGGACATTCACCGAGTTTCACTAAACTTGTTTTTGGAATGTCGACTGAAGGTCAAACCGTTGAAGCCTCCCCAGACTGATGGGTGAACGGCATCCTTTTCTGTCCAAACATTAGTCGCAACTATTCACAACTGTCAAAGGGACCTGGACCTCGGGGCTATTATTTTTCTTCCTCTTCTTTTTCCCTTTTCCTCTTTCTCTTACTTTTGAAAGAATAATGGTACAAAACAAAACTGGGAACCTGTTCCAGAAGTCGGTTTCATGTAGCTCAGTTCCTCGCCTCTGTTCATCCGGCTTCGAAGTCTTATAATCCCCGAAAACCTGGAACGGCATTGACCAGAGCCCGGATGGACTATTCTTTCAACGGACTCATCGCTGACGGCTGCCCCATCAAGGACAAGTTCAAACTTGATCTCTAGTTGCTGTCCCGACGTTGGCGATCCCGCTGCATCAGCGCTTGGATCCGGATTGTCTTGATGCGAAAGTGGCTGTATAGAAAGATGACCATAAGGCTCTCAGAAGCGATGCATGATTATACCGCTTTTATGAATTCAATCCCTATTCCCCCATCTCATATATACCTGTATGTCTTACCATTAGATAGGCATGAGTTTACACTACTTGCTGCTGTATGATTGTGCCCACTGCTCAATCGAACTTCAGATGATTCTAAGAAGAAAATCTCTCTCGGAGGCTTGTTGGAATGATATCATAACGTGGCGGTGTCTAATCTAGGTCATTACAAAAGAAGGTTGGTTTGGCTTGTGGCTGTTCCACTCTTCCCCTAGAAGGACCCCATACCTCAAATACTCCCTTTACCCAATCGTTGTCAGATTATTCGACTGTGTTTAATGGGGCGATAAATCAGTTACAAAGGTCAACCGATAAATTCAACGGTAAACAAGCTCCCAGTAGAAAAAGCCGCGCAGCAGGGGCACAAGATTACGATTGATCCGATTTGATGAGCAATGTGATGATGATTGAGCAAAAAACTAACTATCGTATCTGGCGGCAGCCGAAAATCATCTAAGGTAGGTGTCTGCGTTGGATCGGAATTACCCGATTTGGTGATCTCGTCCACCATTCCTTCCACACCAGTTTCCCTCAGATGATCGACGACTTGAGTATCATTCCTAGTGACGAGTAAGACAGGAACGCCGAAGAGGTCAGACAAAGAGATGCCGCTTTCGCCCATCTCAGCGCCACCTACTCCTTAGGAGTCTGTAGTCAAGGCGACCATTGTGGGGGGTAATACCTGACCTGACCTGATCACTGCCTCTGACCGAGTCTGTAGTAGTCAAGGCGACCATTGTGGGGAATACCTGACCTGACCTGACCATTAGTGGGGCAAAAGTACCGTGCACGCACTAAGCCGAAGTAGGGTTAGTGGATAGGGTCGGTTAGGGTTCGGTTAGGGTCGGGGTTAGGATTTAGGTCAGGGATTGGTTCGGGTTATGGAATATCATGTTATTCCGGGCGGGTCCAATGATGTGGTCATGTCAGAGGCAATGGTCAGGTCAGGTCAGGTATCCCCCACAATGGTCGCCTTACATGTAGTCTCCACTTCTTAGGGTCAACCAATCAACCGCTCATCCACAGGCACCACGCGTTTAGCCTATGGAATAGGTCGGTAGGATCACACCGCATCCGGCCTCAAAGTACGGATGAGTTTGGTTGGAGCGGCCATAGGGATCCGATACACACGGCCATTCCTGAAACCTGCCACTACCGTCTACACTGACTTATTTCACCTTCAGCTACTGCACGAGCTAACGGCAACGGGTATCGCGACCACCACGAGGGGTATAGTGTGCTGGCAGAAACAGGGCTGGTTGATTGGTTGATAGGTTAGGAGAGTGAATTGTAACAGAGTCTAGGCGGGTAATGGAGGTGGCTTGATTGATCGCCCTCTATACTGGGCATAGCGCTAGGCCACTTTGCCTGTTGCCGTTAGCTCGTGCAGTAGCTCAAGGTGAAATAACTTAGTGTATACGGTAATCGCTTGAAACTTTATTCTTTTGTTCCTGTATCTCGGCCTTTGTTGTCACCCTCCCCTTTCCCCTACCTTTTCCCTCATTTTGGTCTTGTTCTTCTCCTTCTTTTTTTCTTTCTTCTTTTCTTCCGCATTGCTGTCTCTATGTTTCGGTATGTGAGTTCCGTCCTGTCAACGTGCCCTTAACACGGAAGACTCGAAGGAGACTGGACGGGCAACGACATCTTTTTTCGCTAACAACATACGAACCCGTGCACCATCCAATGGGCAACGATTATGGAGCCTCTTCCGAAGGATACTAGGCTTACTATTATTGCTGGAGTCACCTCGGCATCCATAGGGGTCATCGGAATATTCATGGGAGTCAGAGTATACATCAGAGGGTATCTTATGCGCGCATGGAAATTGGACGACACGATGTTCATTTGCTCGGCTGTCAGTTCGAAAAGTCTCCATCCGACTATGTTTTGTTAGCTAAACCCAACTAAAGTTTCTTGCTGTTGTTCAGATTACATTGATCAAGTGCGGTAAGTGCTACTGCTAGCGAGTGTAATATACGTAGCCCAATATGGAGGCTCACAGCATTCCCCTGCCCTAGGCGCGATATATGGCGCACTCGGCCGACACATATGGACTGTAACGCCCACGATGATAAAGAAAGATGCCACTGTATGATACTCCTCGAAGTTGTTATTGTTGCAAATCTGCTGACATGGAGCATAGTTCCTCGTCGCGGCGACCTTAACGTACCAAGTTGCATTCCCCCTCATTAAAGCAACATACCTCGCGCAACATCGCCGAGCATTTGCTCTCCCAAACATAAAGCTGCTATGTGATGTGTTTTTGGGAGTATTGTTCGTCATATCAATCACGTTGCTCATTCTCGGCGGGGTTGCCACGAGGGGGTTTACCGACCCTGATCCGAACAAGCTCCCAGATATCAGATCGACAGGATTCGTTGTTTTCAACTACTTGTCCGGTGCCTCAAATCTTGTTACGGGAATTATAGTTTTCATACTGCCTATCATTCTTGTAGGACGAATGCGCCTCGCAGCAATGCAGAAAGCCGGGCTCATTGCCAGCTTCGGAGTTGGCATCTTGTAAGCTGCCGCCTCTACATCCCCTCGATCACTGCTATGGAGATTGATGGAAAGGTCTGACATTTGAACCTAGTACGTGCGCCATGTCAATCATGAGAATTATTAGCATGAAATTGGATTTAGGCAGTGGTGACCCATTTTACGCGATCGTCCCGATCACGCTCTTGGGCGCCGCCGAATTGACCAGCGCCGTCGTCTGCGCGTGTCTTCCGCTCATGCGCCCACTGTTGGCATGTGCCGGCACAACGGGATACAGAGGAAAGGACTCTCGGGTGCCCTTATCTGCTGAATCTGCGGAATCCGCCAACCGAATGCGTTGGAGGCATGGCCTACTGCCACTGCACTCGTCTGCAACCCCAACATCTTCTGCAACTCCTCAGATGGCTAGAGTCATTGGTGATGGAGGTAGCATCAACAGGGATATCGAAGGTTGTCATGAGAGCAACAAGACAGAGAGAGCATCGGCGGCATAGGTCCGTTGGCTACGGATTCATCTTTGCCCACAAAGACACGAACTGACCACGAAAGTTTATGATTAATAATTAATATTATGATTCAGAGTACATAAATCTGTATCATTATTCTCTCATGAAGCCCATAAAATCCGCAATTTGTTTATAATAATTTGGCGATGGTGGCGATGGCATTATCTGGCGATCAAAAAGCTGCAGCAGTAACGCATAATAGCATCTGTGCTTTATTAAAATTAGAACATTCTCAGAGGGATATGAGAGCCTTGTTTACTGAAGCTGTAGTGGGCATCCTAGCATCAACACATCTCGTTACCCACGATGGCCCTACATGAGTAGCAAAGTCCGCAATCCCAATGGTTCTAGGGCAACTGCTCTACTCTCTGTCTGGCTCTTCAAGCCTCAATGACGAAATGTTGTTGCAACGCTTCGGTAAACCATTTGTCCGCATCATCAGAGTGACAATATAAGCTCCTGTCGCCCCCTTGACAGCTTGAACCAAGATTCGAAACCGGCAGGGCGTCAATTGAATATGCCAAGTACACAGCCAAGAGGCTAGGTCAGCCACTAAGGTCAGACATGTTTGTGATCGAATATATCCCTACGTAAGGCGGATCTGCTTCGCTCGATCGACATTGTAGGTCTCAGTGTTGCCTGCTTCTTAACCCTAGCAGACATCTAGAAGCATTCATATGCTGCCAAAAATACGTGCTTAGCGGACTGGAGAACAACACCTAGGAAATCGGAGTTTCAGTTTCATCGGTAGGGATCTTCCCATGCCTCTCGCGGCTCGCATGTTCTTGGTGTGGGCAAACAAATTATCATAAGTCAACAACAGAACACATATTCATACGGTAGCAGCAGGGAGCTTTGAAGCGGGTTAAGAAACCTGGGGGCCGGGGCCCCGGTTGATATCACGTCGGATATGAGTACTCCGTCTACTAGGGCTCTCATTACCGTTGCTTTTTCCTTCGCCGATCCCCGATCCTCGTGGTTCGGATTTGACCACCTCTTTCCTTTTCCGAGATGCATGCATCGAAATGTGCTCACTTTCTTCTAGCCCCCAGACCCAGTGCTCCCGCCTCTGTGGGCAATAATAAGCCACCCGCGCCTCTTCCTTTCCACTTGAGCATAGCAGCTCAAGAGACAAGTGGTCCTCGTTCTTATCGCAAGTTGCTTCTTCTGTCTCATTTCATTCCATGCGGTTCCTCAAGCAGAGACGCATAGAAGTTGCATGTCCACACCACCCAGTCTCAATGCAAATATCTAGCCATGTACAATCAGAGACAGGCCATAGCAGAAAGCGTTAACTTAATTTGGTTCTCAGCCGTAATTTTATTTGCTCGTAGCCCCCCTTGTCGTGTATGCATCATATCTAGTCAGTATGGCACAGCATGTTCAAAAAGTCCCGAGGGCCCCAGTCTGCTTTTCGAGTGATCCACGTGGAATAATCGTACCCCAATACCCTGAATCCCACCTTTAACATAAACATAGGATCATGTGTCTTTCCTAATTATCAAGCTGCCTTGTCCCAAAGAACCTCTATCAGCCTCGAAGGCTTGACGCGCTGCAGCTGAAGTAATGGATACCTCTGCTTCAAAGTACATGGCCGAATCGCCTGCTGGTCAGGGTCGGTTCGAGGCCGGGACCATCACTTCAAGAGTGGTTACTTTGGGTGGCGTACTTACTTCGCTTTCTATCGTTTTTGTTGCTTTAAGGGCATTCACAAGGATATCTCTGACCAAGAAAGCTTTCGGTCTCGACGACTGTGAGTGAGGTGCTAATACTGTTCCTGGCCCATCTGTTTGCAAACATCTTTCTTCCACGCTGACATTTGCCCTCCCAGATCTCATCGGTATCTCACTGGGGCTGACCATAATCTTCTTCGGCCTATCGATCAAGCGTGAGCTCAGCCCGCCAGTACCTGCTTACTTCTATACATGCTGACTTTGCCAGTGTGTGAGCTCGGCGTGGGGGTTCACTTGTGGCAGGTCAAGCGCGCCGACTTTTCCCCTGGATTTCTGCTGGTAGGCAGCTATCCCTTTGACAGTCGTCTTTATGCGAGATACTGTCAATGTGCCAGATCGGCCATAACTGACTGGATATCTAGCATAGCTTGATCGCGGTCCTAATCTACTCCCTTAGCGTCATAACCGCGAAACTCTCCCTGCTTTTCCTCTATCTGCGCCTTTCTCCAGAGCGGTGGTTCAGAATCGTCACCATGGTGTTCATTGTCTTCACCACGACCTACGCGTTTATCTACTTCTTCCTGCTCCTTTTCAGCTGCAGGCCAATCCACGCGACTTGGGATCTTTCAGCGCAAGCCGGGGCGACATGCGTTAATAAAGGCGCAATCTTTCTGGCTCTCAGCGGTACCAACATCGTCATGGATATCGTTTGTCTGATCCTCCCCCTCAGGATCATCATCCCCCTTCAGATGGCCAAGAGGCAGAAACTGTCTTTGATCCTTCTATTCGCCACAGGAGGACTGTGAGTTGACATTCGCTTCGAGAAAGAAATAGCAGATTTAAGGTCCGGTTTTGCTGACAATTCCCTAGTGTATGTATCTGTGCCATCAGACGCACGACTATCCTTCCGCTACTATTGACAAGCAAGGATTTTACCTTTGACCTCCAAAAACAACTGAATTGGGCATCAGTTGAAGTCAATGCTGGTGTCATGTGCGCCTCTGTTCCGGCTCTCAAGCCGTTCTTCGTGCGTTACCTACCCATATTTGTCACTTCTCACACAGGCAGCTCCAGTGGCAAGGGATCAAACCCGAACAGCAAAGGCTACCAAGCCACAAACCCGTACACAATAAGGGTCCTGGATATCAAGAAGCCCCGCACCGTCCAGTCGGAGGCCTACAGGCTACACTCACACGACGACATCTCGTTTTCGTCAAAAGAAGTGCCGAGGAGTGACGCGGACGAGGACGTGGTGGGACCCTGGCCAAGCAGCGCGTTTCGCCGGGACTGCACGGGTCGCCGCAAGACCATCATCGAGTCGAACCAGCGGGATGAGGATCGCTGCAGCGTTCACAGTGAGGTGACGGTTCAATCAGTGGCTGAGGGTAGCTCTCATCAGACTCCAGCTCAGCGAGTGGCAAGCATGTGCATCAGGGTCACAACAGAAACAAAGGTCGAATACGAACGATCTTAGATATGATCGTCTAGCAAGCTGGGTGGTGGTTTGAAATTTGAGGGTAGCGTCGTCTCTAGTGACAGAAGCTGTCTCCAGCCCTTTTTCGGGACAAATATAATTTTCCTCTGCAGTATTACACAGTGATCTTGACCTTTTTCTAGAGCTTCAAATTCAGAACGTCTCTGAGGTCCTTGACTTCCGTTCCCGGGCGAGTGGTCACGGGCCTCGATGTCCTGTTGCCATACTTCCACTCCGACCTCAAACCCCGCTCCTTGCCCTCCAGGGCGTCAGAGATGTAATCGCCAATGATGGGGAACATCTTAAACGCGTGGCCCGAGTCTCCGGTTGCCAGAAGCAGGGAAGGATGTTTTGGATGGTTGTCAATCAGCCAGTAGGCATCGGGGGAGTCGGTGCACCAACAGACCCTGGCGCCTAGGAGTGGCCGCCCCGAGAACTGCGGCATGACGGTATCGACGAAGCGCCTGATGGCGTCGGCGGCTTCGTCGGGGATGCCGTCTTCCGAGTGCGCGCTCGCATACCGAGGGACCGAGTAGTGTTCCACTTTGCCCGAGGGGTCAGTATAGGTCCCGACGCGGTACTGGTATCCTGGGGATCCGTCGCAGATCTTCATCCACTCTTGGATAACTGTTAGCAACCACAACCGTTGGGTTGGCAATTGTCAACCTACTGGTTTCGGGATCCGGCTCAAAGGTGAAGCCTAGTTCAAAGTTGTCCACCACGGGGATCCCTTTCCACTGGGCAATTTCCTCGTCTGTCAGTTCAATGTGTGCCAAAGACCAGCACTTCGTCCACATCTCCCTGGACAGCTCGGGGAGCACAGCCGGCGACGCCGCCCCGGTGCAAAGTATGTACCTATCTGCGCGCACAACGCCGCCCGAAGCAACCTGGATTCCAACAAGGTTGCCCGAACCATCGAGGCTCAGCCCGGTCATGGTGCCCTCGGCACCGGAGACGAACTCGACGCCCATGTCCTGTGCCTCTTGGCCCCATTTCTCAAGGGACTTCTTGGCGTGGGCCCAGCCGCCTTGACTGTTCCAGAGTCCCTTCCAATTCTCGATGCCGTTTGCGTTGCGTAGCTGGGGAACGTGCTTCACGATCTGCTCCTTGCCCTCAACTAGCTCAAGACTGACAGCCTGCCCAGCCTTCCTCAAATTCTCGTAAGACTCTTTGAGGTGCTTCTCTGCTAGAGGGTCTCCTGATGTTGTGACGATGCGGCCCTGGCTGGAGCATGAGCAAACAGTCATGACAGACAAGCCTACTGTCCAAAGGCTGGGGTCGCCAACTCACCGTTTCATGAAAGATACCATTCCATTCCGGCTGCCTCCAAGCATTGAGGGCTTCTAGAGCCAGATTGGTGTGAAGAGGCTCGTCGTATTCGGTTCTGATGATTTTGTTCAAGTCATAACCTGCGGAGTCGAGACTAGGCAAAGGGTGTCTGTCAAGACATTTGATATTCGTGTAACCGCGTTTTGCCAAATGGTACGCGGTGCTGATCCCAAATGTACCCCTATTGATTTGTACTCAGCGTTGCTCTCAGCCAAACAAATGTGTTGATAACTGTTGATGAACAGTTACTCACGCGCCAATGATGACGATGCTCAACGCCTTGGATAAAGAGGAGTTGCTGCTGGCCATGCTTGTACAAATGATGAAGATTATCTCCAGGGAAGAAACAAGATAAGAGAAGGCCACGTAGACGGTCACGACTCACAACCCGGCGTTCTCAACACATGGCTGTTGATGAGGTATTCCCAGTGATTTTGTAGTCCTGAAATTACTGACACACCAGACGCTCCGATGCAGAAGACAACCAACTAGGTTTACCCCAATTCGACTCCATTGGCCCCCCTGCATCCCCTCTTCTGCACAGTCCTCGCTAAGTGATAATTGGCCCGTTTGGCCGTCAACGTCAACGTACGCATTCCGGACGAATTCGTCCAGGGGGTCCACGCCGGCTTGGACCTTCCCTTCCGCTCTAACTCCTCATCCCGGCTTCGGAGATATGTATAACGGGTGGAGAGGCTAGCGTGCCAACAAGCCGTTCACCGGCCCTCATTACTCGCCGCTTCTCTCTTTATCTCTCTCCCGCCCTCCCTGCAGCCTTCTGCACATAGTATCCGTATAGTCTGTAGATTATCGGGCAAATGGGAGAAAGTCTTCCCTGTCACATATTCCATCGGCGCCTAGGCTGATAGCTTGGACCTTCCGTAGAACCCCCCTGGTGGATCCCCAGCCTGCCAGTCATGGAAGAAACATCCACCGAAAGGGGAAAATGTTACATGGACTGTGAGGGGGTTTTGGGGTTTGGGGAACAGATAACCTGATTAGGATGGTGGCCCGAAATTCTGGGGAAGGTTGATATCTGCAGACAGATAGATATGGCTCTAACTTAAAAGCGACTTGAATCTTAGGTGTAGGACGTGGGTATATAAACACGGCACGCGAAGACCTCGTGAGTCCGACAGTCGACCACTCTTTTATACCGGTCCTTCCTGTCTTTACGTCACCAATGTCTGCCGCGAAGATGAAGGACGACGTCAAGGTTGCCGCTGGGGCATACCCGGCGATGGCCCAGCAGCCGTCCGACGTAGAGGCCGCCGACGTCGAGGATCTCGATAAGGCCATGACCTATGCCCTCGGCGAGATCGAGGAGCACTTCGACATCGACTCGGACAACTCGCCCTTCCCCGAGGTCCGCGCCAACGTGCCCAACACGGACGACCCGACCATGCCCGTCAACACTCTCCGCATGTGGATCCTCGGCGTGCTTTTCACCATGATCGGCTCCGGCATCAACCAGTTCTTCTCAATGCGCTATCCTGGAGTCACCATCTCGTCGCTCGTTGCTCAGCTGGTCTCGTACCCCGTGGGCTGCGCCGTGGCTCGCCTGCTGCCCGTGAAGAAGGTCCGCGTCTTTGGCCGCTGGGACCTCGCCATCAACCCGGACCATAACTTCAACATCAAGGAGCATGCCGTCATCACCATCATGTCCAACCTGTCCTTCGGGCCCTCGTGGGCCACCGATATCATCCAGGCGCAGAAGGCCTCGGCGTTCTACGGTCTCGACACACCGGTGTCCTACCAGTTCCTCCTCGGCTTGTCTATGCAACTGTTTGGTCTCGGCATGGCCGGGCTGGCGTATCGCTTCATCGTTGAGCCGCCGCACATGATCTGGCCGTCGACCCTGGCCAATGCAGCTCTGTTCCAGACCTTGCATGGGCGGGCGAACCCCACTGCCGATGGCTGGAGAATCTCCAGATATCGATTTTTCCTCTATGTCTTCGTTGGCGGCTTCTTCTGGTACTGGCTTCCTGGATACCTATTCACCGGCCTGAGCACGTTTGCGTTCGTTTGCTGGGCTGCGCCGAGTAGGTCACCCCCGAACTTGCACATCCCGCTAGTCATGTATCTATTTGCTTACATTGATAGATAACGTGGTGGTCAACAACCTCTTCGGAATGTCCACAGGCCTCGCCTACCTGCCCACCACCTTTGACTGGTCACAGGTCGCATACAACGGCTCTCCCCTGGTCGTTCCGTTCTGGGCGCAGGCCAACGTCTTTGCTGGCTGGGTCATTATCTTCGCCCTCATCACGCCCATCCTGTACTATACCAACACGTGGTACACATCATACCTCCCGTTCTCGGGCGCTAACACTTATGACAACACTGGCCAGATCTACAACGCCACGCGTGTTGTCAGCAAGGATGGCAACTTCATGAAGGAGGAGTACGAGAAGTACAGCCCCGTCCTCATGCCAGTGACGTTCGCGTTGAGCTACGGCATCTCTTTCGCCGTTATGACCTGCGTGCCGACCTACATCTTCCTCAACTACTACAAGGAGATCATTGGCGCCTTCAACCCGGGCCGAAAGAAGGATGTTCATGCCCGCCTCATCGAGTGGTACCCCGACACCAGGTGGTGGTGGTACGCCATCCTGACCGTCGTCGTCCTAGTCTTGACCATTGTCATACAAGTGGTCTACAAGACCCAGATGCCGGTCTGGGGCGTCTTCGTGGCCTTTGCTCTGGCCTTGATCTATCTGATCCCTACCGGCAGCGTGTACGCCGTCGCGAACCTCAACAGCAACGTCCTCACAGTACTGGGCGAGATCATCTCCGGGTATGCTCTCCCAGGGAAGCCCATCGTCATGCTCATCTTCAAGTTCTACGCCTACACCGGCCTCAGCCAGGCCATGATCTTCTCTTCGGACATGAAACTCGGGCTGTACATGAAGATCCCGCGGCGGACGCTGTTCGTGGCCCAGCTTGCCGCCTGCATTGTCGGCTCGCTCACGCAAAACGCCGTGCTCCTCTGGATGCTCAACCACGTCGACAACATCTGCCACGAGAGCCAGCCCAACGGCTACACCTGTCCACAGGGGCGTGTCAACTTCTCCTCGAGCATCATCTGGGGTGCCATCGGCCCTGCCCGCCTCTACAGCGTCGGCAAGATCTACTCTAGTCTCTTGCACCTCTTCTGGATCGGTGCCCTTCTGCCAGTGGTCACCTTCTTTCTCAAAAAGAGATATCCGGACAACAAGTTCCTGCGCTACCTCCATTGGCCGCTTTTCTTCGCCGGCACGGGCAACGTGCCTCCTGCGACCGGCATCAATTATACCTCGGCGTTCGTCGTCTCGTTCGTCTTCAACAAATGGATCAAGGGCAAATTCCCGCATTGGTGGGCCAAGGTGAGTGCTTTCTAGATCTTCTCCTCGTTCCAATTTGAAAAAGGGGCCCCCATTTAACTGACAGGGCAACGACAGTACAACTATGTCCTATCTGCCGCTCTTGACTCCGGCTTGGCCATTTCAGCTATTATTATCTTCTTTGCTCTCGTATTCCCTGGCGTCCAGCTCAGCTGGTGGGGGAACAACGTCCAGGGCACCACAATCGACGGCCAAAGCATCCCTCTGAAGGCCATTCCCGTTAATGGTAGCTTTGGCCCTGCGACCTGGGCGTAATACGAGATTATTCTTTGCCCTTCAAAATGAGCAGAAGGCTCTCAAACTTTTCTATATACCAAACCAATCTGTCCCTTTTCCGTCCCTGTTCCACATATTCCTAATACAACAATATGATAAATCACGCCGCCAACGGTCTCTCATTCCATCCGTGTCGAGAGAAGTAGAGTACATAAAAACCGCTCGGATCATACCACATACAAAAATACAGGCATTATCTTACCATGATTCTAGAAACCTTAACCTTGAAAGAGGCGTCTCAAGCAAGACTAATGTTGTGACACAGCGGCGCAACGAAGCGAGCCCAGTCATTAAAGGCATTGGTGCTGGATGACAGCTGACACTCCGAAGAAAGAAACGATGCGGCCTCGCGCTGCTTCCAGACTTTCTCAATAACGGAGCGGGTCCTGGCGACGTTTGCAAGGGAGTCTGACAGCTTGTCCAGGGCGTACAAAATCAATGGCCGCGCGTACCGGGGGGTCTTGTTATCGTCTAGCTCATCCGTGGCCCACTCGAGCTCCTCTGTCGGTTCGAGCTGGCAAGCGGCCATGAAGAGCGGCCACGTCAAGCCAGCCTTGACGCCCGCGGCGAGGAGCTTCGCGACAAGGCGCAGGATCCCCCTCACGCTCTGCCGAACGACCGGTGTGGTCGGAGTCGAGTCGTTGAGCGCCGAATGAAGATACAATTCCACGGTCAACCGCTTCAGTTCCACCGTGTGACGGATATTTTCGTCGTCACTCTCGCTCTTAAGCTGCGGTTGCCGGAGGCGCGAAACCAGCCTCATGCGTTGCCGCTCCAGATCCTGCCAGCAGCCCTCCGCCATGGAGGCCGACAGCCGATTGTACTGGAAGCTGAGCTCCGTAATTTCGCTAATGATGCTGACGAGGTGCGGTGAGCAGCCCATCCAGAGGTCGAGCTGGTCTTCCTGCGCGGACCAAAAGTCGTTGCCGAAGATGGGCTCCTCGCCGCAGGCCGTTCGTCCCATAACGTCGTAAAAGGCAAAATATCGCTCTGTGAACCTGATGATTCGCTCCCAGGGGTTCTGTTGCCTGACCTCCGTTTTGGCGACATCCGAATCCACGGTTTGTCGTCTGAACCTGATGAGATCCCGGGCCCCCCGCAGATGCGTGACCCAGCGCTTGTCACACTCGGCAATGATCTCCAATTGGCAGAGGAGCATCATGAGGACGAGGATCTCCGAGTTGGCCGCTATGTCTACGGAGGACTTGTTCTCGAGAGTCAGGCGGAGAGACCGGATCACCTTTGCCGAGTAGCTCAAAGCCACGGGCTGGTATCTGTTGTCTGTTCTCGCTCTATGGGAAGCTGCGAGACCCAGCAAGGCGTTCATGAGAGTGGGCGAGGCAGATGAGACGGCGAACGGGAAGATGAGAGCCGAAAATGGCGATTGGCCTGTTGCGCTGGGTATCGTCATTGGGCAGATCCGGTTTAGGTAGTAAGAAAGTAGTTGCGATTCTGCCTGGTTGCTGAGTTGAATGTACGTCACTGGCCGATTCATAGAGTTCAGATCCCTCCTCAGGGTGAGAGCCGCCGATTTCTGGTCATCGCAGGAGACGTCATCGTTCGACGAGGAGGAAGACTCCCCCTTTGCAAAGTCGCTGATGAATGTGTTCAGAAAGCCGAACGAATAGACGTGAGTAGGCACACTCCAGTAGTTGTTCAGGGTCGTCGTTGGCATTGAGGTGGCATTTTTGTTGTTATTATTAGCGCCGGAGGCTCTGGATTTCGACCAAACGCCGGCCCTGCCAAAGGCCCGGCCAACGTAGTCAGTCTCCCACTTCAGAATCTGGGCATAGACACAGTCGGGATAGCCACGGGAGGTACACGGCCCACAGTGAGGTTTGGCCTCGTCGCACCGGATCTTGTGCAGGCGGCAGCGGTGGCAGCCGCGATGGCTCCGTCGAGCAACCTGCTTGGACGGGTCCTTTCTGCGTGGCATCACAGAAAGAGAGAACTTGCGGTGAAGGTAAACTCGGATGGACAAAGGGGAACAAGGGGAGATAACAGGGGCTGGAACTGGACAATGACAGCGATCTGTATCCGCACTTTGTACAATGGGGCAGCGGCATGGACTTCAGGAGATAGTGCCCGGGGAGGTGAGGGGGAGCGGGCCTCGACTGGAGCAATAGAAGGCAGTATATCGGCTGACTAACATCCTTGGTTGGGGCCCGTCCGTTCTCCAGCTTCTATCGCCAACAACCCTGGACCGTCTGATACACAGTAGACAGTAGAGTTCGCTTGACTGTTCGTTCACCTCACCAACCGCGCACTATTGAACTTTTATTTCAGAACTTGCGAATTTGAGCTGGGGTTACGCGTTTGACAACTTTACCTCAGACAAAAGCCAAACATCAAAGTTACGGGGGTGCTCTACTCTACTCTAGGAGGCATGCCATTACATGCTATTCGATGCCATTTCGGTCTCGATTGCTACACTGTGACTCAAGGTTGCTCAAATCAAAGCTGGGCGCCGGGGTAGGATGAGATTCTGTATCCATTGATATCGACCGTACGGGGCTTCAGAATCGCCCGCCTGGGTGAGGTATTAGATATTAGATCTCAGAGAATTATGCGTTAAGGAACACGCACTCTTCCATTCTACCGAACTTGCCTCCACGAGGCTACGGTAGATACCTACCGTCGTCTGATCCACCAGGAAACCAGTGCAAAGGGTGCCAACCCTTGAAAGGTGGCACCATTGTACGGAACTTTGGTCCAGTGCGGGGAGCGATTGGAACCTTGCAATGGGCCGGCCCAGCGCGCCAGTGGGAGCTGTTGTAACACGTCCGTTTACTCACAATACCTAATAAAAGGGCACACACATGTATCCTTTTCCTTTGTTCTCCCTCGAGGCTTCGCCGAGGCATTATCAGGACCAACACGGGATAACCCTGACTCAAAACTCCACCAACCTAATATATATGATAATTATCTCCGTGTCAACACGAATCCACTGGTCGGTTAGCTCAGTTGGTTAGAGCGTGGTACTAATATGTCATCTGATATGTTGAGTAATGCCAAGGCCGGGAGTTCAAGCCTCCCACTGATCAAGTTTTGACATTGGACCCCTATTTGAATGTTCAAACAGCTATGTTATTCTTTTCGGGATGAAATATACTTTTCAAGCCGTGAGGATATATATCTTTGGCTTGGCTTGGTTGATATGATGAGATCTTTTGCTTGAGTAAAAACAAAGATACGGCTGGCCGGATCCTCGCGAGAACTCCAGAGGCGGGAATAGGAACATCAAGAGAGACTATGATTGCAACCATATATCACTCGTCGTATTCGCACCAGACAGGCTTCATGTATGTGACTGCTTCTCTTGACTTCTTGCACTCGCAAGGTATCGATCCATCAGGTTGTTCTTTTCCCAGAATATGGCTTCCGGGAGGCCTTGAATGAAGAATGGGTGCGACCAATCATTCACTCGCTGTCTGTGCCAGCTTTACTTGGCAGGAAACCTAAGTTACACGCACTTACACAAGGTATGGCCTATTCTCATACAGGTATGTATGTATGGCTTTGATAAGTATAAAACGTAGTAGCTATACTTTTATTTATATAGGATTTACGTAGGAAATATTGTATGTATACGGCATACCGCTCTCCGAATTACACGAGTCTCCATCCCACTCAATGACCTACTTATAAGCTGTCTGTGAGTAAAGTCAATCGGCATACAGTGCCAAGCCTCTCTACCTGCATTTTATAACGCTTGCAGCGTTCTGTGCGCGGTCGGTGGTTCGTCACGACTTGGCAAACGGATTTAATCCGTGGATATATGCATGCCATCTGCTACAGCCCGGGTAATGAAAAACGCATTGCAATATCAAACACCTATAGGTCGCAGTATTGCAGCGGGAAGAAACCGGGTAGAATGAGATATATGCAAAGGAAGAGTATATGCGCATACTGCGTTATCCGTAATGCGGCAGGCATTCTCTGGATGTATCCGTATCCGAGATGCCGATAACGATAAGCTCCGCCCAAGGTACCTTGGGGGATTGTCACTTGTCCCCCAGTCCAGCATCTCTTCCAGCATAAGCAGTTTCAAGCTCCCACGTCCCATCCAATTCGAATTATCCGAGCAACCCGATACCTGATTTCCCGAGACAGAGCTTCGCACGAATACAATGCCTCCAGGATGACGGCCCCACGCCCCTGGACACCCCCCCTCCTTCTTCGAATCCGGTTCACGACCTCCCTCCCGGACCTCGATCTCGACATCCCCTCCCCCTCGCAGACCACCGTCGCCGCCCTCAAGCACCTCATCCGCGGCCGCCTCGGCCAGCCCGACTCCCAGCGCCGCCTGCGCTTCATCCACCAGGGCAAGATCCTGCCCGACGCCTCCGCCCTCAGCGCCGTCATCCGACCGCTCCCACCGCCTCCGTCCGCCTCGCAACCGTCCACCCTGTCCACGTCCGGCGCGGGCCCCGACGACCCAAAGGGAAAAGGCAAGGCCAAGGCCAACGACCCCGCCCCGCAGAGGGTCTACGTGAACTGCAGCATCGGCGACAGCCTCACCGACGCCGAGCTCGCCGCCGAAGCCGAGGCCGCCCTCCGCGCCCCTTCCAACCGCGGCGGCAGCACGTCTTCCTCGGGCGCGCGCCTCGGGGCCGCCGGCCAACATGGATCGAACCACCAGCCACAGCCGTCGCGCCCCACGCCGCGCGGCTTCGACAGGCTCCTCAACGCCGGCTTCACGGCCGCCGAGGTGAACCAGCTGCGCCTGCAGTTCCGCGAGATCCGCGCGACGCAGTACACCCCAGACACGATGCCGAGTCCCGACACGATGCGCTCGCTCGAGGACGCGTGGATAGACACCAACGCCGCCGGCGCCCTACCCGGCGGCGCCGCGGGCACGGGTGGCCAGGGCGGCGGCGGAGGCGACGACGCCTTCGGAGTCATGAGCGGGATACTGGACGTCCTCATCGAGGGTCTAATCGTCGGCTTCTTCTGGCCGCTGGGGTGCCTGGGCTGGCTGTCGCGGGAAGAGAACATGCTGTCTGGCCGGTGGCAGGATTTCATTGGGTTCGGCGTGACATTGAGCATCATCATTGGCGTTATCAGGGCATTTTCGGGCGACCGGTAGAGTAGGATCAGCGGGTGGGTAGTTAGTCATCGTTATGGCGTTTACACGGCTATTATTTTTCCCAATGATACCAATCATCAAGAGCAGAAGTAGCAGGGCAGGAACGGCAGGTCGGACATGGATCACGCAGGTAGAGAGACAGCAAAAAGGGCCATTATCTGCTTCATTGGTGGCCACATGGAGAAGGGACTTTTGGAGGGCCCCTTGCAACTCCCAATCCGCACACACAAAGATTCTACATGGTATAAAACCTCCCCGAAACCTTCAACGCCTGTATGTCCCCCAGGGCTACATGAAATATGAAGAAACAAGAAAAGGCGGGGAGAGTAGGCGGGGATCAAACGAGGGGCAACTAGTGGGTAGTGGCCAGAACGAACCTTGTTATCTTTTTCTTTTCTTTTTTAGAGGTACAGACTCTGGGCCGCAACAATGTCACGGCGGATCTTGGCGAGACTGTCCTCGAACTTCTGAGTCAGCTCGTCGCTGCCCATGACCTTGGCACCCTGGCCCATCTGGCGTAGGAGCTCTTCGAGGCGGCGGAACAGGCGGATCAAAGAACCCTCGTAGGCGTTGGTCATTTTGCTGCGTCGTGTCAGTCAAAGGCAAAATAAAAATAAAAATAAGGACACTCGTCAAAACTTACCAAATCTCTGCAAAGGGTTTACCCTGGGCCCAAGAGTAGACAGTCTCCATTAACTGCCACTTGAAGCCGGCCAAATATTCCTCTTCGTTAAGCTCAAGCTTGCTCTCGCGACTGACCTTGGCGACCTGCTTTGCTTTGGCCTGGACTTCGCGGAAGGGCTTCGCCAGCTCCTCGCGCAGAGCGGCCGTCTCGAGCTTCTCGTCCAGGACGAAACAGCTGAGCGTCGCCGCGATGAGCTCGGGAGACAGCTCGTTGAAGAAGCGGTCAAACAAAAGCTCGGCAAGGACAAGCTCGTGGCCCTCAGTAGATGAGATTTCGCAGGCGACACGAGCCTTGAGCTCGACAACCTCGGACTCGTTGAGGAACCCAAGACGACGCAGAACACGCTTGCGAGCCTTGAGCTCGTCCATTTGAGCAATGCTGTGGAGTCTCGCAATCTCCTTCTTCTTGGCCTTGATCTGTTCGCCCAGCTTTTCCTTGGCGCGGTACTGAAGGTAAAGTTGGGGAAGCATCGGTGACCCGTGGAGAGGGTTGGTGAGAAGACGTGCCTCCAACATCTCAATCTTCCTCATCAGGGCCTTGAACGAATCGTCATTGATGCCCATGTTTTCGACGGGGTCCAATATGGGAAGACCATCAGGGAAACGTCGGTGAACCTCTCGGAGAGAATTGCCGACTTCCTCAAGAGCCGCCTGCGACTTGCAGTCCTTTGGCATGAAGACCCTGATCTGACTGATGGCCTTGACGCAAGTCAAGAGACAGGGCACAATCTCGAAGCGAGCCCCGTTGCCAGGTTGTTCGGGCTTGGGATAAGGAACCAGCCCCGAAGGGAGGTCTCCGGAAATCAGCTTGGCACCTTCGGCGATAGGGGCGCTATTCCGGTCCACGACCATCATGACATCAATGACGCAGGACTCTTGAGGAGGATATTCGGGCTCGGTGGGCTTGCCTTGTTGGCGTCGGACTAGGTTTGTAACAACACCCCAGCCGAAGTCGGTACCTCCGATGGTATTGTTGGTCTTCTTGGGATCATGAATGCGAACCAGACGACCAGGCTGCATGAAGTCAATGCAGTGCTCAGGATGTTGGATAACTGCACGCATATCGCTGGTGTACTGCTCCAGCTGGTTGCGCAGATTGTAGTAATCCTTAACGGTGGCCTCGTCAGCGATCGACATGCTGTCCCTCTCTTGCTGGAGGGCCATGAGATCGCGCTCCAGGGTCGGGACGCTGGCGCCAGTCTGGAACTGGTGAAAGCAGCGCTCAAGCATAAACTCGGGAGAAATGGCCTCGATTCGGAGCAGGTTCAGGATCATGTTGTAGCCGAGGTAGAAGGCGGAGTTGAGGCGATCTTGCTCGCCGACAACAATGGCGCGCGCAGTGTCGGGCTCCATCTTGTCGTCTATCATCATGATGACAATACCGCGAGAATCCAAGCCTCTACGACCAGCACGTCCAGACATCTGGATGTACTCGGAGGGTGTGAGAGGCCTCCGCTGAGTACCGTCCCACTTGGTAACCTGGGTAAAGACAACGGTCTTGGCAGGCATGTTGAGACCAATGGAGAAGGTCTCGGTCGCAACGAGCACCTTGATAAGAGACTCTTGGAAGAGGATCTCAATGGTCTCCTTCAGAATAGGCAGAAGACCAGAGTGATGCACACCAATGCCCTTTTGCAAAAGAGGGAGCAGATTCTGGATCTGCGGCAGATCGCGGTCGGCTTCGGACAAGCTCTGGATGGCGTTGTTGAAGACGGTTTTGACCATGGCCTGCTCCGAGTCGTTGTTGAATTGGAAGTGGGAGATCTGTAAAGCCAGGTTCTCGACCTCCTTTTTGCTGAAGTTAAAGATGATGACAGGATGGAAGCTTTTCTGCATAATCATGCGGACAATTTTGGATATGTCGGCTTTCATGTCAGCCGCTGCTCCGCCCTTTTGGGTCTGTTTCTTGGCCCCTTTGCCCTTCCAGCTTGCGCTGGCATTATTCGGGTCTTGTCCCTTGCCCTGCTCGATCAGGGCCATAGTCTTTTGGAAGTTACCCTCTCTGAAGACGCCCTTCTCGTCCACAACCAAAAAGATACCATTACCACCAGCAGGGAAGAAATAGTTCTGGAGAGGCGTGGGTCGGAAGTCGGTGTAAACAACGTGACACGCCTGGTGGTGGATTTTGGCGATCCATTCTGCGAACTGGAAGGCGTTCGGAATGGTGGCAGACAGGAAAACGTAGCGAACCTTATCGGGGAGCAGTATGATGGTTTCTTCCCAAACCACGCCTCTGGTCTTGTCGCGCATGTAGTGAATCTCGTCAAAGATAACCCAGGCAACCTCGCGCATGATCTCGGAGCCGCGGTACAACATGGATCGCAGAATTTCGGTGGTCATGACCAGGCAGCTGGCAGTAGGGTTGATGGTAACGTCACCGGTCATAAGGCCGACGTCGCCGAACAGTGCTTCGAAATCTCGGTATTTCTGGTTGGAAAGAGCCTTGATGGGACTGGTGTAGATAACCCTCTGGTTACGCTTCAGACATTGGGCAATGGCGTACTCGGCGACGACGGTTTTTCCGGCAGAGGTATGTGCAGAAACCAGCACGCTCTCCTCTCTCTCGATGGAGGCGACGGACAAACTCTGGAAAGGGTCCAGCTTGAAGTTGTACTTGCGCGCGGGCTCGGCGGGCGGCTTATGCTCGGATAGCGGGACGTATTCATGATCCAAGTCAGGAGGTAGGGCGACCTGGTGCTGGATGTTGTGGGACAAAACGAGGGCCTCATCCTGTGCCTGGGTGAAAATAGCGGCACTGGCGACCTCTCTCGACTGGGCAGTCTGGAAGGTATCTGTCAAGACGGGCTGGGCCTCGTCTTCCTTCTTCCGTCGCTTGTGGCTCTCCTCCTGCTCCTCAGAGGTCGAACGGGCGTCTTCGGCTTGCTCCCCACCGTGGCCGTCCTTAGAGACCTCATCGGCGTCGGCCATCTCAGCATCCTCTTGCTTGCCCACCACGCCATTTTTGATTGCGCCGTCGGCCTTGCGCTTGTTGCTCTTCTTTTCCCTCTTACGCGACTTCTTAGAAGGCTCAGCGGGTTCAGGCTCGCTGTGCGACTCGGGGTGCTCCGTGTCGGGTTGGGCATCGAAGACGTCGAAAAGTTCGTCCATGGTGGGCGACTGCTTGTTGCCAAGCCAGGGAGACAAAAGAAACTGCGGCAACAACAAAGGTGATGCTGGGTTGGTATTTGAGGGGGTTTGCAGATAAAACAATCGTAGTTAATGGAAGTAAATCGCCTTGTGATAAATAGACAAGACTGTAGACGATCAAAGGAGACCGGGCTGCAGGGAACCGCCTCTGCGAACTCGTGCTGTTGAGACGTAACGGGGGCTTCGCCAATTTTGACTGGTCCCAGCGATGTGCGGCGGTCGCGATTCCCACTCCAGACGCTCCGGGAAAAAGTTGGCGGGTGAGGAAAGACAGGAAAAGGCAGAAAAAAAATTCCAAGGAGTGGACGATGGAAGACTGGAGCCAGTGCACCAGGCAGGGAAGGCGGTCACGCCTGATACTGACTTCGAAATTCCAGGTGCGGGACTGGGCCATTCCGTCTGGGTGTCACGTGTAATTAGGTAATATCTCGAGCCTTGGAGATTCCTTGGAGCTTCGCCGAATCACGCCCTCAGACCACTTTTGTATGACTTCAACACCACAACTACATAACCCCCTGCCTCCATTGCGTCTCGCGATCGCCTCAAAACCCACCGCCAAAGTACGTGCAACCTTCCAAGCCCCGCTGCCCGCCCAATTGATACTGACCGATCTTCTCTAGATGCTCGCCCGTGCCGCCGCCCGCGCGGTCCCCCAGACTCGCACCGTTGTCGCCCGTCGCGGCTTCCAGACCACCCGCGCCCAGATGTCCTCGCCCTACCACTACCCCGAGGGCCCCTACTCCAACATCCCCTTCAACCCTAAGTCCAAGTGGTTCGGCGCCGGCTTCTGGACCTACGCTGCCGTTGGCTTTTTCGCCCCCTTCGGCATCGCCGGTGCGTGCTTTTCCCCCCGTTGCTCCGAATTCGAGTATACTGACGAGCTTTTTAGTCTGGCAAAGCAACAAACCCAAGGTCTAAGCGGCCACATGTTTCCTTGAGTCGATTGCAACTGTACAGCATGGGTTAGGACGTTGGGGCGGAGGACGACTATGTACATAACCAGAAATAGAGACTTTTCGTCCTCAGCGATTAGCTACCACCCAGTCCTACGCTTCACGAACTTGCAGCATCTTGTCGTTAATTGGGGCTGCCGCGACCTCAATCGGCCAAATTAACGTGTGAGACAGCCGCGTGCGGCATGTGCTATGGTATAGGGTGAATTGACCGCCGGTGTGCTCCAGGGCGCAGGCAATGGTCAGCGAAATTATTGGTATCATTGTCTATGAGTATCTTACACAGGCCGCCGCTGTCTGACCGCCTGGGGCATATCCTTCAGGGAGGGCATCAGGTTCTTGTCGTCCAAAAGCCTCGCCACATAACTCTCCATGTGATCCACCTTGTCGGGCGCCAGATCCCACCGCTTCCCAAACTCTTCGTACACTTCCATTGTTCTTTCCTTGTTTGTACATTTCATGAAAGCCCGGAGCGCCCACATCATGAGCCAGGTATCAAGATAGAGGCCCTGGACTTGGTTATCAAGCGCCTGTAGCAGCGCAGACAGAATGTTCTCTAACCGGGCGGGCGTCCACTCGGAGAATATAACGTTTCCATACCGCATGAACCCTTGGAAGAGGGCCAAGAAGATGCTACCATGCATCGGTATTTTGAACGCCCTCATCTCATTGAGAAAGATGGCGACCTGGGCCAGGTCGCCTCTCTGGACGCCGAAGTGATTGATAAGGATGCGAAATGTCCGCAAATCAGGTGTGACGTCTGCGATTTGCTGCTGCTGGCTCTGAAGGTCGACTTCTGTTGTGCTTGGCTTTGTAATGACATGTTTTGAGTGAGTCTCTTTCATGTATTCGTAAACCCGCAGCACCGCATTGTCTTCGCCGCATTTAAGAAAGCCAAAGATGATGCAATTCAACACCACCGTGTCGACCGTTTCTCCAGCTTGCACCATCTCCTTGTAGGCCGCCCGGACGCCATCGGCATCCTCCTGGAGCCCGAAAAAATGAATGAGGCTCACGTGATGATACCGGTTGAACGGGATACCTCGTGCCTTCATCTCCTTGTACAGCATATCGGCCAATATGTAATTGCCGGACTTTGATGCAGCATCGAAGAGAATGTTGAACGTGACGGAGTTAGACGTGGCGCGCTTATGGGCCTCCATTTCCTTCCACAGCTGGAGAGCAAACTCTGCCTCCGCCTCGGTGGTCTTACCAGCAAACTTAGTGGCAGCAGCAAGAGCGTAATTCCATTCGTTGCGCCGGATGCTTATGCCGCAGTCCTTGACATCCTCTATGAGCGAGAAGTACCGCAACATTTGCTTGATTCCCTGTCTCGACTGTCTGCCGCATACTTTGAGTAAACGGTGGCGGCATCGTTTTCTCAGATATATCATCCGGGGCTCGGGTAATGCGGTGTACGTTTCGTATATTTCGTTCACGCTGCCTCTCTTAGTTCTCAGCCTGCGGTTGAGGATAATTGCCAACGTATGTGCGATTTGGGCAGTGGTTTTGTCGCCGAGATATTCATTCAGTGGTAAGCACCGCGTATCGTCGCCTTCGTCCGAAATTGTAAGTTTTGCATGTTCCGGCTGGGCATACCTGTTGAGAAATGGATCATCAACAAGCTCTAGATACTCATCCACAGTCCCAACGTCTCGGTGGTCCATGAACGAAAGAAGCTGCCTTTTCCTTTTCCGAAAGGCCGATTTTTCGGACTGAGGATCAACAGCAGCTGTGGCGGCGGTAACTTGGCTATGCCACCGAATGCGTTCGCGGCAAGGGAAGTTCGAGTACGTTGTAGAACGGGGGCGACTCGAGGGCGCCGGCAGAAAGGTCAACAGCAGCCACGAGGCCGTCTGTGAACATTGGGTGACTGGCCGTCGAGGACATCGTGTATGGTCTCGTCGGAATTGGGTGACCGGCGCCCCCGGAGATCTATTTATTCGAAGCTTCACCCGAGAGGAAACTGCACCTCTGGTCGCGGGATGTGGAGTCGAGAGGATCGCGCCGCAGACAGACCCGTCAATCCGGCTTAGAATTCGCATGGGCTGTCGGGCATCGCGTTCCAGTGTATCACCGTTCCATTGAAGAGCGCAAGGTCGCTGGCAGGGGGAAAACAAAGTATCGGTGCTGGTTATAAAGGCCAAAAAGCTTCGGGGTAATTGGGATGCGAACTATTATTTCGCACATCAGTTAAGTGGGGCCGCAAGGTGGAGCCGGGGACGGCGTTAGGATTGGCCGACGCTCCAAATTTGTGAGCTGCGCTTCTCGATTGATGGGAGCTCAGGATCTCGGCCAGCATTCCGACAACAGCAACTCTCGCCCTGCCGTTGCTGCACTGACCGTAACCAGTGAGCCTCCATCCCCTGGGGTGACACCGAAATCTCGAATCTGACGACATTCCCTAGGCCAGAATGGGTCGACAAATAAGGCCCGCCCGGATCTACCAGGCCGTAAGCCAGGAGCTTACCACGAAGGTTCTACCTGGCTATGCCGCCCAGGAACCGCCATGGTTCCAGGTCATGAGAGACATTCCGCCTTCCGAGATCCTCACGAGGCCCGTCACCGTCCAGAAAAGGCCCAACAACCACAAGCTGCGCAAGCCGAGCAACATCTACAAGCCCCCGAGAATAACGCACCCGGAGGATGGTCTTCGCGCGACATTTTACAGAGACCACCCGTGGGAATTGGCGCGCCCGAGAATAATCCTTGAGTCAGATGGAAAGGACGCGCAGAGATGCAATTGGGCCAAGGGGCTGCGCCAGCCTGGTCTGCCCCTGACCGGCGAATGGTGAGTCTGGCCAGAATATGCAAGTCGATCCAGGACGCAGGTAACTAACGTCAGATGTGTAGTGTCGTACAGCGCCAGCTCTGGCTCATGCAGAACGCCGGACTCAAACGTGACCAAGCGTACGATGTCGCAAGAAAAGAATTTTATGCGTTGCGTCAGGAGGAGGAGATCGAGAAGCGCGTCGCCAGGGAGGAGGCCAGACACGTCGGGGCGTACTTTGGCAAGAACAGACTGCAGATCAGCATGGACCTTGAAGACAAAGAGTTTGAGACGTGGAAGGGCTGGGCGGGCAAGCGGACGGCCGCGTTGGAGCAGCAGGGTGCCAACTACGCGACATATGGCGAGGAAGCGGACGCCGAAGCGGCTCCGGAATCGACCTTGATATGAGCAGAGGTGCAGCGATTCCTGTAAGTGTATGTAATACAAAACCCTCATGTACAATATGGACACATCAAAAAGTGCACAATGGGAATATGGATCTGTCTGTTCGAGCTGTGAAGTCGTTTGTCGACCACCTTGATCAATCTCGTTCTCGGATTTTCCCCCAATTACAATCATCCCCTGTTTCGAGGCTGTATGTCACCTCGTCCTCTTTACCACCATGCAGCCTGCATTCGTAATACCATATGCCTTGGCCACCTTCTCATGCTGGACCAATAACAAGTCAGCAATACCGGTGCGGTGGAACAGTTTACCGGTCAGACTGAGAGTGCGGATTCGTGCCCAGGACTCGATGTAAAGAACTTGCATCGTGTCCTCGGGTACGATGTAAAACAACTTCAGGAGATAAGCGACCAGTCCGACTATGAAGCCCGTGGCTGGGCCGTTGGTGAGGATAACATCAGGGAACTGTTGGCGGCTTCTTACGCCCTTGAATGGGGACGACAGCAGCAGCGGAAATATCTGGGTAACGGACAGTAAGGCGGTAAAGGGTGTTGTGAGGAGGCTCTGGTGTATCTTCCGGGCCCTTGCAACGATGTATTTGTCGTAGTTTCCGACTTGCTCTTCTCCATGAGCGCTCTTGAGGTCGCCCTCGAAAGCCTCGAGATGTTTAAGAGACATGGAGTCGCCGCTGGATATGAGATAGCGTCGATGCATGCTGGGTACGTTTGGGAAGCCGATCTCCATCATGGCAAACATCTCTTTCGTATGACCACCAGAGCCCAGCACGACCAGGAAGTAGGCTCCTCTCAAAAGGCCAAGGCTTGTAGGGTCTTTGGCAGCAACATCGGACAATATGACAGGACGTCTCAGTCGGTTTTGTTGAAGCTGAAGATGGCGGGCCTATGTAGGGTTAGTGGCTAATGAAATATGATACGTGATTGTAGGTTTATATATACCGTGACGAAGATGAGGAGCGATATGACACCCAAGAGAACAGTTGCAAGCGAGGCCCTCCAAGAGGAACGCAACATGAGCCCCAAGCCAAGCACACATAAAGCAGAGGCGATGCCGATCAAAGTAGGTGCGGTTGCCATGATGAAGCAGTTTTATGGAACCAAGCTCCTGTCTGAGTTTCAATCCCCGACTTTTCAAGGAGTGACGATGAAATACTTCCGGGTTCTGGGGCCATATCAGTAACGTGTTGTGAACATCACCAGGCAACTCACCAGCAAATGGAGCAAGTGACGCTTGCCTTGTCAGTTTGGTCTTGCTTATGAGAGGCCATAAACTTCCTTGCACACACGTCTCCAACACAGTCTCTTTGAGGCGGCAGTATTTCCCAGAGAGGAGCCCTCTCTTTGTGAAGACTGGTCAAGTGTGGCACCCTTCTTGGATTTTGAGGTGAAGTACAGTGATAATAAGGCCAAGCCGATGGTTGTTAATGCGCAGTTTACAGTGGCCCAGTTACCACTAAGCAGTTGTGGGGTGTTCTACAAGCCCCTGCGGGATATCATACTAAGGTACATAGTGAGTGATCTGTTGTGGTTTGTTAGTGCATCCCATCTATAACTAGGTACCTTTGTAGGTACCTACCTACCTACCTATGTAAGGTAGGTAGGCTCTGACAGAAGAAATGCAGTCGATTATAGAAAGTGCATGACCTCATCCTCCTGCTGGTCCCCTGAGACCCTTGCACCTTCCCCTGCGTTCACCCAGGAACACCCCCAGACCGCCCGGCAGAACCCAGAAAGTTCCTGGCGGCAACAAGACAGAGGACACACATCAGCCCGCCTACATAGATAAATGATTTGCACGGCCCGAGGAGCCTTGGACCTCAATACGACATGGCCAAGCTGAGGAGTGGCAGGTTGTTAACCTGTTTCTACTGCGGGAAACGCTCATCAACGAGGTATGACGGCTTGATTCGCGAGTTCCTCTGTCTCTATTGCGATGCGAACAACTATCTAGATGAGGCAAGTCAACCCGCGGCGCATCGCGCATCGCGTCTCGCGCATCCCGACTCCATCTGACGATCCATAGCAAGGAGACATTACCGACCCGCCAGTGGCCAAGACAACTAATGTGCCTGTTACTACGACATACGCGACGGCGCGATCCCATTCTCCCGATTTCACGAGCCCGTCACAGAGCATCTTCTGTTCAACATGTCTCAAGAATCAACACCTGTTTACCAGCTCCCTGGCGCAATATCTTCCCGACGACCCTGATCACCCCGACTATGCCGAATTGGAACGGAATATGTACAAGTTTCGGCGGCGGCTGGAACAGAGATACCCTCAGATATGCGCCCAGTGCGAGCCCAAGGTTCAAGCCCAGCTTGACCATGCTGGATACACGGCCAGGACCGACCACCTGCGGCGCATGATGGATAGGAGCAGGAAGAACCGAGTTGCACCTAAGCTGCTAACGCCGTTGGACGTTGCGGCCAAGGTTGGGAAATGGCTTTGGCTCGGAGGAATCGCGTGCCAATACATGTGGCACGTTGCCTCCCTGGCAATTGTCTTTGGGCGGCATATGGACGAAGGTCCGATGCGAGACCCCGATGCCGAATCAACCATCGCCCAGAGGCTCTCTATTGCGTTGACACTACTCCTTCCCAGCCCGGAGCGGCTGATACACTGGAGCTTGTGGGCGAATGTCATCAGCGTCTGGTGGAATCCCAAGTTCGTCCAGGTATTCCGGGGCTTCTCCCGGCATATCATTGGGCTCTCGCACTGGTACACCTTCCAGGGACTCATCTTGTTTACGAGGTTCTTGGCCATGAGAATGACAGAACTGAAGGGGGGTCACGCGGCTAAAGACAGCGCCCAGATGAGCCTCCACGGCTTGATGGCGGCTCTCATGCTGACGGTGAGTACCATCAGCCTCTGTTTTTATGAAGGCATCGCTCATTCTGGCCCTAGATATATGTCCTTGCACAACGATCCGTCCGCATCGATACGACACCGCTTTTCCAGACCACCAGCACGCCTGTGGCATCACCGCCAAGGCCACAACAAAAATTACAGCTCCGTGGGGATGACAACAAGAACATGGCAAACCTTTTGGATGATATATTGGCTGAGTCCGGACCTGCGCCAGCAATCCCCCCAAGCCCAACCAGTGTTGGCTCTGGTTCACCGGCACTCTTCCAGAGAGAATTGCAGCATCGAACAAGCGCCCGTAACATAGGCTTAGGCACGCCACAGAAGCCACCTCAGTCGGAATACGCGGAGGAGATGGACTGGTCGCCGACGCAATCGAAGCACCGCGCCTTCAACGATTTCGGGCCTCCCAAAGCACCGAACCAGGTATTCGGTCAGCCTGATCCGGGTCCGAATTCCAGTCCGTTCTGGTACAAGGTGCCCCCAGCGCCCGTCACGCCAGCGCAAAGGCTCCGCAACGGCCCTAAGATTCTCGCGAAACCGGTCGAGAAGAAGTCCATCTTCTCCATCGGCAGCCCGAACGCATCCGGAAGAAATGCGCCGACCAATGACGAAAACGGGGGCGCGAGCAAGGTGGCATTTGCGGAACCCAAGTTCTTCGCACCATCGACGTCCAACCCCAGCGACCCACGCAGCACGTTGGCGGACCTGCTCAACACGAGCTTTACGCTGAGTCAGGACGAGCCCGAAGATGGAGAGGAGGGTGAAACAGGAAACCACAAGGCCGGGCCTGCCAGCGCCGGGCCCTTGGCGAGAACGGGCGGTCTGCGCAACAACAGGCTGCTGGACGTGTTCACCTTGGCGATCGTCCTCGGCGCGTGGCTCCACGCGACTTCGGCGTCATACCCGTACAGTCGGGACGTGATGTTTGGTGCCATGGTTCTTAGCATGGCCATTGCCACACACCTCACGGGCGACGCCATCAAGGACATGCGCAACGAGAGGACAGCCAGTTGGGCATCCATTGTCAACACTTCGCTAGGCATTGGCGAGGTGGCGGTGGCATGTCACTTTGCGCTCCAGATTTGGGGCAACCGCACGCCAACATCGAGCGTGCAGGGCGCCTCTGTCATTGGCGCGATGCTTGCGCACGAGATGTGGAATGCCGCTTGTTAAGGGAACGGGAAAAAGCGAGAGCGAACTGGCCCCATGCGACTTGTTCGGAGGGGAGCATATATGAGATGAGTAACACGAAGCACTGGTTGGCGTTTTGTTTAAAGGCGTTGTATGTATTGGGATAGGGCTGCATCGCGAGCAGGGGAGATAAATATATCATCCGAGCTGCACGCGGACGGATTCTACGACAACAACCACAACAGCAGGAGTCTGCTGCGGCCGTCCGCCGGTTTGTTTTTTCCTTGTTGGTTCTGGAAATGTCTAGATAGCACAACGGCGACACAGCAGCCGGGGCTGTCTGGGCGGATGGGTAGAAGAGCTACCATTTTTTCTCTCCCACCAATTCTGAGCGCGCCATCCGGCATTTCACTGTTCACTCTTACTCGTCATTTTGTTCCCACACGTGAGCGCAACATGTACACCCGCCCCAACCACACCACCTGTGCGTTTGTCATCTCTAGCTTCGCGATGTGGTGTGATGCAGGGAAGGGGGGGCTTTACTTCGGCAGACCCGGAGCCGTTGGTAGCGCTGCCCAAAGAACAGGAAAGAGGCTGACTTGGCAGATACCAGACTGGGATGGGCAGGAGACGGACATTTGCTGATGAGGCCCTCGCTATCCCTTTCCGAGCTGGAGCGACGCCACGGCGAACGAGCTAGAAGCCGCGGGTCTGGGGACGGAGGAGAGACAGGCGCGCGCCGTCATCGCCTGCCACACGTCGCCCATGGCCCAATGCTACGCGGGCTGGGCACTAGGGCGAACTCGAATAGCACAAGCTCCAGTCGGTCTCTCTCTCTCTCTGGTGCTTCGCGATTCGGCCCAGCGGATGGTCTGGGGAGAAGGTGTGTGGACGGTGATCATTTGTCAACTATAGTCAACTATAATTCCCAGGGCAAGGAGGGGGGTTTCTTGGTCGTCTACATCTTTGCGATCTTATACAATCCATTCGTTCGTTCAATAAAGATTCAATAGGGTAGGATCAAGTTTAGATCTTCCGGATGGTGCAAGACACACGGCCACGGCATAGCCATTGATGCGAATAAAATAAAAAAAGAAACAGGGGTAGGGCCCGCTGGGGAGGCGGCGACCACTCTGGGAGGAGTTGACACTTCCTGCCGTTTTGGGGGCCACCTGTCGCCCAGATGTCAGCCGCACAGATAGCGCACGCGAGAGAGAGAGAGAGAGAGAGAGAGAGGAGATTGGTACTATTTCCCCCCCCTGCTCGGTGCCGAATAGGCGAGTTGCTCCGGCTGGCAGTAAGGGTGTCGGTGAGTGATTCTCAGCTCAGCGGCCCGAATGGAACCCGGGAGAGAGGGGCCAGGGAACGGACGCTATGATATCGCGGGCCCCATGTGTCGCCGTTGAATGCGCACAAGACAAAATATACAGTACAATACTCTGTCCAGTACACACAATTGTGCACTCACAAAAGACGCATCCGTCGTGCTGAAACCCAGATGGCCTTGCAATGATGCTAGAGTAGGGGGAGGAGAACCAGAGACCAGTAATGCTTCCTTCCTTGAATCCGGCTGGGGTTGGCAGCGTCACCGATTCCGTGACATGGAGGCGTAACCAAGGTTGAAGGGAGAGAGGGCTGGTGAGGTAATGCGCCACGGAATGGATCGAGTTTTGCACTTCTTTTGTTTTCTTTTTTCCCCCCTCCCTTTTTCTTGTTGCTGGCAGCAGGTACCAGTGGTACGGTACGAGAGAGCCCGAGGCGTCTTTGGTGGCATTCCGCACCTAGCTGACGCAGCCTGTCATCATCATAACCATCATGCTGTAGCGTGCTTGTCAACCAACCCCCTAACGCTCGGCCAACCCTCTGCGGGAGAGGTTTCGTAAGTGATTACCCATACTGTGTGTATGACGTATGACGAGCCCTGAGGGCGGTCACTGTTCCCATTGACATGGGGGGGGAGTCTCTGGAATGGCCCCTTGGAGTCCGATGCCAGAAAGCAAGGTGAGGCAAGGTGAGAGTTGAGACGGGGGAAGGACGAGGCGAGACGGATCTTTCGAGATTGGGGGACATGTTGATGGCAGGCCCATGGCGTACGGGTCTCCCGAGAGAGGCGGAAAGGGACGGGCTGGGGGGCGATTGGCAGAAAGGCGAGGTAGTCGTCATGGCTACCGCGGTCCAAATGACCGGCGGTCCTCTTGACATAGCACGACAGACACGCAGGATGACCAGACGGACGGGGGCGGCGATGCAGAGCGCCTGTTTTGGGGGTGACTGAATGTGTCCGGACAACACCACTTCGCAGCGACCGGACTCGGGGGAGCAGCTGTGCATTCCCTACCTACTATGTACATCCTGGTACCCACCAGCATACCTAATTCGCAGTGTAATACGTGTATAGCCTTCTTTGCAGCATGCGCCTGTGCATCTTTGATGCTGTCGGCTTTGGATCGAGGCCGTCGTGTGGTAAACCGCCACTCGCACCTCGGAGTTAGTCGTTGGTTCGGAGAGAGACGGTGCCACCACGGCTGAAGCAACCGCCGCCTTGGAACCGTACCTACCTTGGCTGATGTACGGATACATTGTGTTTAATCCCTGAGTGGCAGAAGCTGATGGAGCCGGCGTCTGGCCTGCAGGTTGCAGAAAGCCAGGGCGCCGCCGCCTTCCTCTCCCAGTGGCTGACCGTCAATGTTATTTTGTTGTCTATTTTGTGTCGATCTGTGGCTGCGACGCGGACAGATCGCCCCCCGGCACCTCTCCTGTCTATCCGTATCGCACCACTCTTTCGATCCGCGAGTGTCATCGTCGTTTGCTGTTGGCTTGGCGGTCTATGTCTCTGGTCACAGTTGACGACTCAGCCCACCCGTCTGTCGTGGCAGACGTTGAGGGGTCCGATTTGGGGAGAGGGCAAATGGGGTACCTAGGTTGATCTTCTCTCGCATTTCGTTGCACGGCCAGCGGGTGGTCCCCAATACATCCGTTTGGCCGGGTTGGTGCAAGTTATGATGTTGACGATGGATTCTCGCCAGTGTTTTGTTCATGGTACCTAGCTGGAGCAAGAGGGTACGTACTGAGCACCATATGGCCTTCTCCAGATAGGTAGGTAGGTACTTAGAGTTGGAAATCAACAGAATACATCCTAGCTGCTCAGATACATTACCATGTAATGGTGGGAAAAAATAATAATAATGGATGTATAGAGTACACTACGCTAGGCACACATGTCGGTATTCCTACACATGTCGAAATGGACTCTGTGCTATGAATACAAGTACCGTAGTGCGTAGGTATACGGATACTGTAGCTTGGTAGAGAAAAGACACACGGTACGTATCTTTTTGTGTTTTGTCTCCTTTCCTCTTCCCTGACGATGGCCCCCCCCCTTCGGGTCTAGCTTGACTGCACCACGCTCGTTTGTGGTTTAGGCAGTACACTAGGCAGGCAGGCGTCCCCATGCACGCGTCCTCCCCACACTAGGCTGAATTGTATCTTCATATGCTTTTGTGTGAGAAAAGATACAAAGTACATGGTCTATATTGCTTGGTTGTCATTCCGCCGACCTGCGTACCCTGTCTTCCGACCATCGTCTGGCCTGAGGACTGCAGTGGTCGCCGAGTCCAGCCCACCCGCCATACCCTGGGGAGGGGGGGGGGGAATGTCACCTTTGTGCATTGCATTGTTCCGACTGGTACCTTGAGATTTCTATTTTTTTTTCTTGGCCTTTTTTCTCTCTCTCTCTCTATATTGTACTTTTCCTTGCCTGTCGAACCTGAATCAGGCTGTTCCTCTCTCCCTTACCCTCGCTCTTTCTCTCTGTCTCTCTGTTTCTCTCTTCCTCCATCTTCCTTTGTCTAGTTCTCAGTAGGGCCTAGACTTTTGGTGCTCTCTTCCCTGGTGCTCTCTTCCCAAATCCTGTGATGCGATGCCACCGCCACCCACACTACGTCCGCTCGACCTTCAACATAGCAAAGTATCATCAATTAGAGTGCGCGTATCTATCTAAACCTTTGGAGGTATTCTGGAAGGACCCCCGTGCTTCTTTTCCTTTTCTCCACGCCTCGCCTGTCCCCTCAGTCCTCCGCTGTAGTCTATGTCCCTTGCCTCCCCTCTCTTCCTCTCTCTTCCTCTTCGTGTCCCTCACTTAAACAGTCCTTCTCTCTTCCCCCCCAGACTATTCAGCCAATACTTGAGTCTTGAACCTGAGACAAGCCTCAAGGCAGATCTTCCTATTTCACCTCATCTCGTCTTGGCCAAGCAATTCCACGAAGCCAAGTCAAGCAACATCCCAGGTACCGTACGCCCACTCCCCTACCCGTCTGTCCACTCTCTTCCCCTGCCTACCCGCCTCGACCTGCCATCCGGGCAAGGTACACCACTACAAGTACATTGCCTCCTCTCCACTACGTATCTGTACCTTACGACGGTGTACCCGACCGAGCATTTCACCCGCGCCGCTTCTTCCTGGCGCACCCACATCCCTTTCCCACTTCGACCATCGCAGCGCTGCGGATCCTCCATCCCACCACACGCATCAGATTACGATGCACATTTACTAACCCGCTACTCCCGCCTGCTTCCCCCAGGGTCCTTTTTCCCTCTCACCTTGCATCTGCCTCTCTTCCCTCATCCAATACTCTCGCTTCCACGCCGGCCTCGTCCACATTCATCACCGAGGGCCCTTGCGAGCATCACCCAACCGGTCGCCCGCCTGCGACACAACCAACACCACTGACTACCCTTACCCGCGCACTCGACAAGATGGACCTCAATCTCCAACTTGCCGTCCGCAAGGTCTGCGTCTGTCTGTAAAGACACGCGAAGGGACAAATCTTCAACAACTGCCTCTTGTTCCACGGGAGGACATTCAAACATTGCAAGCTTTTCAACCAAACCTGGATAAACCGAATCAAACGCTATTCCGACCTACTCACACGACCTCTTACCCATTCCTAATCTTCATCCTACCGTAGTACTACTGAACTATATCACCCCACGAACCTCGAAAAAGCATCCCAAGCAGTCACGCGAGGAACCCTCTTCCTCTCCCTCCCTCTCTCCTCTCTCTGTTTCTCTACCCCGACCTCTACAGGTCAATCACACAAATCCGCCCGACATGGCTGGTGCGATGGTCTCGAAAAGGAGTACAAGACTGTTCCTCGAAGACGAAGGCGGCCACCCAGAAGAAGATCCCGCCTACCGCCCGGCAAGGCGCAATTCCAAGCAAGAAGACTGTATTCCCCTCGAGCTGGCCGACAAGTACCAGGCCAGAAGCCCGTCACGACGAGGCTCACGCGAGTCTGCGACCACTCCCGACTCTGCGGTCGACGTCTCTGTCCAGAAGCAAATAATCATGGTTGTGGAAGACGAGAAACCCAAGGCAGTCGCCCCTGCGGAGAAGAGTCCGGCGCGGTTCGACGATGCACTCACAACAGTTGCCGACCAGCTTAAGGCGCCCCTGGCCTCGCCGATTTTTCCGAGTATAGAGCGAATCTTGCCCATCGACGGGAGACCCATCAACTTTGGCGTCGTTGTCCCTGGTGTTTACCGCAGTAGCTATCCCAAGCCCGAGGATTTCGGCTTTATTCGGAATCTTGGCTTGAAGTCCATTGTGTAGGCCATCCCTGACTACTCATGTTTCACCGAGCCCCGAGTGCTGACCAATTCGACAGCACCCTTGTTCAGAAGGATGGTGTAGATGAGCCTTACACGGCCTTCATGTCTGGCAACGGCATCCGTCACCATGTGTTCAACATGAAGGGCACAAAGAAGGAGGCCATCCCCATCCGGACAATGAAGGCCATTCTGAGGCTGGTCCTGAACCGCGAACACCACCCGCTACTCATTCACTGCAACCACGGCAAGGTGTGTAGACCCCAATCATATCATACTCTCCCACTCACTAACACGGCTATAGCATCGCACTGGATGTGTTGTTGGCGTGGTCCGCAAGGTTACAGGGTGGGAGCTCAGTCCCATTGTGGATGAGTACAGGAGCTACGCCGAGCCCAAGATCAGAGACTGCGACATCAAGTATCTCACCGACTTTGACCTTTCGGATTTGTCAAACCTGTTCGTCCACGATGCCAAGGTGCGGTTTCGTATTCGGCACTTTGTCCGGGTGACCCTATTCAGCATCTTTGTCATATTTGTGTGGCTGCTGTCCGGTCATAGAATGCAGGCAACTGCCAAACGAGTCAAAGACGTGAGATGACCTTCTCTTGCTGTCGCAGCTTGCGGGTCCTCGCATGATTCCTGGCGTTGGGCGGATGTTTGCCGAAGTCTGAACTCTGTAGAGTCCACCAGACCACAGCATTATTTCAAAGAAATATGGGTCCGCATTGCCCAGCAACGATACCTTTACACGGAGACTTGAGGAAGATGGTGGATCCGGAAAGACGAACGGGGAGAGAGGCTGGACACACAGCATCAGTGAGAGGATGGGCGGCCAGGCATGAGAGTGAGAGGAACAGAGAGGACAGGGAACACGCAAAAGTTTGGCAACATCGACTGTTGGGGCCCGTGGCGCCCACTGAAATTATTAACTTTTCTTTGTATGGATAGAAAGAAGACGGGGACTCATCAAGGGCTGAGGTGTCTCCTTTTTGGCGTTAAACCCGGGATTCCTGCGGGCCACCGCATTGGGCAATTTGCTGTGTACAGATTCCCTTCTTCCGCATTGTACAAATAGCAGGGCGGGCAGACTGGTTACCCCCGGAGTGCAAGACTTTTTTCGTTATTGTCCTTATTTTGTTTTAATTTTCTTGTGTGCAGTAAATGGCTCTGGCTGTTATTTCTCTTTCAGTGTTTTATGAGGTGCATGAGATTGTTCTACAATATTATACAAACCCCCCACCCCCCATCAATAAGGACCGGTTCTTTTCCATCGCCTTGCTGGTTCCTCGTTGGGCATTGGCTCGGGGCTGTTCAAAACAATGCCAATGTGTGGATCCATCCCCAGACGCCGCCGTTTTGCGTGTCGACGTTTCGTCTCGTGACTCCCTGTCGTTCGATACCTGGTCGGGATCTTCAATAATCGTGCAGCGGTTTCCTTCCCATCCTTCGGAAACCCCGTTCTCTTTCTTGTCGGCTTGGTCTTTCCCGTCTCCTTGTTGTCAACTCTAGCCGAGCCAAGACGCAATGCCCGAGTGAAGCACATCCACCCACCGCTAGGCGAGGGTCGGATAAGCAAACGAGACGAGAGCTGCTACTGCTCTCGTACCCCCCCCCCCCCCCCCCCCCTTTCTTTTGCTTTCTTTTGCGGCCTCGTCGTTCTTTACGCCTCGCCGCCCCAGCGGTTCCTCTCCTTTCTCGCGGCCTCGTCCTTCTTGCGGTCGCCGTTGGCGTAGACCCAGGCGCCGGCGGCGGCGTTGGCGAAGCCCATGCCGATGGCGGTGCCGCGGACGAGGCCGCGGGCGGTGAACTTACTTCGCAGGGGCTGGCGGCGGCGCAGGGCGAGGAGGGCGTACAGGCCCGAGAGGGCGCAGGTAAAGCCGGCGCTGTCGGTGGGGAAGCCGGCGAGGTTGACGTAGCTGCTGAAGAGGAGAGCGGGCGCGAAGGAGCACGGGAGGACCTTGAGGGGGCGGGCGTGCAGCGCGGCGATCAGGATCGCGTGGATGGCGGGCGGGAGAGGGTTTGCTGCCGGGCAAAAGAGAGGGAGGGTGTTAGTGGGCGTGAAAGATTCAGAGGCGAAGGGGGCTCAAGGATGGGTCCGCCTACTGCCATAGTCGTGGAGTTTGCTAAAGATGGAGGATTTGGCGACCTCAGTGTTCGATGCGCCGTTGTCGGATGCCATTGTCGTGGGTTCTTCCTGTTCCGATCGCGCAAAGAAGAAGACTGGGCTCGTGATGCAGGTCGGAAATATCGTCACCAGTTTTTTCGGCGTCGACCCTCGGAATCCAGTCAAGAGCTAATGTACCTACCCAAGCTCCGAATGCAAGTGGCTCTTTCCCCATGTGGTGACGTGACTTATCGATAAGGAGGAAGCAGACAGGACCCTGGCTTGGATGAGTCAGCCGGAGCCGCATCCAATCATCTGGTCCGCGGATTCGGGGCCTCGGTGGCCCTTGTCAATTTCGACGTCCATTGAGTGGGCTGGAACAACTGCAGAGTGTCTTGTTCTATTGTCTGGTAGGAACGGACAACTGCGAGCGTTTTCTTGCGACGCATACGCGGTTTCCCGGTTCCAACGTTTACCTATCGAACCCCACAAAAAGGAGAAAAGGACCACCAAAAGACGCGTATTCATATCCGTCTCCCACCCTCGGACACGTTCGCTGGTTGATTGATCGGTCTTGATTCGAGCTAGCTGCAGCTAAGCTAGGTTACTTTTTAAGCTGGTGCGGGGGAACTGTCTATCCGGAGGGCTCCATCCATCCCAGCCTTGCCACGCCTATCTTGACAGATTGACAGAAGAACCGCCAATCAACACCGCATCGGCCGACAACAGCATATCACGACTACGGAAAACCCGTCGGTGATCCACAGCACACCGGAACAGTTCTTCGGTTGCACAAAGAAGAGACTCCTGCTCTCATTTCTCACTATAATCCCATCGACTCGAATAGCGACACCCTTTCGATTTGCCCCGGCAACCATCACCGAAACCAAAACACAATACCCATTCTCCTCACAAAGGAAAGAAAAGGGACCCAGGAAAAAAACCAACCCACTCGCAAAACGGCATCATGCCGAGCGCAACAGCCTCGGGTGCCGACGCGGGCGGCAGCGGCGCCCGCAGCCGCGAGCACAACCAGGGCAACCAGGGTCGGGCGTACACTGCAGATCAAAAGGCGGCGGTGCTGCGGATCCGCAAGTGCTCGCCGACGGCCTTTTACGACATCCTCGGCCTTGAGGAGGTGAAGACGACCGTCACCGAGAGCGAGATCAAGAAGGCGTACCGCAAGCTGTCGCTGCTGACGCACCCGGACAAGAACGGCCACGAGAACGCCGACGAAGCCTTCAAGATGGTCAGCCGCGCCTTCAGCGTGCTGGGCGACAAGGAGAAGCGCGAGAAGTTTGATCGCTTCGGCACGGACCCGGACTCTCGGTTCGGGCAGGCGCAGGCGCAGAACCCGTTCGGCGGGTTCGGCAGGCGGCAAGGAGGAGGCGGCAGCGGCGGAGGTGGAGGAGGAGGCGGCGGCGGCGGCATGGAGGAGATGACGCCCGAGGAGATGTTCCAACGCTTCTTCGGGGGCGGCGGGTTCGGCGGCGGCGGTCCGTTTGGAGGTGAGCTTTTCTTTTTTCGTCGCCCGCGTGCGATGACAATTACCAGGAGATTCGGCTAACGACGAAAAACGTGCAGGTGGCTTCGACACAGGACCCCAGTTCGTCTTCAACTTTGGCGGCGGACCGGGCTTCAGGGTGCACCAGTTCGGCGGGGCGCGGCCGCGGAGGAGGCCCCGCGAGGCGACGGAGCAGCAGGGCGGCGGGCTGTCGACGCTCATGGGCCTGCTGCCCATCCTGCTCCTCTTCGTGTTCCCGCTCATCTCGAGCCTCTTTAGCGGCGGCGGGCCGGCGGCGCCGAGCATCGTCTACGACGGGCCCAAGGGGGCCAACACGCTGGGCCGGACGACGCCCAAGCTCAACGTCAAGTATTTCGTCAACCCCAAGGAGGTCGAGGGCTTCACCAAGGGCAAGCTCAGCCAGCTGGACCAGACGGCCGAGAACAACCTGGTGCGGACGCTGCGGTTCGAGTGCGAGAACGAGCTGATGGCGCGGCAGCGCATGTACGACTCGGCGAGCGGCTGGTTCTTCCAGGACCCGGAGAAGATGCGCCAGGCCGACGCGTTCGAGATGCCGTCGTGTAAGAGGCTGGAGACGTTCCGCGTGGGGAGGTCATGAGAGAGAGTGTGTGTATGTGTCTAATAGAGAGGTTGGTGGATGCGTGTGTGTGTGTGTGTGTGTGTGGTCATCCCCCCCGAAGGGTTGTGTAAGCAATGGGAGTTTTTGTCCTTTGGATCGGCTGAGAAATGGACAGCTGCCGGTAGCCGTTGATGGGGCAGAGGAGGGGAGAGGAGAAGACGGGTTTCCTGGTCTAATTCGGCGTTCTTGGGAAAGAGATTCATAGCATTGTTTGAGGGGGGAAGGTCCGCGTCAGGGCGTCCCCCCCCTCCTGCGACACAATATTATTCCTATATATTCCGTATCCCATCTTCTCCTTCGTCCTTGCAGTGGCCCCGTGGGTTGTCGTCGTCGGCTGTGTCGTGCGAGTCTTCCGGGCGGATGGACTCAGATGCGGCAGTGTCCCCCCAAAAACCGTGAACGGTATAATCCTTTTCTATTCTATCTATCCCTCATGTCACATCGAAATTCCTAGGTGAACCACCACGCGTCACGGACAGCCTCTAGGCTTGCCAGGATGACTGATACATACCGCCAGCAGGGCGCATAGGCACCTGTATAGATGGAAATCCGATGCTCTCAGTGTAGACTATCAGGCTCTTTTTGTCTTCTTCTTTTTTCGGAATGGGAACAGTACTTGGATATTTTCCACGCGTACGGGGCCGCCACAACAACCACCCACAGTCGTCCGAAGCCTCCTAAGGACGGATTCTTTTCTCGCGACGGTGTCAAGGTGTTCATGTTCATGTCTGGGGGAAAAAAGAAGAAAGAAGAAGAAAAAAGTGCGCTCGAAACAGAGAGCTGCGCCGAAAGTCTGCACGACGAGTTGCTTGGATGGCGCCCACTGCGAACGATCGACGTTAAGGGTTTGGGGAGGGGATCGGAGAAAAAACAGACGCCGTTCAAACCATGTTTCCACCGTTGGGTCTTCAACTCGGCTTGAAGGGGTGACCTGCTATGTATGTCAGTTGGCGCTGACTGAAGGCCGGGTCGATCGCAGGGGGCCGTAATTTCGGCGTGGAAACTTGTCGGGCCGAGAAGGCAACGGCCAACGCGCTTCGCTTGCAGTATATGTGTGCCTGTGAACATCACCTTCGGTTTCCAGTCTCTCCGGCTCAACGCCAGAGCCCCTCCTTCGCTTGGGGTAGGTGTGGATGTTTGGGCCAGGAAGCATTTCAACCGGAAAGGGTACAATTAGAGTTCGGGACCCCTATCTCCATACCGTACAGCGCCGTCGCCTGGTGAGCTCATTCCCGTGTCGTTTTAATCTCTCCTTTCCCGTCGACAGCTGGGAGTTGTAGCGCACAATGCGAAATCAGAGCCGAGAGGATGCGCCGGGCACAGTGTTAATACAAGGAAGCAAAGGTGCGCTCAACGTTGTTCGGACCATGCGACACGGAGACCTCGACCGCCGGCGTCTTTCCTCGCGGCCGCAGGTTTGCTGTCCTTACTCATAGTGAGAGAGGTCCTGAGTGAGCCAGCCCGCGTTACAAACGACCCAGCCTCTCCATCTCTGAAGCAGGGAGAGGAGAGATGAGGGGACGCCAAGGTGGAAGGGCGATGAATGGACCCCACGATGGAAGCATATAAGGAACGCGTTTTGTGTGTCGGAACAGAACAGGCGTATGCAGGCACGACCGCCCCTAGCGTCAAACCGTCCCATAACCGCACGAACGGGCGGTATGAAGCATGTTCGAGAGGTGTCGAGACAAAGATCGGAAATCAAGCGGAATCGAGAGTGGAGCAAGGTTCGCGGGTGCGCTCATCATCCAGTCCTTTACTAATGCCCTCCCCCACTCCCTCAGAGGCATTTCATGCCGGGCCAGTTCATGCTGGATGGGGACTCGGCTCTTCAAGAAACCCAGTGGATTATGAGTGACCGGCTATTGGGCCCGCAGCGCGTGGGCGAGGCAGGCCGGTGTGCGGCCCTCCTCCCTCCCTTTGGTGCCTGTCTTGAAACGGAGGCTCGGGCGCTTTTTTTTATTTTTATTTCTTTGCAGTTGAAAAGGCCCAGACGATGCACACCAGGCCATATGCGTGTGGTAGAGCGCCTCCTCATCGCTGAAGCCTGGTCTTAGCACGCACGCACCGGTAATCCGGCGACGGGTTGTTAGTGTAGGTAGATCAGCAGCGCGCTGCCCCTCCCCCTTCGGAGATGGAGGACGACGGACGGCGACGCGGGGTCTGTCCCTGTTCCGGAAGTGACGGGCACGGAGCACCGCGGGACCCGTTGCGTCATGGCGCGCGGGGGCCATCCATGGGGCGGTGGGCGAGTGGCTGGAGGCGGAGGAAAGAGCGAGTGGAGGAGCAAGCAGATGTGTATCTAGGAAGTACGTACCCTTTCTGATGTGGCTGAGTCGTTCAACGCCACATCTTCATTTACCGATGCCAAACGGGGGGTAATCGTTTCTTCCTTTGTTCCAGGTATTTTCCCCGTAGTCTTCGATTTCGGACGTTGGTTCGATGGTTGAAATACGGATACACGTAGGATTAATACCCTGCACGGTGCCTTTTATCCTCGTCCTTAGTGTGCCTAGTTTCCCTGTCACCGCGCTGAGCTTTCAGGCAAGCGGGTGGCTGATTGGGGGGGTTTGCCCGCTCGAATTGGCGAGTGGACGCGCAAGCCCCCGGGGGATGAAGCTCCCGCGTCTGGGAAAGCTTACACAGTACAGGCGAAAATACCTGCTTGACGGCGCATTGAAGCCGCGCGGGTGAATAAGCCGCGAAGGCTATTGTCGTTTGTCCCCTTGCGAAGACCTCCCGAACCAAGCCGGCGTCCGCGTATGACCAGAGCAATCAGTCGCCATGAGGTGAGGCGGGTGTTGATGGCCACCTTCCATGGCGGTTCTTGAATGTGATGTGCAAGTCATATCTGAAGTAGACTGTAGGATCAAACGTAAGGCGGCAAAGAGACAGGATGGATGGGATACGTACATACACAGCCAGCCGATCTAGTATCTTACCTACCTGCCTACCTAAGCACACTGGGTACGGATACCTAGGTGGGGGAGGGGGAGGGAATGGTGCACCGCCACTTGTCCATGTCCATGACCTGACCATGTCCATCGTTGCGTTGCGTTGCGTGTTGCGTGCATGCAATTGCGCGCTGCTCTTACCGCCGCCCGTTTACTGTCGCTAGAGCACCAAGGTGGTCTTGGCTTCCTTCGGTTTCCAGGTTCCTCTCTCACTTGCAGCCGGAGGCTCAGACTCGCACACTCACTCTCACACACACTCCCTTTCTCTCTCTCTATTTCTTCTCAAACCAAAATTGTGCCATCCTTCTTGCAACCTGCAAAAACTGGCTGCTTCATCATCTCGGCTACCCGTCACTGTCGATTTCGACCAGAGGCCGGGGAAAGAGACACAAGCCACCCCCATTCAACCTCCCGCCCGACGGCCGCCCCAGGACCCTGTTTTAGCGGTCGGGGCTATACCTAATTGCTTGCAATAACCCGGAGGTTTTTCTATTAACAGCCCGCCCGAATGACGACACCTCCTGGAGCTTCACTCTCATTCATTGCCCGCTTACCCGACAGACCCCAACCCCCCCGCCTGCAGCTCCAACAGCTAAGCTGCCTTTCTTAACTCGAGCAGTAGCAGTCCGACAATACCCTGATCTGCGCCCTTTCCGTCCTTTCTCAAGTTCGCCAACGAGCAGACGCATTCCCAACAAGGACAAACCCACTACGCCCCAGTCCGAGACCTCGGGACCCTCGTCGACATGGTTACCCGAAAGCCCGTCTCCGGCGACGAGAGCTACGTCGACACCAACACCGCCCCCCACGTACAAGACATGCGAAAGGAGCTATGGAGTGCCACCGACTCTCCGTCCACCGACGCAGACAGTGTCTACGACCATGACTTCCAGCAAAAGGGCGCCGCCGCCACCCTGAACCAGCAAACAATACCCCAAGATGTCCCCGATTCGCTAAGGCCAGGCGGGGTTGCGGCACACGGCCCCCAGATAAGCAATGGCATTATGAACCATGTTCAAGGCAGCCGGTCCCCAACTTCCGCCGGCGTGCCAACGGCCGACCCAGACAATATCCCGCTGGTATTACGGCCGGGTCCATCGCCAGCACGATCTGATACAAACCCCTTCAAGCGGAAGGAGGTCCGGGCAGACTCCAGCTCAACACCGCCGCCCACCAACAGTCCTCCAGCGATGACCCCGCTGCAGCCTCTGTCGCAGATGAGCACCGGCGAGATGAGTAACAATCCGTGGCAGCCAGCCCTCGACCAGCATGCTCAACGAGCCACACCCGTTAGCCCACAGCAGTCTCCGCCCACCCGCGATAGCGGAGACTCGGGGCGTAATGCCGGGGCCGCTTCTCAAGGCCCCAACCTGCCCGCGATACCAACGTCTCCAGCACTGCTGTCTCTGCCCTCGGAACCCGCCTCGCCGGCGTGGGACGACCTGCCGGAGAACGAGACAAAGAAGCCAGCAGAGGCGCCGAGGCCGGCCGAGGATGACGTTGCCCAAGCCCAACATGCGTGGGATGACTCTGGTTCACAGAAAAAGGGCAAGGGGAAAGCCCCCGCCCCCGTAGTACCTCCTCCCATTGCCGAGGACGCTCCCATGGATGATTGGAACCTCATTGATGTTGATCCGCCCGCTGGACCGCCGCCGGGAAGGTCGCAGGTACCTGAGCAGAACCACCAACCCTCTGAGCACTCTGCAGGCGCAACGGTACCTCCAGCTCTACCACCACGAAATGACGAAGGTCAACTGCCCCGGCAGCCGCCACGCCCCGTCGACAGCAAGTCCGAGACCTACCAGATCAAGAATATTGCCTGGTACGACCATAGCACCGAAAAGAACCCGCGGATCTCGCCCATCCTCGTCCAGAATGCCAACGGGCCCTGTCCGCTGCTGGCACTGGTCAACGCGCTTACGCTGACGACCCCGGCTACTCTGTCAGACACAGCACTTGTTCAGGTCCTGCGCTCCCGAGAACAGATCAGCCTCGGGTACCTTCTGGACGCCGTTGTCGATGAGCTCATGAGGAGGACGCAAGAGTCGCTGCCGGACGTGTCTTTGCTTTATGAATTCCTCAAGGGGCTCCATACGGGCATGAACGTGAACCCGCGCTTCGTTCCGACTCCAGAGATTGTCAAGGCCTTCAAGCGCACTTCGCTGACACACTTGCACCCGACGGAGCGCGACGACTTGATCCCCGGGACGTTTGAAGATACCAATGAGATGGCGCTGTACTCTGCCTTTGCCATCCCGCTGATACACGGATGGCTGCCGTCCAAGGACGACCCGGCATATGCCGCTTTCGACCGCCAGGCTGCCTCGTTTGAGGACGTGCAGACGCTCCTCTTCCGGGACGAGGAGCTGCAGGAGAAGCTGGGCACGTTGACAGAGGAAGAAGAGGAGGTTTACTCTGATATCCAGGCGATCAAGGAGTTTTTGGAAACCTCTGCGACGCAGCTGACACGGTCGGGTCTGGATGTCATTACGAAAGCCATGAAGCCCGGGTCCTTTGCCATCCTCTTCCGGAACGACCACTTTTCCACCCTCTATCGGCACCCTACGACACATGAGTTGCTTGTGCTCGTCACCGACGCGGGCTATGCCACGCACGACGAGGTCGTTTGGGAATCGCTGGCAGATGTGAATGGCGAGCGCACCGAATACTACTCTGGTGACTTCCGCATCGTGGGCGGCCAGGGCGAGCAGTCGCAGGGCAGCTCCCGCGGGCAACTGGGCGTCGGCAACAACACGGCAGATGGACTCAGGGTCGACACTGGGAGGGGAAACGGAGGAGACTGGACGGCTGTGCAGGGCCGCGGTCGTCAGAAGAAGCCCGATGCGCCGCCAAACCCACAAGACACACCTCTACCCAACCACGAGCAGGAAGACAGGGACTTGGCGCTTGCTCTCCAGCTGCAGGAGGAGGAAGAGCAGCGGCACAGGGCGGAACAGTCTGCGCGTCGAAGAGAGAGCTTGCTGAGTGAACAGTACATTGAGCAGCAGGCGCGGTTGCAGCAAGGCCCCACGACCAGACGTTCTGCCAATAGGCAGGCTGCACGGGCGGGCGTGGCACGTAGTACGAGCGCTTCCACCACGACGGCTTCGCTCGTCAGCCGGCGCAATTCCAACAGCAGCTCAACGGTGCCGCCATCGTCAGGGCGTCAACCGGGTCAGCCACCGCAGCTGGTGCGGCCACTCGTACCGCCGATGGCGCCTGCGCGGCGGCAAGGGGTGAACAGGCCGGCGGATGAAGGGGTCGACGATGCGCCTCCGACGTACGAGCAAGCACAAGCGGCAGCCAAGTACGAGCCGCCGCCCGGGCATCCTCACCATCACGCGAGCAGCCCGACTACGGGGCGGTATGGGAACGGGGCCGGGCCGTCATTCCCGCTTTCGCCTCCTCGACAGATGGTGGGTGGTGGTCGAAGCCGGGTAATGGGGCCTGGCGGAGTGGTAGGAAGCTCTCAGGGAGGAAGGGAAAGGGATTGCATCGTCATGTGAAGGGCAGACCAGCTGGGGCGGGTCTCATGAATGGACGCTTTTGTTTTTGTCATGTTTGGTTTCTCTCTCTCGCGCGCGCGCGCACGCGCAGGCATGAACGTTTTGAGGTCTTGGCGAAGCGAGAGACAGAGTTGCAAGCAAGGTTTTTTGTTGTTGCTGTTGTTGTTATTGGTGTACAAACATGTATCAGCGGACGGCGTTGGAACCATGGCTTACGGTCAGTCAAAGTGATGAATCGAAGAGCTTACGAAGATAAAGTTTGGTTACCTATTCTCGGAATGTGTGACTGACTGACTATACCTAACTATACGGAATTGCAAGTCGATATGCGCATCCATCCATCCATCGCATCTCCCAATCGGAGCTGTAAGGGGTGCTGCAAGGTACATAAGGTGGAGAGAGAGGAGCCTCCCGATTTGATTCGCGGGGTTCCTAGGTGGGCAGGGCAGGTACCTAGGTAGCTTGCTTCCTAGGTACCGTAGGAGTCAGGAACCCCGCCGCTGCATCGTGCCCCAGAGAGGAGGGCGGTGTGGTTTTAGCGCGTCTTCGTCTCGGCTTTCCCCCACCCTGGAGGGGGGGGGGGGTCTATGCCCGCGTCAGTCATTACGGCGATTTGATGTCATTGAGGAACATTCAATTTCTGGCGCACGGAGCTCCCGGAACACAACACAACTACACAACACCACGCAAGCACGGATTGTTTGCGAGAGGGGAGGTCTATCTCAGATCGGATTCTTTCTAGATCATTTATTATCCATATCCAATTACACAGAAGCCCCTCAATTGGTATTCCATCTGACACTGACCCACTCGGATTCGAACCGCCATGCCCCTGATCGAAGGGTGGCTCCCGCCCACGCGGGAGAATTGGGAAACCATCACGACCGTGTGGCAGCTCTCGTGGCCGGTGGTACGTCGGATATCCTCTCCGTCATTTCACCTCTAACGCGTACGATTCCCATCGGCAGTTCGGCTCCCTGCAGTATGTCGTCAGCTGGTACGGCATGGGCAAGACGTCGGTCCAGAGCCGCCTCAACGTCCCCGGCCGCGTCGCCTGGTTTCTAATGGAAATCCCCGGCGTTACGACGCTGCTGTACATCATGAACACCCTGCCGGGCCAGGCAGGCATTGACGATTTGCCGTGGCAGAACAAGGTGCTCGCTGGCTTATTCGTACGTTGCCCCTCCGTATACCTCTTTTGAAACCCGTCATGGGCTGGGGTCCATGTGGCTGACTGGACGATTTCGATTTCCGCAGACGATACACTACGCCTACCGCGCCGTCCTCTTCCCAATCATCCAGCCCTCCATGTCGCCCATCCACGTCGTCGTCGCCCTCTCGGCCGTGTCTTTCCAGCTCATGAACGCCACCTGTCTGGGCAGCTACCTCGCCGCCTACGGCCCCACCACCCAGTCGCAGTGGGACAAGGCCCTCGGCTTCGGCGGCATCGCCCAGTTCGTCGCCGGCATCGCCATCTTCTACATCGGGCTCGCCGGCAACTACCTGCACGACGAGGAGCTCCGCGAAATCCGCCGGGCGGAGCGGCGCCGCCAGGAAAAGGTCGCCCGCGAGCAGAGGCGGCAGGGCGCTCAGGCCGTCAGCGTCGACAAGCACTACCGGATCCCCGATGCCATGCTCTTCCGCCACATGCTATTCCCGCACTACTTTTGCGAGTGGGTCGAGTGGTTCGGCTTCTGGATGGCCACCGGGTGGAGCGTCCCCGCCCGCGCCTTCTTCCTGAACGAGATCTTTGTCATGTTCCCGCGCACGAGGACCGGCCGCCGCTGGTACATCGAGCAGTTTGGCGAGGAAAAGATAAGGAAGAAGTGGACCATCATCCCGGGAGTCTACTGAGGGAGTCGCCGCGCGAGTCGGGACGGGAACAGACGAAGTCTGAGTGAGTGAGGGATGAGAGACTGTGAGCTCTTGAACATGGGAATCTAGGCGAGCCGATGTGGTCGTCTAAGCTTGACTGTGAAGCCATGTAATGATGATTGCAAGATAAGCAAGCTGAGCTAACTTGGCTTTGTGCGACGCCCATGACAGTTGTACGTATCGATAAGAGACTGCTTCTGTGATAAGTGAACCACGCCATCTTCGGTATTAAGCCCACCCCGTGCTTTGTGCTCATGGCACCTGGGGCCGGGGGGTCGGGCATTGGGTTTCTTGCCGTCGCTCATAGCTGGTTTGATACCGCTACCTAGTCCTTCGCTGTCTCACCTGGTAGGTTGATACATGGCAAATCTCAACTTGGGCAACGTGGCTTTCCTCAGGTTAGAGACCATGTGAGGGACCAATCTCAACGCCTCCCTCCGCTCAAGCAAAGAGCTCTTCTTCCAGCCCCACGAGGGAGGCTCTGAGAATTGTCTTACGCGTCCAGTGAAGTTGCCACCCAGTGCGCATATAAACTTAGCTATGCTTTCCGATCAAAGTTCTGGAGGGCGTGCCTAATGCAAACTACTCCCAACAGTGAGCGAATCAAAGATGCCGCTCACCATTGATATACGCAGGCGGCACCTGAGAACAGACGAGTTGGGACGGTACGAGCTTCAGATTAGGCCTTCACGCCTTTGTATGCAATCTGACACCGACCTTGTATTATAAGACAATTGGTTTAGAAAAAGGTCACATCATCGCCGCCTGGACCGCCCTCCAAAACCCCCAAGAGTCCAATCCAAGTTCACAATGCGGCTCACCTACCCCGACATCGTCCGCCGGCTCTACGACCTCGAGCGCCTTGCCGAGCCGCCAGCCCCGGGCGAGCGCGGCGGTTGCATGTCGAGCTACGACCGGCGGTCTCGCTACGACCCCGAGACGGACCGCTACATTGACTGGGACGCCAACGACGACGGCGGCGGCGTCATCCGGGAAGAGGGCCAGTGGGTCGTCGCCTTCGAGCAGCGCGGGCCCGGCGTCATCTGGCGCAGCTGGTCCGCTATGCCCGACGTCGGCCGCATCCAGATCTTCATCGACGACGAGCAGGATGGTGAGCCCGCCGTCGACATGCCCTTTCGGGACTTCTTCGACCGCTTCCAGGGCATGCCGTGCAACTTCCCCTCCATCGCGCCGACGCTGTCGCGCGGCCGCAACAGCTTCATCCCCATCCCGTACAACACGTACGCAAAGATCCGCCTCGGGCCCGGCTGGGGGGCCTACTATCACTTCACGTACACGTCGTTCCCGGAGGGTACGGGACTGCCGCGCTTTGACGGCACTTTTGACCGGGAAGCGTGTCTGGCCCTGGCCGCGGCCGATCGCAAGCTGAGTCGGCGCGGCTGGTCCGCGCTGCCCCGGGCCAAGGGCGACACGCTGGAGACGCTCACGGTCACCGTGCCTCCCGGGGAGGTCCGCGACGTGCGAGAGATCACGGGAAACCGGGCCATCACCGGGATCCGCGTCGTGCCGCTGGAACTGCCCGAGGATCCCCAACGGACGGCCCGGGTCCTGCGAGAGCTCGTCTTCCAGGTCACCTGGGACAATGACGAGTCGCCGAGCGTCTGGGCCCCGCTCGGCGACTTCTTCGGCAGCGTCCCCGGCATCCAGACGTACCGGGCCCTCCCGCAAGGCTCGACGGACGGCGGCGGCTTCTACAGCCACTGGTTCATGCCCTTCTCCGAGCGCGCCGCGATCCAGGTGGGCAACGACGGCGAGGAGGAGCGGAGGCTGCTGTTCACCGTCTGCCACCGCCCGCTCGAGAAGCCGGCCGGGGACATGCTCCGGTTCCACGCCAAGTGGCACCGGGACGCGTTCCTCGAGAAGCCCGCCCGCGAGGGCCGCGGCATCGACTGGCCCCTCCTGATGCTGGGCGGCGGCGCCGGACCGGGCCGGTTCTGCGGGGTGCAGATGCACGTCTGGAACCGCTGGGAAGAGCCCGAGGTGCCGGCGGACGACTGGTGGTACGGCGTCGGCGGGCGCAAGTCGGTCGACTGGTGGTGGGGCGAGGGCGACGAGAAGTTCTTCGTCGACGGCGAGCGGTTCCCGTCCACCTTCGGCACGGGCTCCGAGGACTACGTCGGCTACGCGTGGGCCGCGGAGCCGCCCTTCCCCGCCTTCGAGAGCGCCTACGCCTGCCAGCCCCACGTCGAGCTGGACGCCAACGGGCACACGTCCGTCTGCCGCTTCCACGTGTGCGACGACGTGCCCTTCCGCGAGAGCTTCGAGGCCTACATTGAAAAGTACAAGCCCAACAACTGGGGCCGCGCCAACAAGTGCCTCTACGCCGTCGTCGCGTACTGGTACCAGGGGGCCGGCCTCCGCGACGCCTACGAGAGCGTCCCGGTGGGGGAGCGGTACTTGGAGCTGAAGAGCCCTGCTGGGACGCGCGGGGACGAGCGGTAAATAGAATAAAATGAAAAAAGAAGGGAAAAAAAAGGGAGTCTTTGGATCCTGCGCTTCGTGGGCCTAAGAACGAAGGAGAGGGGGGGACTATGAGGCGATCGTCTGACTCTGTAATGGCCAGAATCTGCCACTGGTCTTGCATCGTCGGAGAATGATCCTCTCGTATCGTGTACACCTACTCTGTAGTCTCAAGAGGAAACCAGAACTCGCAGAAGAAGACTGCATACGTGACGGGAGAAGCGTTGAAACTCATGTAAGTTGTGAACCAAGACCAGGACTTTTGTTCTCTCTCATATAATTACACATCTCTATAACTGTGTTCTTTGAAACATGGTAAATAGAGCTACCTATGAGCCCCAGTAGATGATCACGAGCTTTCGTATGGCGTGTGTGTATAGGATGCCGACACCGAGCCCGTGGGGGCTAGAAATCACCCTTCAGAACTCAAAGACAACTTGGGATTTCTGGATGCAGGTCTGAGCGTGACCCTGCCTTGCAAAGACAACGCTAGAGTTCAAGTACCGGAATCTCAGACAGACCCTCGAGCTAAACCGACTGGTCATATGAAACAGCGTGTCCGCCGCTGAGACAGTCACGATAATAATATATTGCCACCAAGCCATCAACCTTCCCTTTCTTTCCGCCGTCCTTATCAGCTCCCCCATGTCTCAGTTTCCCTTGTGGCTCTCCATGAGGGACGTATCGATTCTCCAGTCTGTTATAGAGCCCTTGGGTCGTGCCCGTTATATGCTCGTCGTCGGGGTCGCGGACGCCAACGGTCCCAGGGCTCCGCAGTCACGGTATCGACAATGAAGTTGTCCAACGGCATTCCCATGTGTTCGAGGGATGCGCGCCTCCTCTACCTGAGCTGCCTCACTTGCACCGTTCTCCTCTTGGGAGCTCTCGGTTACAGCGTGTGGCTGCACTCCGACGTCTACACATCCTCCCTATTCGGAAGCGCCGTCGACACGCTCACGAACCCAAACGGCCCCAGCAATGGCGCAAGTTCGTCGATGCAGAACGAGCCGGATCTCAGTGGGTTCAAGTATTCCTTCATATTGCCAACCTATGTAGGCCTACCCCCCCTTTCCCCTCCCGGCCCAACTCTCGATGAAAATCGTCGTCAACTAATTGCCGGGGATGCCCAGACGGCGGACATACCGCTCGCCATCGAGTTTCTTCAATCCTTCATGTGCCTCTGCACTGACTACAGGGAGATCAACATCCATGTGATCGTGTCCGACTCGTCCGAGCACGAGCTCTTCCGCTCGGCATTGGACGACCTGGCGCCTTGCGGGGAGAGGTTCGGCATCTTCCCCGTGCCGCCGGGGAACGTGGGCGGGTCGAGGCCGAACGTCGAGATCGTCAACCTCTTCGACATTCTCCCGCCCGTGTTCCACACGCTGACGGGCGGCAACATCACGGCCGACGACACGTCGGCGCTGCTCCGGGAGCGCGGCAAGTTCCAGTACCAGACGATCAAGAAGCTGGCGGCGGCGGCGGCGCTCGACTACGACTGGGCGCTGTGGGTCGACTCCGAGTCCATCGTGGTGCAGCCGTTCAGCGCGCGCCGCTCGTTCGGCGCCTACGCCCGGGCCCCGACCGTGTGGCGGTCGAGGCTCGCGAACCGGGACTCGATGCGGGCCATCATGAGGGGCGCCGCGGACGTGCTGCGCCTGCCGGAGGACACGTTCGGCCCGGACTTTTGGAACCTCGAGAGCCAGCAGTGGATGGTTGAGAGGGCCGTCCTCGACGACCTCGTCCGCCACGTCGAGGCCGCCCACGGCCGGGACTTCTGGGCCGTCTGGGCCGCCCACGGCGGGCCCTTCGAGGTCAACCTGTACAACCTGCACGTCCACTCGAGGAAGCTGGAGACGACCGACCCCATGTTTGGGAAGTACCGCATCCTGGAGACGGAGACGGAGATGGAAAAGTACGGCGTGTGTAAGTGCAGCTTCTTTTTTCTTCTTTTTTTTTTCTCTCTCTCTCCCTTGTTTTGTGTACATGTCGACCCGCAAACCGTGGGCTATCCAACTGTCTTTTGCTGATCCTCTCCTTTCTTCTTTTTCGCAGTGGAAGCGAGCACGCAGCAGATCAAGAACAACATGTCGGGCACCGGGCTTCTGGAGAGAAGCTTCTACTTCTTCCGGGTGCCAGACATCCCACAGAGGCTCTCGAACATGCTGCGCGATCACGGCATTGACATTTACCGGTTGGACACCGTCGAGGGCATGGTGCCGGAGGAGATTGACCGGTTCCTCCTCGACACGCCGATCAACATGCTGTGCTCGGCCGTCCCCCAGTTACATGAGTGGTGGGAGGAGAGGAACGTGACCATCGACCAGTGAGCCCTGCAATGTATTGGTTTGCCTATTGCAAAATCCGATTCTGTAGTCGAGCTTGGAGCTTGGGGTGGTTCCGTTTATATCGTTGTGGATGGAGCGTGGGCTATGTTAACGACATACAGAAAATGATACCAAAAAGTGGCGCTCGGGAGGGAAGGGTTGTGTATAGTTTGATAGATGAAGCGTGTTTTGTTCGAGGAACTTCAATTACCAACGCCTCTGACGCCATTGTCAAAGCTACGTCGTAGGGCAAGTGTTACTCCGGTTGTGAGAGAGAAAATTGGTACACTGGACGGAACCGGAAGACCCTGATCCAAGCCCTACAATAAAGGAACAGGGGAGGGAGGTTCTTGTTGCGGACCCAGTTCCTAAATCCCGTGGCTGGTTGAGTCGGTTTCAAGATTTGGGATGGTCATTCCTGGTTCCCCCTTTTTGTCCATGTCTAGACGCATATGATGAAATTGTAGGCCGGGGATACTATGTGGCTAATGAGCGCTCAGGCGTGCAACCCCAGAACGCCCGTCTTTACCTTGGTTCAGTATTGGCTGGGTGGATTTGCTAGAGGCATCTGGACCGCGTACGTCAAGTGATCCAGCAACGGCCGGTAAACAATGTGTCCCGGACTTGGAACTGCCAGCGATGGATCGTCGAGCTTGTTGTGTGGTTGAGGGAGCACGGGGTGCTCCGCGTTCGGGAGCGTTTCTGATAATCGGAAACTCCCGGCGTCGTGTAAACATTCCATCCTATCGTATTTACACGGGAGAATGAGATGAGGAACGATTCATTCCGTCTGATCGTACCTGATAAGTAATACACGGAAGAGATGAAAGTGACGGTCCGTCATGGAATGAAATCAAGTCAATTAATAAAAACAACGACAACCTGCTACCTTCTGCCACTAATGATCTCTCTTGTGAAAACCCTCCTCTCGTGCGTCTCCTAAACTCTTTGCTTCATGGAAAGGGACCCGTCGAGCCCGCATTCTGGGCAGGTGTGTTGCGCCATGGGTCTCGAGAGTCAGCCCGGGGTTTGGTCTCGCCTTTGATGCGGCTCCAAGACCTTCGGATTGTCCCCTTCAGGTTGAGGGAGCCCATCCGGTTCCTCAAAGATAAGGTGCTGCCGACTTTGTTCGGATCTGAACTCTCATCTGGCCTCGTCGAGCCTGTTACTCTAGGCTCATGAAAAGTGACCTTCTTGTCTCCCTTTTCCTGGTCAACAAGGGGGGTTTTATCTGGATTACCACCTTCGTCATTGCCAGAAGGATCAAACACACCCTGCTTGCTTTCGACAGCTGTGTCAGACGAACGTTGGTTTTGCCTCCGGGAGGCCTTCGTCTGCGCCCCGCCTTCCGTTGTGTTACTTGCCTCCTAGGCAAGATCTCCCTGATCGGTAGGCGGGGTTGCATCCGGATCATCACCTTTGTAATTGCCACGAGGATTGTATAGATCCTGATTGCTGGTGACGGCTGTTTCGGACGAACCTTGATTTCGCCTCCGGAAGGTATCATGTGGTTGGTCGACCATTTGCATTTGACTGTCTTCAGTGGTCTTCCCGACAGTGACAGCAAGATCCTCGTCGGTGTCATCGTCACTATCGAAGGAGTATATCTCGGGGTCAGCACCGCCCGCAAGACGCCACATTCTGAGCACATCCCACTGCAGGAGCAGGATGTCGTAGTCGGGTAACAGTCCACGCTCTTGAGCTTTAATGGTGATGATTTGACCATTCTCGACGGGCCGCCAGTTTGACAGATCGACAGCTGCCAGATAACACTTGGGATCCGGCTGATTGGGAACCGGCTGCTTGAAGATGGTGATAGGGTCTACTGAAAAGTCGACCAGCGACTTCAGAGTTGGGATAGTTGTATCTTTCAACCAATGGAAGCGTAGTTGGATAGAATATTCCTCTGGTAGTGGCTTGAGCTTTTTGGCAGCTCTGGGTGGGGTGGCTCTTGTAGATTCGGATACGGTGGGAGTGGATGCGCCTGTGTTGTACTGGCCGTCGAAACGCCTGGCTTCTCCCATCGGTTCGAAGGCGAAGTAGCCCCGCAACCAGCAGTCGTGCAATTGTGGACTTAGCGATATCATGTTTGCACATGTGTCAACAATGTTCATGTTGTTGGTGGCCCCAGGAGCATAACGCCCGCCCAGCTTCCGGGAAAGTGTGCGAATCCGATCCTCTCCCCAAAAGCGTGCCATAGATACCAGGAAGCTACCCCCCGTATAATCCTGATGGTTCAACGCCGAGAACGGGAAGATATGGCACTTGTGGGGGTCTGGGGCTTTTGTGACTACGCATTGTTGTCCATCCTGTTCGGCTGCCTGTAAACCAGCCCACATTAGCACAGAACGAAAGTGGTAGTGAGGTTTAGTACTTACCTGATCGCGCTCGGTTATGCTTCGTTGGTAACGGTGACGATTACTATCATTGTCTCTGGTCGCCTTTCCACGAACAGCAGAGGTGTCAGCTTGATCTGGAGCCATCCATCGGGTAAAGGGTAAGAGGACTTACAAATCTTCAGAAATTTCAGAAAGTTATTGTTGATCATTGTCAGCTGGCCCTCTAGAAGCATCGCTACACTGGGATCTCGCAAATCTTCAAGTAGAGAAGCTACTTGACTGATCGGTATGGTCCATAGTGCAGCCCACATAGGGGCTAGGGCCACGTGTTCATAACCCTGGTCCCTCAGGGCAGCTTGCACCTGGGGGATCAGAGCCATTCTTCTTTGGTGCTCGTCGAGATATCCCGACGAGCCTGGGCGAGGCGGAGAGCACATTTTATCGGAGTTCAAAAGACATTGAGGTTTTCTTCGTCAGATACCGTTGGGTGGTGGACGTCTACACGAGTGTAGAAGTCTCGAAGAAAGTTGAACGACCTGTTGATTCTGGCCGTGTTGACGTTCCCGGCGACCGGGTCCGACGGTCCGGACATGTTTGATGAGACTAAATGAGAAGATATTAGTCTGAAGTCTCAAGTTGGGGTCAATTTCTCGTCACCTACTCGTCCGATGATGGGCGAGGAGAGCAATCTCTCGTCACCTACTCATCCGATGATGGGAGAGATAGAGTATGGATGAGAATGAAGATGAAGAGGAAGAAGAGGTTGAAGAGGAAAAGTTGAAGTTGCGAAAGGGTTGGCACCTTCCCAGGGAAGCGGCTGTTGGTTGAGTGCCTGTGTAGGTAGGCCCTAGCCTGCAGGTACCTTGGTGAGCAGGCAGGTGGAGTAGCTCCCCGCGTGACCGACTACTGCCTGCCAAAGAACCTTTGTGACAACTAAGGTGACCCCCCCCCCCCCCCCCCAGCACTCATCAACAACAAACGCTGGCACTTAAGAGCCTCTGTTTGGTACATCTATTGATGCTTAATATCTAAGACTGAGTACTGCATCAAAGCGTTCCATAGGACATCAACAGCATGATGACGCTACAAACAGCAATAAGGCGGTTAACAAAGGAAGAAGGCAGGACTCATTGGCTTATACATGGAAGCGCGGACGGAGATCCTGAGTTTTCCAAAGGTATGGTTGTATGTAGTGGATGGTGAAGTCGAAGTTGCTTATATTGGGCTTTCATGTTGCGAGGAGGAGGGTGGTTTGCATTCACACCCCTTGGAACAAAGGTACGTTGAAAGTAGTTATCGTGCCTAATTCTTTAACTCAAACACGCCGTATCCAACCTCAGAATGTCGTCCCACCTAGGCCACCCAGCCAAAGGAGACATTTTTGTTTTTCCAACGGCTATATGCTCTGGCACCATGCGCTGCACAGGTCGGCAGTATGCAGACACACGCCATCCGCAACAATAACAAACACGCGGCCAGGTTTTCAGACGTGCATGTGGCGCGGATAGAGTGCAACATAGGTTGTCTGAATCTAGGCTACAACAAAACATCTACAAGGACTCTAGCCCCTTTAATAAAACGACTCAGGATGCCATTCGTCTGTAAACACCAAGTCCTTTTACCGTCTTGATCCCGTAAAGGCAACGGGAGCTGTCTAGTTGTTTTTGCAATTCACTGCCCACCCAAAGCAAAGCGTGCTTTGTGACGGAGCTATGATATATTGAGTGAGACGACGCAAATCCCCCCAGCAACGCCGAACCCGATCGCCCGCCTTCTCTCGCCGGAAGACCAAATACACCAAAGGACAACCTTACTGCCTCTTTCCCCTGGGCGGTGGGAATCGTGTCGTGTCCTATCCGAACTTGATCCCGGAGCCGGGGTTCCAAGTGCCCCCCTGCGGCTGCTGTTGCGATGGCTGGTTCGCCATGTTCTGAGCCGGCGGCTGTCCGTTGGCTGATGCCGGTGCCGGAACCGATGCGCCGCCGGGTTGACCCCCGAACTTGATGCCCATGTCGGGCTGCCACATGCCCGCCATGGAGGCGCCAGGTCTCGGGTGCTGCGGCTCAACAGTCGAGCCGGCCCATGATTGGATATGAGCCTCTGCGGGTGAGTGTCTAGCAGAGCCTTGCTGCTGCTGCTGCTGCTGTTGCTGCGGTGCGGTGCCGGGGACTACGCTCGCGTTGAAGTAGGACTGAGACCGCGGGTCGTAGTTTGAGCCGGTCGGAGAGTGGACCGGTGATCTGCCGATGCTGAGGGAACCGAGTGGCGGCATGCTGATCTCCCTAGCACATAGTCAGTAAAGGGGTTCGTCGAGCTTCAACTTTGACTTACTCTTCGAGGCTCTTGGCGTCTATCCGCCGCTCTGCAGCCCATGCCTTGACTGGATCCCGGAAATTCGGGCCCACCACCTTGCTCAAGTCGTTGTAGAACTTCCGTCCGACATCGACATTGTTGACGATCTCCTTGTACTTGTAGTAGGCGTTGTCGAGCCTCTGCAGCGCCTGCTCGCGCTCGCGGCTGCCACTCGACAAGTTCTTCTTCTGACTCTCAAACTCCCGGTTGACTCTCTGCACTTCCGACATCAGTCGCTCTTGTTCATCCTCTTCCTTGGCGACGGCCTCAATCTCAGCGTCGTACAGCTTGTCGAGACGCTTCTCAAAGAAGTCCTCAAAGTGCGCCGGGACGATAGCCGTCGTCGGGTACGTCCTCTCGAGACGTGCTGCTTCCTTGAGGATATCCGGCTTGATGTCGTCCGTCCTGGCCTTTTCTCGCAGCGCGTCCGCCTTCTTTCTCCTCTTGGACTCGAGACGGAGGACATCGTTGTAAGCTCCGCGAAGCCTTCCTATCACCGGCTTCAGGGGCTCTGGAATGTCCATCCGCCTGGAGGAAGGCACATAGTCCATGATCGCCCGATCCGAACCAGAGAGCATCTCGAGCATGTCTTGCACCTCCCTGTATTTGTCCCTCACGACAGCATCGCTGCTCGTACTGCTCGCAAAGTAGCCCTCAATCTCTGCCACCTGGGCCCAGAACCGGCTTCCCTGAGGGTCACTTCGACTATCGGGCCTTGACCACCGATCAGTGCCGTACTTGCGTCTCATTCGGTTGTCCTCTTCTTCTTCCGCAGCAAGGATCGCCTTGCCTTCATTGAAGACCGCAAGATCGGCAGTTCGCAATTTGTCGATATCTGAGAACGCTCGTTGGATTCGGCCGATGGCGTCCGCTTGTCGTATCTCCTCCGCATGATGCACCAAGCTGTGGGGCAAGCCCAGCGGCTTCTCTAGAGCCTGCAGCGAGCCTGGTAGATTGATGGAGCTCAGCATGGCATGAAGCTTCTCAGTTTGCGTCTCCATCTGTCCAATAATGTTCTCGTTAACTATCCGATCGCGAAGTTGCTCGTATATGGTGATGGCGGCGTGGACAGAGAAAGGAACGAGTTTAGTGAAGAGTGCAGGGCCGAACTCGGCCTGCTCTCCGACGTAATCGAAAGGGTTTGCCACCTGTAGAGGCACTCTGGCAACAGCCATGTTGGCTCTGTCGAGAGTCTTGAGCTCCGACTTTGGCGGGACATGCTCTTGAGTACGGGTCAGTCTATGCTCACCCCCACGGGGTCCATCAACACTCACGAAGGTAAATCACGTCGTTGTCCTTTTCGGCCCGCTTCAAGTCCTCTTCGACCTTGCGCTTCAAGCCGTTCAGGTCCTCGAGCACTGCCTTGTTAAGGTAGCCGCCCCTGCTCTCCTTTATACCCTCGCTGACGCAGGCCACAGCGTCCTGCAGACGGGCGACTTCTTCACCGTATCTCCTCTTCTCAAGGCAGTCGCGCGCGGCACGGTACTGCGCGGCACCAGCGAAGTGATGGTGCTTCGCGCTCATGTGGTGGATCCAAGCCGAGCTGATAGCTTCGCTCTTCATCGCGGCCTCCCCCGCCAAGTTGTAGAGATCCGACACGCGGGCGGCCAGTCGGGCGATGATGGCATCTTTGTACTCGTCCATGGCGGCCTTCTGCCAAAAGCACTCTTGGGACTGCGCCAGGAGCAGGTACGAGAGCGACTCAAGGGTATTGGCATCCATGTCCTCGGGAGGGTCGGACATGCGCAGCTCGGGCAATACCTCCTTCCGCATGTGGTCCAGCACCCCGGCCGCCGAGGCGAAGTATCCGGCGGCGGTTTTGAGCCCTTCGCCACCTCTCGACTGCGCAACAGCAAGCTGCGAGTATAAGGAGGCGAGGTTGTAGAGGATATTCATGAGTTCGTACTTGAGGTTGTTCCGCACCATCGGTCGCTCGGTGTTGTAGCCCAGGGCCGGGTACCACGTGAATTCGGCGCCAATCTAAGAGCACAGCTATGTCAGTATCCTAGAGGGAGAGACAAAAAACACCCCCCGTACTGTTGCGAGAGCGCCGAGGAGACGTACGTCAATTGGGAATTTGCCGCCGATCCACACCAGCTGCCCCGCGTAGGCCTGGAGCTTCTTGACGCCACTAGGGTGCGGCTCCCTCACGTTAACCGCATCCCGTCGCAGGGCGTCAATGACCTCGAGGTCCTGACGGAACATGTCTGGGTGCTGGTCATATTTGGTGTTGATGTACTGTCGTATCGTCGAGGAGAGCGACAGGTGGGTGGATTTGCGAAAGGGCAGCGACAGGATGTTAGATATGCTAGGCATGGCACAAGAGAGCAGTCAGCAAACCTTTGTTCAGGTCTCGATAGCGGGGGCAACGGATAACTCACGTTGTCATCTTGAACGAAGACGCCTTGGAGTGCTGGAGGTGAGGCGTTGGAGGAGCTTCGAGCTACGCCGAATGCCTCATGACTTCATCTCTCGGAACATGGAAGAAGCAGCCCAACGCTGCGCCAAGGCAAACTGACGTTGGCGGGGCTCGGGCGCAATGTGGCTTGACCTGACTTCGGCCAGGTGGGGGTGGGTCGTGGCTGACACTCTTTCAAGGCTAGTTAGTGGCTGGCTGGCAGTCCTATCATTTTTGCCTGGATGACAAGGCCAAAACTGTTCATCCTAGGATTTGAATATGTGTTCCCATGAGAGGCAAAGATTTCGAGACCGTATGTACTCAATCAAATTGCTTTGAAGTATTTCCAACCTCTTCGTATCATTTGTTGGTACACTAGTTCTATAAACTTTGGAAGGAACAGTCGGCTGCCTTTCCTTGCACCTGCTATCAAACCTCGTGGTTGACTTCTGAAAAAAGGACATCCAACGTCCTGACCATGACTCCATACGTCCCGGCCCTGTCGCTCACGGGTCTATGTACCGATCGCAAGATCCGTCCAAGCAATCCAATTCTATGTGCAATGCCACAGCAGTAAAAAGAAAAATGAGTAAAATTTGAAAAAAAAAGTGGCGTTTGCCTGAATGCTTTCAATAGCAAAGCTCCCTATCGTTCTCAAACGCGCAAGCTCAATGTGAGCTGTATGCCAAATGTCTGTAGCGTGGGTCGAATAGAAGAGGTTATTGATGATAATGTAAGGATATATCACGGTCAGCGGATTATAATTATGATGCTGTCCAGGGGCGTTGTCGTATTATCCGTGATGATGGAATGCGGCGGCCCCGGGCAATACGAGCTGTTGATATTGCCGGCTTTGTTTTGCTGCTGACGCCTAGACCAAGAGAGGAAGCGTGCCATTTCGGCCCGATGTCTTCTTGTGCCAAAACAAGCCGGGGTTGTCCTGGGTGGACGGAACGAAACGTTGGAGACGAACTGCAGATTGTGCCTTTCCCTCCTGTTCAACCCTCGCAAAGCCAGAATCATCAGACCGTTCGTATCATGAGGCGTGAAGTCGCGGAAACGAGCTCAGCCTGTATCGTGTCGTCATGCACGGCGGGGGGGCCACTTCATGTAGAGGGGATCCAGACAAGCTCGATGACACCGTCAATCTTGCTCATGGGCTCGCCGTCCTCCTCGACCCAGCGCTCGTCATCCTTTCTCCTTGTGTAGACCTGGAGCACTGATCCATCCTCTTGCACGTGGGCCTCTTGAAGCTCCCAAGCGATCTTGCGGCCGGTCTTATGCAGAGATCTGCGCTGGGGACCGAACATGTAGTCCAAGTTCCAGCCAATGTCATCGGGGGCGGGGGTGAAGGTTCGCTCCATCTGGTCGAGGTTGAAGTCGATGCCTTGCGGGTAGTGGGCTATGCTGAAGCCGTTGGCGATGATGAAATCGTCGGCGGTGATGAACCGTTGGTAGGAGCAGTCCTCGCCGCAAGCGTGGGCAACCTTTGAAGATTGGAAAGGCTTGGCGAAGTGCCAGCCACCGCCCTTGTAGTGGTGCAAGCTCAAGGGCTTGATGCCAGACTCGTAGAAGCCAGCCGGATCGCCGTACAAGTCGAGCTGCCACAGTTCCCACAAGTTGGTGAGGCGGACCTCGGTGTTTTCGTAGATGCACTTGCGGAGAAGAATATCGCCCTGGGGACCCCAGCCAGAATTGGCCTCCTTGACCTTCTGCTCCGTCTTGCATGACTCGTAAAGCTGGTTGACGGCGGCTGCGAGAGGGACACTGAGGAAGACGCCGGCACCGCCAAAAGCCTGGGACCCGTGGCGGTGAATAGCATTGACGTCTTCGGAGAGGGTTCCGATGTAAAGAGGGTCCAGGTGGTCAAACGTGGCGAACTTGTCGATGAGACCGTGCATGCTGGGGAAAAAGGTGTCATCGTCGCAAGTGACAAGCCACTTCCTCGTCTTCCGCTCGGGATGGTTGTAAAGGTAGGGGACGAGAGTCAGGTAGCGGACGGCCATCTCCATGGTCGGGTCAGAGTGCGCCACGTCAACGTCAATACCAATCCTCTTGAGCCTATCGCTGGCGTCCTTGAGCTCGGTGTCGGTGGCGTCGAGAAGCAGCAGTAGAAGCTTGCCGCCATTGGACTTGCCGTTGCTGTCGGTAAGCCAGTGAGACCACTCCTTGATGGGGCTCGTCTTGGGGTCATTGAACCGTTTGTAGGTGGTGGAGACGGCGAACATGAAGTCGGAAGCGTTCACTGTGGCGGGGTAGGGAGACTGGGTAACGGGAACTTCCAGAGGAGGGACACATTCCTCGGGAGCGTACGACTGGCTGATATCAACAGTCTTGAACTTCTGGGGGAGGAAGTCCTGTTCCAAAAGGGTGTAGCCCTTGCGCTGGATGGGCTTGCGGTTGAAGGTGACGTAGCGCTTGAAGTAGTGGATCTTGTCGGCGAGGCCATACTTTTCCTTGATTGTTTTGATGTGGTCGGTGTCGACGTTGCAGTTCATGACGTGAGTCGACGAGGGGGCGGGCTCGGCGGGGATCTTGTCGGAAAGAGACGAGGACCCATGGGACTTGACGGCATCCAAGGGCTGCTGGTGTGCAATGGACGACTTGACGCCGGCTCCCGTCTTCAAGATACGACCGCGAACGTCGATGGCGTCGTTCCGAAGGGTCAGGGCCATGATGACCAATATGACGACTGCAAAAAGCAGCATTCTGGCGAGTGGATTACGCATACTGCAGGCGTGATGCGAACCGGGCAGCTTAGCTCCCATTGTCTGGAACAAAGCTGTAGACTGTTTGGCGTCCAGCTTGACGGTTGTGAGTGGGGGTCGTTCTTGGTGAAATCGGGGGTGGAGGTGAAAACACACGTGGTCGTCGATGAGAGGTCGCTGTTGAGAAGTCGAGTATGCCCTTTGCGTGATGTACGAGCGGCGGCGACTTCAAACAAGAGCTCGACGATACCAAAAGGTATGCTGGTTGGGGGAAAGGCGGCGCGTTCTCAAGTGAAAGCCGGCATGGGGGGAAAAAGAAGCAGAAAACAAAACACGAGTACTAAAGATAGCAACTAGGAGTGCTTTTGAGCGAGTGACACGATCATAGGACCGGCAGGTGATCGGGAAAGCTATCGATGGGAATCTCTGCCGCAAGGAAACAGGAAAAGCAGAGAGACTGGCGATATCCAGATTGGTGACGTGAGCTGGAAAAACGGAAGAGAAGGAAAGGAGCTGGAGGGGAAGGGCGGGAGGAGAGGGAAGAAGAGGTAAAGAGGTCTGGAAGAAGGAAAAGAGGACCCGCTGGAGCAAGGCGTACGAATAGTGTGCGTACACTTCTGAACGGGAGGCTAGGGTAATTAGGAGAGACGGGTCCCAGATGATGGATGGCAAGGTCTTGGACCGCTGTATGTGGAAGACGGTGTGGGCGAGAGAAAGACAGAGATAAACGACCTAGGCAGAGGAGTCCCTCCATTCGGCGAAGAGTGACAGACTGGGGGGGGGGGGGACAACTACGGGGGTGGGACGAGAGATTCAAAGGCAAGGGGGGAGGGGTGTGAGATTGGAATGAGATACTACATCTTAGACACGGGTATGGAGCATACTGTACTCCGTAGTGGTAGCAGTAGGGAGGTAGACAGGAAGAGCAGGGGTTGGAGTGATGATGGGGCAGGAGGGAATGAATGGTACCAGTACTATGTATACTCGGTAGTAGGTATGGAAACGGGAGTGGGATGACACGGCGCGGGATAAAAATAAAAAGAGGGACCTGGACAGGAAGAGACAGACAGGATTGATTGAGCGAGCAAAACAAGAAGTCGCTCCTCCCTCTGCTAGCTAGCTATACATACTAGTTGGTTTGTTTCTCTGTGTCTCGCTTTGCTTCCTCACATACATAGTGTATGCGGTAGTGTGCACAACCAGCGCAGGGATAGGTGAGGGGGGCTAGGAACTGGGAAGCGAGAGACAGAGAGAGAGAGACAGAAAAAGAGAGAAAAAGAGAGACTGACTGGGAAGCAGAGCAACGGAGTCGATACGGGAACGCCGGTGGTATGGATGATTGGATAATTGGTTTTGGTCGCCCAGGGGAAGGAGATGGAGAAAGAGAATGGGGGGCCTACCATGTTGAAGAAGATGGCTGGCTGCCGTTCCTGGTCGGGATTGGATTGGCGCAACGGTATCCGTACAGTTAGGAGAATATTCATCGGTCCGGATACACAAGGAAGGAGCGGCCAGACAGAGGGGAGGAGCTCTGTACGGATACACCTACGCAGTTGCCAGTAGGCACACTACCGGTACTAGGTACGTACGGAGTAGACAGGGGATGATTGACGTGCGTGGGAGGTCCAGATCAGGTCCTTTCTCAAATGGGAAAGAACCCCGCCACGTCTCGGGGGGCGTTGGTGTACCGTATCCATGTATCCGCACCGTGCAGAAACGTGCACTGCCTTCGGTACCCTCCCAAAAGCACGTTTCCTACCAAGTTCCTATCGCCTAAGGCTTGTTGTCAGTGTCATCAGCCACAGCGGCCCGAAGCACCGGTCGTCGCCAACGACAACGGCGACGCCGACGACACTGGCGCAGAGGTTGAAAAAGCCACAGCCGGAGCCAAGTGGGAGACGAAAAAAAGACAAACAACCCGATAAGAGACAGGATGCAGTGGGAGGCTACAGTACAGAGAGAGCACGACCGAACCCTGAGAGTTAGCGCTAAGCAGAGGGAGAGGCAGGGGAGCCTGAGACCGAACCTTGGCGCGGAAATGGGACCTGCAGGCTGCGTCGTGCATGGGAATACAGCCGAGTTGGAGGTTGACAAATGTGGGACGAATCAACTGTCCGTCCGTCTCCGTCGTACACAAGAGCGTTGTCTGTCCGTCACTTACCACTTGTCTCGTGCGTGCTCCTCGTGTTGGGCGCACACGCGGCAACATGGAACATGCAGCGACGACGCCGGTAGCAAGCAGCAGGAGCTTGGTCTGATGCCGGTGGATATGCCCATGCGGACAGCGGGTATGCTCATCTACTGTGGCTTCTTCAGCTCGACGTCTGTTCTTCGACCGTTTGCATCCCATCTTTGTCGATTCTCAACCTCGAGCATCGAGGGATATGGAACTGTATGGCAGAGAGCTGTGCCGGGTGCGTGTGCCACTGTGAGAAGAGGGGGGAATAGATGCCAGTGAAGCGCATAGGTAGACGTTACCTAGGTATGTACCTAGCCTGCAGTCGACGCTAGCGTGCACTAGGTGTATTGTGGTGTGCATCAACGTTATCGCCGAGCTCGACCGAAATCTGGGACGCTGTACGGAAGACGTCGTTACGACATCGTGACGGCGAGCGAGAGCCTAGCAATTCCCCATGTGTCTCACGAATACCTACTCACTCGCTGCGGGCAGGTTCCTTGAATTGTCGTGTCGAGGGTAATTACGTGCTTGCTTGTTGATATGGGACGATGCTATCCCCCAAGTGAGAAAACACGGGAAAAAAAAGGCGGCCTAGTGGACAGACACCAATGCCGACGTCGGGGGTTATCCTCGTCTTGCCGGCGCCTGAGACGTATACAACACTATTTTTAAGTGCGTGCGTTGCGTGCGCGAGACACCGAGCGATCTGCTCTTTCACTGACATTCCCGCCGAGACGGCATTGGTAACGGCGTCTGTTACCGACTTGCCTCCCGAGTCCGGCACTCGTGATGGGAACCAGCGTTGGATGGGCGCCAAGTAGCGTAGGTACGTAGTAGCGTCCTCTAGAGCCACCGACCGGGCTGCAGTCGAACCAAGCCAAGGTAGCCGTGGAATTGGTGGATGTGTACTCCGTACTCCGTACAGACTATATAGTGCTTGCTGCACTTGCTTGCTTGCGTGCGCGAGATAGCATGGATGGGCTGGCTAAGATTCGCTCTCGAGCCCTTCCGGAGTGGGCGTGTCGAGTCGTGGTTGTTATCACAGTCCATCTACTCCGTACTGTAGGTAGGTAATGGGTGGTAAATTACGGAACAATGTGGCAATGCATTGAATTTGACCTCGACAAGATGCAACGACTGGGGGCGAGGAAATGACGAATGAATCCGTATCAGTTGGGGAATTAGGGCCCACCGTCAGGTGATCCCTGTCGCCTTATTGGCCCGCAGACCACCAGATCCCAATCGCACATCTCGTGGCGCTGCAAACGTGCTCGGCGGCAGGTGCACGCGATTGGAAGGTGAGAATGCCAAGTTTCCTCGGTGAAGAATAAGAATCACGAACAGGTAGCCTGTTAGCCAAAGCCGATTGGCGTGGGCGGCTCTTGCTTTTCGCTCTCAGGGGCTTCCCTCCCTTCCTTCCTTCCTTCCTTCCTTCCCTCCTCCTTCCTCCATCTCGCCCTTTTCGCCCCCCTCTCGTCCCTTGACTCTCTCTCTCTATCTACACCCCCTCCCCTTCCCCCCCCCTCTCCTTTCCTCTTTTCCCCCCCTCTATCCCGTACATACACTAATTGAATGGGTAGGCAGTGGGTAGTTATTTGCACTCCCCGCTGAAAACTTGCCAGATTGGCCTAATACACCACACTTGCTTGCACACACACACACACACACACACCAAACGACTCGACAAAACCGGGAAGCTAACTTTGGAGATCAGGTCAAGCGACCTAGAATCTACCTTCCGACCCCGCCGAGACTACTGGCTCCCATCAAGTACCGTTCCCGTACCCGCAAACCACACTGCAATCTCATCTCTTGCTTGACGCCATGTGCCGAGCGAGGTCGCATTTCATCAATTTGCGGCCTCACACCCCATTCGCCTCTACCCCTTCGTTTGCTTTCATATCGAAACGCGACACCAAATACCAACTGCCACCTTATTCTGACACTAGCGCTCTCCTTGCCCGCAGATTCCCTGCATCCTCGGCGACGGGCACGAACAACTCTTATGTCGCTCAGCTCGCTACTCGACATACGCATACAGAGAAGAAAGAGAGTACCTACGGATACCCCTGGCCCATACAGCAAGCACCGCTGATCGTGTAGCCGATTCGTCTCGAGATCAGATCCCCAAGCTACACGACTGGTTCCGACATCCGCCAATGGCAAGCAGGGACAGGGAGGAATCATCTCCCTGTTCAATGTGTATGTGCCAGTCCCATCAGACAGGGCATCGGCTGAATGATGCACGAAACGCTCTTCAAAGCACAAAGGGCCTTCCGACAGACCAAGTCGCCGCATGCCGTGACTCGGGTGCCAAACTGCTTCGCCATCGTCATCATGGGTCAGAATGGAGCACTGCATCGCACTGTACTGCACTGCACTAAGCGTCGTCAACACGGGCTCTTGGTCGGTATGCATAGCCTTCTTCTGGTGCCACCAATTCTGCCGTCTGCCACCCGCCGCCTCTGAAGAATTACTACCCGAATGAAACTACGGCACAAAAGTTGCTATTTTTCGCTGCACGGAAGGGAAAATTGGGTCGCCTTACGCGTCGTCTCGCCCGTTCGTCCCGTCTTGGTGATCCAGTTAACCAGTGCCTCCCCCACAAGGGTGGCCAAACACCTGCGTAACGTGCATAGTACGGATACATCGTCCATTGTACGATGTACGTCGCCAACTGCACCACCGCCAGCTTCAATCAGCCCAGCTACGGCACTCCGTTTCTGGTCTCCAACACCGCGGCCACCAGTTCACGACTGCCATCTCCACTTCGTCATTTTCTTCCCTTCCAAGCCGGCACCCCATCAGGCGTGCCCAGTGTCTTTCAGAAGGTCACCGGGCGATCTTCTACCCTCCCTGGGAGGCCAACACGGCTCGGATCTTCAGCCATGTACGGAGTACACTACGGACGGTCCTTGGGCCCCTTCGGCCAACCCCATCCTCTCCGTCCACAATGGCTACTGAGCGCTTTGCCGGTGATATGTCATTTGTGGCTAACCACCGGTTCCCTGGCGGCGACACGGATACTGGATTTGTGCCCACCCTCGGCTACCAATCACCTCGCCAGTCTGGGCATCCCGGTCAACCCAGCTGATAGCGACTCTTCCGATTCAAGCACTTTGCCAGCACTGTTACCGGTAGATTTCTTTTCCCCCATGGACCAAGCAATACGCAGATCCTGCTGCACACCGCAGCCGATCAGCATTTCTCTGAAGGCGGTTAGTGGCCCAAGATGTCTATGTCCCTTTTGCTATCCATTATGGAGGACACCCTGCCTCGAACAATAGCGGGTGCTAAGAGCGGCTGTTGGTCCTGCTCAATAAAATAGACTTTCGGGTTGCCATTCCGCATTCGGCCTGCCGTCCCGCAGGACGCTCAGAGTTGGAAAAGTCAATTGTGCTGGCCATGACCCGATCAGTCACTGTAAAGATGGTGACTTGGCAAATGAGCTTAATCGAATCGAGGAAGAAGAAAATACTGTAATTGATAAGATGACGGCTGCACCGGCGAACTGGTCGCACTGCGTGCGAATCCGTGCAGCGGACACAGAGTTCCACTGACGTACCGGTACGCCCCGGTATACAAGGCCAAGGCGGTCCCTCTTCTAATCCCAAGAACGAAATACCTTGGCTGGGGACAGACGGTCGATCAGCCTATCCATCTGCCCACTCTCAAAGGCATTTCTAGCACGATTTGCGGGTCGGTCTGCATTTGATGACGACGACTGCTACTAGGTACTGCGTGCGACGACTCGGGCCAGAGACAAGCTCCAACAACCGTTTCCTTGGCGTGGGGATGAAGGTTGGAGAGAGGCGCAAATAATGGGGGCCCTGACCCGCCAGCAAAAGGCCGAAGCAAGCAACGTCGACATTCCTGGCTTGCGAAAAGGCAATACGCATCTCAAGGCGTCTCATAGCCGTGGAGTGGATGACGTCCGCCCAAACCCTGCGCGCCGCGAATCCAGTTTCCAGGTTCCCTCCGCCAGGCTCGCCTCAACTGGAATTACCCTCAGCTCCTCCTCTGGGGACTCCGATCCACCGACTCCCAGCTCTGTGTCTTCTGGCCCTACACCAGGTGTGCCTTGCTGTGTCATGGCTTGCAGAGTACCTATTCGATCCGGACGAGAGTCGTATGCAACATACCCGCCTCCCTGGAATGCTAGAAGTGCGTCCCAAGATTCCACTGCCTGCGGAGGCCAAGCTTCGTGGGCTGAGCGAACAGATGAACCAGCCTTGCTGTCTCTTCGTCGTCGTTCTTTTTTTAGTACCCAAGACAATTACAATCCACACGGCCAACGTCGTCTAAATTGTGACCCCTCCTGCGGATCGTCAATTAAAACCGTTTCAAAGCTCTCCCGATGATCGGCTCGTCTTGCTGCTTACCACAGTAAACCATGCCATACATACACTGTGATGCAGATTTCCCTTGCTGCGTCCCCTGCCAGCACCGGACGGCGGGTTCCGGTTTGGGGGCCGGGGGGGGGGGGGGGGGGGGGGGGTTGAGTGTGTCCGACTTTGTGCTGGAGCCGACGGCAGCCGGCAGCCGGCAGCCTCGGTCTGCCTGGCCGGTTTGATCAACCGCTTCTTGGAGTTCCATGACAAGTCATTTTGCTGTTAGGCAGACTTGAGCGTCGGTGTCTGTATGTGTACGGTATCCGTACTGTTCGACTACACGGGCGGCACTTTGGGCGGGAGGACGTCGAACCTCCGGCCGCGGGCAAACATCGCGGTCTGACGGGTGTGCTGGCTGGTTTGTTCCCTCGTCTACACCCGGCACTAGGCATGTGCTGCATGATCTCTCGTACCGGCTGTAACGGTAGAGGAATGGTGCCCTAAACACCAATCATTCCTTTTTTTTTTTTTTCATCTTTCGTTCTTGTCCAGCCAGTCCCCTCTTTGCTAACCCCCTCCCCCATCATATACATCATGGGACGGCTTGGCGGGGGGGTCGTTGAAACATGACAGTCTAGCACGAACCACGCGGCCAACCAGACATATACAATGGTATCCGGCCGAAGTTAATTACCCCTGTTAGGTAACTAATCTTCACCCCCCTACTGCAGGACTTCACTTTTGGTGAATATTCCCCCTCTACTATGATATCAGCTATGGGGGGTAACATCATAGGGGTAATTAACTTCCCCCTGCCACCCTATATAATATCCATGAAGCACGCCTGTAACAACGGCGCAGCATGTGAGATCAAGCCATTCGGGCCATCCGAGTTTGTCGCCCCGCATGAGGATTTTGAGATCGACCGACGATTGCCATTGTCCCTGTCAGAGGGACTGATGTGGAAGACCACCCCCTGTCCCCCTTTCATGCATGCCCGCTGCCAACCTCGACGATGGACGATTGGCGTAGGCTCGGCTTAGCTACCTCCGCATGGTCGGGCACACGAGGGTAAGTAGCACAAAAATGTCGAAATCTGAGGCTGTCTAGGTATCATATTCCACCTGGAGTCTTCCGTACTGGGGGGGGGGGCGTCCCTTCCGTGCACCAGACGCATCTCACATCGTACTACATTGGGGGCGGTTGTCGAAGCTGTCAGGGCGCATCATCTCGGTCTCTTACATGTTTCCATGTCGTCTTCGGGAACTGTGCCACCGTGCCGCACATTTCGGCCGCCGGCTCGTGGGGGCGGATGACAGGCTACGGGAGAGCGCCGGGCCTACCTGGGCTGTGTGTAAATGTTATGGCACACATATGCAAGCCCACGTCAATCTGATTGCACAAGGCCATTTGTTCACGAGGATTTTCATTTGACGTACCAACAGGCTAACTTGTAAAAATACTACAACGCTTCGAGGATATCTTTCAGTCTACAACACTTCCATGCCCAGGTCGCTCTCACCCTCCCTTATCCATCACCTACCCCCCCGCCACCTACTGGTATTGAGTTTTGTGGTCGCCCACGTCTGGGCGCGCCACCCCGTCCTCGACGTAACCGGGGAGCTGCTCTTCGCGATTCAGAGCGCCCGAGGCGGCGGGACCCTGGCCGGGTGGGTGTGACCCCAAGGGGCCGCCCTCTGGGTGGGTGTATTGAGGCTGGCCATAGGCCGGGATGCCAGTTCCCTCGGGTCTGCCTCCGCCGTACTGTTGTTGCTGCTGCTGCTGCTGCTGAGGGATAGAACCCTGAGGAGGGGCCTGGCCGGGCGTCGCCTGGGGGAGGTGGACCTCTGGAAGGGGCTTCTGCTGCTCGGCGGTGCGAAGGGCGTCGAAGAGGGGCTGGGCGCCCATGGGCCACATGCCGGCGGGGCCCTGGGGAGGGACCTGGCCCTTGATGATCTGGTCGACGGTGACCTTTTGGCCGTAAAAGGCGGCGTTGGCGTCCTTTCTCTCGGTGACGACGGTGCCGTCGACCTGGATGCCGGCGTAGAAGCCGCGGGACTTGACGTAGGAGAAGACGGGCTTGATGGATGAGCTGCTGCTCCTGCGCTTCTGCTTCTCGCCGGGCTTCAGCTTGCCGTCGTCGGCGGCGGCGGCAGCGGGCTTCGCGTCCGCCTGCTCGGCGGCGTCCACCGTCTTCTTGTCCTCGACGTGCTTCCCGCCGAAGGAGGCGCCGACGTCCAGCACGCCGCCTGACATATAAGTGTATGTGTCAGCGACTTGAGAATATATAACTTCTGTTAGACCCTCGGAAGGATGAGGTGGCGCGCACAATACACAGTTGTCCTATTTCTCTATCGCCTCCGGTTTTCTGTGAAGATCTAACAAACGCGCTTACGTAGATATGAAACTCAAGCAGGCCTTGGGGTCCATCTTCCACCCATCACTATCCAAATTTCGATGTAGGCTGGCTTACTCAAACCCCGAACCTCACACTGGTCCAAAACTCCTCGCGATGAAATCACCCATATACTCCTGAAAAGGCAGATTATGCTTGCACCTGGTTTGCTTCTCAACGAACATAGAGGGCTTCGCGGCTGTTGATGACGCAGACGCAGTCGTAGATGTCGATGCCGATCATGAAGCCGGCGCCGAGGGCGTGGACCTGGATGCCCGAGGGCGGGCTCCAGGAGCCGTCGGGTAGGCGGGAGACGAGCACGCCGGAGCCGGTGGCGCCGGAGAAGTTGAAGCCGGCGCGGGCGGTGGTGAAGATGGCGAGGCCGACGGCCTTGTTGATGACCTTTGAGGGGATCTTCACGATGGCCTTGTGCTCCTTGCGGGCCTTGTCCTTGGTTGGCGTCGTCGTCGTCGTGGTCGTCGTGGGCTGCGCCTGCGCGGGCACGTCGGACGTGATTCCCTCCTCTGCGATGGCCAAGTCAGCTGCTGAAAACACAAAAAAATAAAATAAAATAAAACAAAAAAAACATGGGTAACGGGGGACGAAGGGCGGACATACTGCAGAAGCTCCTGAGGATCTTGGCGGCCTTCTCGCACTCCTTGTCCATGGTGGTGGGCAGGAAGCTCTGGGAGCCCATCTTGTTGGCAAGGGCGTTGATGGGGACGGCGGCCTTCATGCCGATCTGGGAGAGGCGCTCGCCCCAACCCTTCTTCTCCTTGTGGGGGTCGGCGATGTAGGCGGCGTGGGCCGCCGCGGGGTCGACGTAGGGGCCGCCTTGGGTGTGGACCGGTGCGGCGCCGCCCGGGGGCCCGTCGAAGTGTGCGGCGTAGTGGTGGCCGGCGCCGTGGTCGGCGGGATTGTAGCCGGGAGCGGCGGCATCGGCGTGCTGCTGCTGCTGCTGCTGCTGCGGTTGGGGAGCGTGTGTGAACTGCGGCTGGTTCGCGGGCGGCGGACCGGGCGGCGGAGGGGGGAAGTACCGAGGCTGGCCCTGGCCGACGTGGTCGCCGCCGGGAAGCTCGCTCTTCTGGTCGGGGCTGTACTGCGTCGCGCCCGAGGTGTACTGAGGTGGCTGCTGCTGCTGCTGATGGGTATCGTCGGCGGTAGGAGGGGGGTAGAGCTGCTGCTCCGGCTGGATGGGAGGCTTCTCGGGGTTCGTGCCGGACATTGTAGCGGGAGATGACGCTGTTGTCGACTGAGTCGGTGCGTCGGGAAGGGGGAGGGGTTATCCAAATGGAAAACTGTAAAGCTCTATATCTATCGGGCGTATTGATGCTGGGGCGAAGACTGAAGGCGATTTAAACTTGGACGTCAAGTGCTTTTTAAGTTGGGCGTTGGTTTTGGAGAAAAGCCGATGTGGAGCTTTTTTTTTGCGTAAAGCGCTCGTGGCGCAGCGCGGAGGGAGACGTCAACGTGGGATTTCGCAGCTCAACAGGGTTTGGCATGGGTTGGTTGGGCTGCAAGCAACTCTCTGCCATCGAACCCGGTGGCGGCAGCGTGATGTAAGTTGCCACGCCCCATTGCATTGTTGTACGGCGCAGACCGACGGGAAACGGCGAGGATACGATGCGGATGCATACAGAATCGAGAGCTTTCAGTATAGCAGGAATCCAGAGTGAGCTGCTCACTTTGACAGAATGGTAAGAAAAGAATGATATTCAAAATGCATACGAGGTAAGAGTTTCGCCATGTGTACAGTGAAGTAAGTGTATTACGACGCAACTCGAGCGCGGACAGGAATAACGAAGCCCGATATACACAATATCTAGGAGGATATAACGGCTTGATTCCCCCCAAAGAAAGCTGACCGGTCCAAGTTTAGTTTGTTGTTTATTGCCATCGTACTCTGTATTCCATCTCGCACTATCTAACTGGCGAATCATCTTTAGTTACTGAGTATTGCAGCACTATCACTATATCACTAACTATACCTACTAAGGTTGGAAGGTTATCTACCGCGCTACTAGCAGCAGCAACAGTAGACGCTCTGCCTGCTGAGAGGAGCTTACAACAATCTACCCTAACTACCTACCTACCTACCAACCCGGTAGGCCTAGGTAGCGTATCTACTTGCCGTACACCAAAGTACGTTTGTTTATGTCAAATGTGGCAAAAGTACACGTGAATTCACTGTTAAATGCACAGTTGCCCCACGGCGAATCGCCAGGGAATAGGCAGTAAAATAGCCCTACTTGTCACAGGACAAGGTGGCAAGTGCCTATAGTTAGGAGACAAATAGATAGCAGGGACTAGATACCTAACACACACGTGATACGTTACGTATGCCCTAGGTATATATCCCTTTAGTAGGTAACCCTTTATAGAAAAAAGGTTAACTATAAATACACCTTCTATCTATTACCTATCTTATCTTATATTATTTATTTAGCTCCTTATTCTTATTTATCTTACTTTACTACTTTACTATTATATATTACTTTTATACTATATTACTTTATAACACTACTATAGCCTAGCTTTATCTTATTAGAACTATAATAGCTACTAAAAAGGCTATATTAAGTAGTAGTATAACTATCTTAATTTATACTATTTTATTACTTTTATTATTTTTATTATTCTTATTAAGTTTTTTTTTTTACTACTATATCTTAAAGAAATATATATACCTTAATAAAAGTAATAGGCTTAGAGATATAGTATACTAAAAATACTCTAACCTAAATAAATCTCTAACCTTAAGTAATTCTATATATAGCTTTAAAAAAACCTAACCTATAAGATTACTTAGTAGCTACCTTAAAGCCTTTATAATAATATATAATCCCTTATAACTATAAAGTTTAATAAAGATATACTATACTACTTTAGTAATAACTAGTAATAAGGCTTTTAGTTAGATATTAGCTAGGCTAATAACCCCTTTTAGATTAAAGGCACCTTTTATATAGTAAAAGAAATTATTAAAGATATAAAAATTAACTTACTACTTTTATTAAGACTATATAGTAAGGTAGAGAATATCTAACTATTTTATAGTAACTTATAAAGCTTTTAGTTATTTAAAAACCTAGTTATACTAAAAAGAAACCTAACTAAGTAGATACTACTTACCCCTTAAAAAAGCCTTCTTAATAACTACTTCTAGATAAAAATATTATAATAAGTAATATACCTAAATAAAAAAGAAGTATCTCTCTAGACTTATTATTTTTAAAGTAAGTAAAAGCTACTATAATAATATAATTTAAGTTAAAAAGTAAAAAATAAAAAATTATAAGCCTACTAGGCTATAATACTATTTTACTAGTAGGCCTACTTAGACTATAGTTTTTTATTATACTAAGCTAATTCTTAAATAGTATAAGTTACTATACTTAAGGCTAATAAAAATAAAATATATACCTACCCTTAAAGTAGATATAATACTTACTACCTCTAGCCTAGAGTTAAGTAAGAAATATAATTCCTTTAAGTTAGTACCTTAGTAAGGAGGCTAGTACTATAACTATAGCTACTTAATTAGTAAAGTTAAAATTAATAGTAAGATAATTATAAGAACACTAAGACTTAATAAGTATAGCCTAGTTATAAAATAACTTTAGCTAGTAAGGGTAGTAAAAAAGCCTATAGTTAACTATAGTTATACTACTTCTACTAGTGTTAAATATAAAAAAGCTTATAATAGCCTTTTTTTATACTATAACTACTTAAATATAAGTAGTAGTAATACTAGTAACTACTATAGCTACTTTAAGTTATTTCTTAGCCTAGCTATAGACACTATTTACTATAAGAATCTTTTAGCTTAATACTAACACTAAGAGGTACTTACTAGACCTTATGTTTTATAACTACCTTATAATATATTACTATAATATAAAGCTTTAAGTCTAGGTAGTTAAGGTAACTTATAAAGATCTTTTATTTTTATAGTAATTTTATTAAATAATTAACTAGTACTTTTATAAATAAGTATAAAACTAATAAGAATTCTAACTTACTAAAGTAAAGTAAAATATTTTTAAGTAAGAAAGTTAGCTAGTAGAGTAGGGTAGGGTAATTAGCCTAGAGCAAGACAGTATACAGGCTAATTAGAAGATCTTAATCCTAATTAAGTATAGAGATATAAGCTAGCGCTAATAGATTTAGAGATAGACATATATAATTTATCCTTTATACTTATACCTACCTTCTAATTAAACTAGAGCCTCTCTATAATTTACTTTTAATTATAATAATATAAAATAATTAGGAGTAATTACCTACCTAATTAGGGTATAATTATACTTAATCCTATAGTTTAACACTTATAATTAACGTTAATTCTAGACAGATTAATATAATTTATATACTAATTAGTAAGGAATCTTATATTACTTTTAGTAGTTATAGTGTTCTATATAGTTACTATACTATAAGAGTCCTTTATACCTTATACGCTTTTAATAGTCTCCCTTTTTAGAATATTAACTATAGGTTTAAACTAATTAAAGAGATATTTAGTTAAGTATACTAAGTAAGTAATTATAAAAAGTAATAATAATAAGATAATAGGATTATAAGAAGTAACTAATTAAGGGAATAAGGAAAACCTTAAAAAGATAATAAGATAATAAAGTAATAAATTAGTAACTTAGATAATAGAAATTACCTAATTATAAGACTAAGATATTAAGTTAGAACCTTAAAGGTTACTAATTTATAATACTAACTAAGATAGATTATAAAAATACTAAAGGAGCTAAATAAAGCTCTTAAAGGTCCTTATAAGTAAGGTAGTCTATTATAATTAGTTATTTATAGTTAATTAATATAAGATAGCGCCTTAAGAATTACCTAATCTAGAGATATAAAGCTATTAGCCTTAGGACTCCTTATA